TGCATTGACTACCGGGGTTTGAATCAGCAAACGATAAGAAATAAATATCTATTATTTCATATGAATGATTTGTTTGATCAACTTTAAGTAGCAAAGTACTTCAACAAGCTAGAATTGAGAGACGTCTACAATCAAATTCAAATTGCACATGCAAATGTCAACAAGATTGCATTTTGTACTAGGTATAAATATTTTGAGTTTCTAGTGGTGTCTTTTGATTTCATTAATGCACTAGTTATATTCATAGATTGATGAATGATATTTTCTATTATAGGTTTAGTTGGTGAAGTTGAAAGGTGAAAGGTTTTGAATTCCATGTTAGAAAATGTTTCAAAATGAAGATGAAGAGCAATTCAAAAGTTTATTTTTCAAGTATTGAAAGATGTTTTGTTGCACGCACCTATTCTCAAATGATGTGATCTCAACCGTCATATCAAACCGTAAAATTGGCAACTAATTGTAACCATCTTTAGTTAGTTAGCACCGAAGTAGAGGTGACTTTAAATGTTGATATACATACTTTAGCGCGCACTAGTCATAGATGCCACGTCAGCGATTTGCACGTTTGGTAGGTAGAAAGTATGTGTGTTAGTTGACAACGTCATGTCAACGATCCGTGTGCTTGTTAGGATTATCCACCACGTCATCCAATCACTATGAGTGGTATGGTGGTGAGGATAAGATCTTATCTCCTTGTATTGGAGACCGGATGTTGCTCATGTGTATTAAGTTGTAGAAGTAGCCAAGTGATCAACAATGATTAGCCAAAACATAGCTAAGTCTAGCTAGTTATGACTACTAGTTAGTTATAACTAAGTTTATCTACTCATGACTAAGTTTAGCTATAATGTCTATAGTTGGCGGAATAATTAGCGGAGTTATAGAAGAGTGGAGTGAGCACTTCTATTTTGTCTTTTACAAAGATCTGGATTCAAGGGATTAGACTTTTGACTATAAAATTTGATTTGATTGTCTTGACTAAATGTATAAAAGATGATTGGCTAGACTAAGTCTAATGTTGATTTAGTGATTAAGAAGCTTCTAGAAATTTTAAAGCTTCCAATGGCATATAGCCACCTCAATATTAGATTCCAAAAACTTCTAGAAAGTTTAGGTAGGCCAATAGCATATCGCCACGTATTGTAGATTAGTCAACTTTACCTAGGTAAAAGTGAGTTAGGAGAAAGTATCACATGTTACTATAGTAACTTCTCAAGTAGTATAAATAGAGAAGTAGTGTATCACCTTTCAAGCAAGTTTGGAGAGTTCATGTGTGAGGACTTGTTTCATGAATGAAGGAGTGAGGTTTTTCAGTACCTTGGAGTATCGACGTGTGTTTGAGTTTTTTTGAATAGAGTGATGTGAGGAAAATTTATGAATTGAGTTTGTGTGAAAGGGTATTTGAGACACGATTATGAGTGAGAATCCTAGTCTTATAGAACCATGATGAGCTACCACAAAGCCATCTGAGGTAAACCCTAGTGAGAATCAGCCCGGAGGTTGCAGTACTTGTTGGGAAAAGCTATATACGGGAGAGTAGAATCATTGTTGTTATCTTTCATCTTCAGAGTTTATATTTTCATCTTTAAGTGAACTTCTCTTTAAACTTTAAAGTTACACTGACGCATCATGTATAACGGTGGGTAGCATATTTCAACAAAAAATGAAAGTATAGATGACATCAATTTTGTTTTATATTCTCAAAATTTAGTGACGGCGGAACAAAATTATCACACAATAGAACACAAAGAATTCATACTATGTTGGCAACAAGATACTATGAGCATTACTTTGATGATAAGTAATGTGTGTTGGAGATCAATTATAAATCCTTGGCTTATTGGAAAACTCAAAAAAATCTGTCTAAATTACAAATTCAATGTTTAGAGTGACGTCAACGCTTTAACATGAAGATCGTATACAAAATGATACATGTCACAAAGAATTATGAAGAGATCATGAGGCATTACAAGTTGGATGAACAGAGAAGACGTTCTACTAACAACGTATATGGATTTTGTAAAAGTTACACACAATGATTTTATCAAAAGATCATAATATAGTCATAGCACGTCATGTGAGAGTGAAAAAAACCTTAAAACGTATCCAAAGAGTTTACTTTTGCCTCAAACTACGAGAATGTGGAGGCTCACATTAGACGTTGTGTTGCTTGTCAACAAAACAAGACAAATAATCAAAAACCAATTAATTTATTATAGACTTTCCCTATTTTCAAAAAGCGATAGTAACATGTCATTATGGATCTCGTATGTGAGTTATCAAAAACTTAATTAGTGAATGATTGAGGGGTGATTATATGTACAAATTGAGCAAGATAATTCATATTAGGCAAATCACAACACAATTAGTTCAATTGTATTTAGATTATGTTTTTGTGAATCATAGATTAAACAAAATCTTAATCACTGATAGAGATATTCATTTCATTAGATTATTTTGTAAAACTTTGTTTAGTTTTTATCATAACCAAACTAATAATGTCTATAGTTTATCATCTTCATACTGATGATCAAACATAGAGTGGCAATAGAATTGTAGAGGATATGGTAGAGGCATTCACATTTAAATACCAAGAAGAGTAGGATATTATTTGACTCTTGTGTAATTTGCATACAACAATTCTGTAAATGCATCCACAAAGTTGTCTCCATTTCACCTCATGTAAGGTGCTCATTGCATTACTCCATCAAGTTAAATGAAGTTTTTGAAATAAGATGAGTTTCCAACTAAAGTAATTGCGGTCAACGAGTTTGTGAAACATATCTTCCGAGGTTTACACCAAGCAATTGAGAAGTTGTTGATTGCTCAAAATTGACTGAAATAACATGTTGATGCTTATCATTGAGAGTTAATTTTTCAAGTTAGAGATCAGGTTTGGCTATCTACAACAAATTTGTCTCTTTTAGAGACATCAAAGTTTAACGCTAGATTCATTGGTACTTTTGTGATATTGAAACGTGTTGATGAAGTGTCATATAAGTTTGAGCTTCCGTCACATGTGAAAAATTTTATGTGTTTCATATGTCATGATTGTAAAAACATGTAACATGGCCAAAACAATTCACAAACCAACCAATGTTACCTCATTTACTAACCTTGATAATTGATCAAGAGAAATTTGAGTTAGAAAATATATTCAAGAAATGAATTTGAGTTCATAAATATTCCAAAGTTGAGTATTTGGTTCAATGAAAATGATATTCATCATCCAAATCAACTTGGCAACCAATTAGAAATCTAGTTAATGCACCATTGATAGTTCAAGAATTTAAACGGATGTGCAATGAGTACGTTATGTCTTAAAAGGAGTTAAATTTGTAACCATCTTTAGTTAGTTAAAATTAAAGTAGAGGTTAATTAAAATATTAATATAATTACTTTAATGTGCACTATTCATAGTTACCATGTCAACGATACGCGTGCTTGGTATGTAGAGAGTAAATGTGTTTGTCAATCCCGCCATGTCAGAAATCCTTATGTTTGTTAGGTAATGATTGAATGTATTAGATGTATACGTCACGTCAACAATCTGTGTGTTTGTTAGATTATCCGACACATTATCCATCCATTAACAGAATTGATAATAGAAATGAAATCTTTATATTTGTTGATAAAAATTATATAAAGAAAAATGATCATTATTGTTATCTTTCATTTTCAAAAATTATGATTTCATTTTGAAATGAATTTATCTCTAAATCTTAATGTTATATATATTTTCATTTATATTTATTATATCTTACACCAAGAATACTCAAAATAAAATTCAAAGCTAATGTTTTGAGCATGCGATGGCATATTTTTTTTTCTTATGATAATTATATTTTCTTTCTTCTTGTTCTTAACACTTTCATTCTAAACATGGCATCAATGAACTACACACCGTGTCACGCGGTTTACAAGTAAATAGCCAATACACACAAGTTTATATATTGCACAACAGACAATATATAAAATTTTCACTACACTAATGCATGTCTACTACTACCATGTTTTGGCCTATCTTCAAGGCATTGCCTTTGATATAATGAAATTTGTGATATGGTGCAATAGCTTTGGGGACATTGAAGATGTTTCTGTATGTGAGTCTAGCTCTGTTTGTTGCAAACGCGACAGTCAATACTGCCCTTGCAGTCGACAAGGTTCTTGCGAGGTTAGTACATATTACGGGATCCATCCTCCACGTGTGCCGAAGCTGTCTTTCGAACTTGTTATCTACTGCTTCACACTAACAAAATCGAGTGCATACCCTGTGACTCTACCGGTCTCAAAGCTCTATTCTCGGTGGATAGAGCTGGATCTTTGATGTCAAGATTTCTTGTTTTGGATCTATAGTTGTGTTTGAAGAATCCCTGACCATGGCCCATCCCGTCAACTCCACCGAGATCCTGAAGGAGAACACTGTGCTCCTGGAAAATTCGGTCCATTTTGTAAAGAGAGAATTCTTAAATCGTGAATCTGGACCTCCGTAATTGTCCGTGTCTAACCCTAATTTGAATAAACGATTTTCATTACAAGGAGTATTAGAGATCCAGGAACATTATGGAAACTCCACCATGAAACATTTGATTGGAGAACCTGCACTCTCACTGAGTGTCGTAACTAGCTACTTTTGATGAGTAAAATTCGTGTACTTGAATATCTCCGTTGAAATATTCATTTAAGTCAGCACGTTGAGCTCAGTATACCCAATGACCTACAGTGAACGGTTAGCATTTCGTTGTGACCAACAATACCAAAAGATGAATGAAAAGCAAGGCTAGTTGAAACGATGTACAACACCAAAGTGCTGATACACAGACGACGTCTGAGTACTCAGTGCTGCAGATACTTGATTACAAAATGCATTTATGCTGATGATCCTTCGTTCAGAAAACTATCAAACCCGTAAGGTGTATTCACTCGCTTGGACATTTCCATATCCGGTGCACTAAACCTGTATTTCAAAGAGTCTCAAGTTATTCCATATCATCATCCATACATGTGCATTCATGAGAGTTTACTGAAAGTTGGAGAACGGCTATATCGGTGTGTATGGATCGATTTCGTCTATAAACAGCGTATTTAACGAATCAAACAGTCCTATGAATCATTTACGATATAAGATAAAATTAATTTTGAATCTGTTCAAATAAACCAGCAGAACGGAACTGATCAAAATCTGAAGAGTAAAACGGTAAACAAAAATATTTGGAGAGTTAGTACTCACGGACATATGATTTGGAGATTGCTCTCCTTCGTACCAGTGTTGCTATAGATTAATCTAGTATAGAACTGAATAACTGCAGCTTCGAGATTGGCATTTCTTTCGCTTTTCTCAAACAACTTGTCCAACTTCGCCAACATCTACTAAAAGCTCTTACTCACTCTCCTCCTCGTAAAGCCAATATCAGATGCAAAGTACAGCCGCCCTCGATTTTGTAGTCGCTCACAGTCTTGTCATCTGTCATTTGTTTACCAGAGAACAATAATCTGATTGGAGGACATTAACGGTTTGGTCATGGAACCCTTCAACTTGCAATAATGCTATCTTAAACGGGAAGGAAATTTCAAATTGCGACAGATAGGAGGTCCAAGAAAAGATATCACATCGACACATACCTTTGTTGAGCAGGAGGTATACCCTCTTTCTCCTCAATCAACTCCTTAACATGCTTGAAGCTAATGCTTGGATCAATGTCAAGCTCTATCTCCCGCCCTGTCAGAGTTCGAATCTTGATTAATGTCCCACCTCTCAGTCGTAGACGACCAGGTGACATCTTGAAAACTCAGCTGTGAAACGTGCACTTGCTTATCTACACTTCCAATCAACGAAAACCCAGTTTTTACTGAAGATCGGAGCTTTTTAACTTTCTGCCTCAACTTCTGCTCGAGAGTTCAAGTGATCACCATTCTACCAAAGCAAGCAAGCTTTGAACTAGCAAACTGCACATTGTTCAACAATTGAGTCTGTTTTTATCTTGGAGAGAGGATCCCACCTTGTGTAGTATCAGACTATCAGTCATGGAGATGACAAAGATAGAATATTCTGGAAAGTCCTCTCAAATCGAAGATTTCTTTTACAAAACGGAAGTGATATTGAAGTTCAGCAAAGAACTCAGGGCATTCTGAGGATGTGACGACTAGCTATCTAATTAATACACTATATTTGATGAGGCGTTACATCACTCCACAGTTAGGATATTGACGATTATACGAATGTGACCATCTGAATTGTTGACACCTCAGGTGTCAAGTTCCGACCCCATTGTCATGTTTGATTACCACTTACGTTCATAATCCGTTCACTCCACGCACAATTAAGATGGTTTAAAGTTCAGACAAATTTATGTGAAGATCAACGGATAAAAATATTATTTTCTCATTTTGACAAATGACTGAGGAGATGATCATTCCGGTGAGAAAGTAGTTGCCTTTGCTTGACAGCTTGATGTGACAAATTCATTATATTCATTATATGTGAAAGATTGGGATTTTCTTATTAAGCATGCCTTGCTCTTCTTGATTTCTTGCTAAATCTTAGTGATTATGAAACAAATGTAGCGTACTTGATTTGCCCTGCAAACATCTTATATGTTCACTCCACATTTAGTCAATCTTGTTTTTAATTCACTTCTACTTTCGTGGTAACAACTTCTTATCTTCTTCAGCAATAGCTATGTGATCAATGTTGATTGGAACTTTCGAACACCACTTTACTTATTCTAGTGCAGAGATCGTGCTGATGGATTAGTCATATATTTTCCATCTCAACTCAAACATCAGAAAGTTAGTACCTTTCATAAATGATTGTTTTCTGATTCCTCGAGTGATAAAAATTCTTGTACAATGTAAACAATGGAGTGTTTTGGAGCAATGAGAAGAAGAATACTTGTAAATCTACAAGGATCTTGTAGAACCTTGTAGATCCGATCACAAGAATTCTTTCCATTCTTTTCTAGTTCCAAGACATAACTCCAGGTAAAGGTTTGTAAACAAACATAGTTCGGGTATGACTCAAAAGTTCTTCTGAATGCTTTCCGATGTCTATTATGATTTAAATGACAAATCGGAAAATGAAGAAATATACTTGCCACTTTTATAAATAGTACTCTTGCTAGGACTCTATCTTGTTGCCTCCATGCCACGATATTTACTAGGAAAGAGTAAAGGTTTAGGAGATTAGCATCTGTAGTTTGATGTATGAAGCTCAGACTGTTTGACCCTCTAGGAAAAAACGCATTTCAGAACTTGAATCTGACAGTGCACCAGGTATAAAATAAGCCCAAGCCCAAATACCAGAAATAACATGTGTAGATTTACAAGTATTCTTCTTCCATTTGCTCCAAAACTGCAAAACAACCCACAAAAACATCAAGTGAAAGGAAAGAATGCCGGAGTAAATCAAATTGTTAGTTTGATTTAAAGAAAAAATCGCTCAAACCAGTACATGAGCGCCAATGCAGAACCACGACAATACAAAACCTGTCATAAGGGAATGGCAACGTTGACAAGGAGGATGGATAGAGTGCTGAAGGAGAAGTGTTTGATATCCTCTTTGTACATGTCAATATACACAAATGCACAGGCAGATCAGTTACTACATGTGATCTTAACAAATGCTTCACGACTTAACTTCCTACTACTCAACTACTTCACTAAGCGACGGCATTCGGAATGGGACCAGTTGTTCCCGTTCAAGCAAGATGTCCAATTTTCTGTTCCCACTCGAGAGGTCCCTTCTTTTGAGCTTCATGATCCTCCCAAACGCGTCTGATTTTTCTTGAACTGCACTCTTGTAGCTCGATGTACGAATCTTGCGTACGCGGCTGTACGGAAATTTCGCTGAAAGAAGCCTTGCTCTCATTCGCTGGAGCGCGAGCTCTGCACTCTTCATGGATGTAATTTTCAAAATTCAAGAAAGCTGTAGGTGTCGTACGTGTGCAACGGCCATACCGTACACACACCGTTACAGCGCACTGTCACAGGAAGTGACGGGCAGAACTATCTCGATTTCCGGTCAAGTACATCGTCTTGGGTCCATATTAGACTTTCTCCAGTTCACATGGGAATACATTTTGTAAAGTTTTACAAATTACAGATGAAGGAGTTTGCTCAACATGCATAGCGCTGGTTGTAAACTAGTAGATGTAAATTGCAGTTTTGTCATGAGTTTGAGATCATACTATATTATGAAACTTTGATTCATATGGTTAACTGCATTATGACAGATTTAAGCCGTTGAAGATAACAACATTATATCCACTCTTTTTGGTTTGGTCACTAAAAAATTTGATATATATAATTTGGATTTATCATATATAGTATTATTAACTATTTATCATTGTAAAAGTTTTGAAATCAAAGTCCATCGTACCGTTGGTTTCGTCCTTGTAACATATTGACACATATTTTTTCTTTATTGAAAATCACTTCTTTTGTGATACTATAGAGGTAACAAACCAAGACATGTAGCATAGACAATTAAAGTGTGAAACCATAGCCAAATATTGGCTCTTATTGTGCTTTTTCTTTATTATTGAGTTCCACTTTTGATCTTTGGAAGAATGATTTAAAACTCATCATTTTGTAATGTGAATAAATAAAATTTTGGTTTAAGATTTACAATCTTAAACCAAAGAATATCTCTATGTATCCAAGGTTGAGAGCTTAATCATGACCGAGATCTCTCGCGTTTCAATTTATCTGATTCTCCGTTGAAGGTTTATTCACATCCATCCGCAATTCTCACACCTAGAAGATTCCAGCCAGTCTCGATTTTGCCTTCTTATAAACTCGTTGAATGTCGTAGGGAGTGCACTCTTCTCTTCCATCAGATTATCCGACCTTATGTGAAATTGCTCACAAGTGTGCTATGAAGAGACCCTAGAACATAAAAAAACATGAATCCAGAAGAGCAAACTAACTTTTTGCCGGTTCTGGCCCTGCACTCGCTGATTGATACTGACCATGTACCTGCAAAAATTGCAATTCAAATGTACTCAAGAGGTCTATTTTGGCATTATTAGGATTGTAAGTTTTGAATACTCAAAAAATTTGAGATTTTAGCATCCTTGAGGAGTGCCTACAAACTTCTGGAGGAGAGTATGATGTCCTTCAACATGTGTGAGCCGAACCTTCCCACCCTTCAGCGTTTGTAGTCCAGGTGGGGGTTCGAGCTCCCATAATCTAACTTCGCTGAACTCAAGCCATATGCTCTAAGTGTATCCAAGACAACAAGATCCTAAACACTTGCTCTTTCACACACAAATTATCCAGAACTGAAAATAATAACTTGTTGTTTGCTATTTCCACAAGAGCAGCAGACAAGCTCTTTGTTACATGAAGATCTAACCCAACTCTATGTGACTTTCTCAATACCACAGCCGCTGTGGTCTATCCTAGCTCCAAGTTCCACTCCCAATTCCTACTCAGATTTCAGTGTCGATTTCTCAGCTTCCACCTTATGACCCCACGAGATTCCTCTCTCAGATTCAACTCTCCCTTTTCAGTTTCAAATTCAGATCCCGACTGTCAGATTTCAGTCTCAGATTTCACTTCACTCTCAGCTCCTACTCACAGATTTCACACTTCGATTTCAGCTCCCATTCACAGATTTCACACTTCAATTTCAGCTCCCACTCACAGATTTCACACTTCGATTTCAGCTCCCACTCACAGATTTCACACTTCAATGTCAGCTCCCACTCACAGATTTCACACTTCAATGTCAGCTCCCACTCACAGATTTCACACTTCAATCTCAGATCCCAATCACAAATTACAATTCAATCTCAGCTCCCACTCACAGATTTCGCACTTCAATCTCAGGTCCCAATCTAATTTCACTCTCAGATACGACTCTCCACCCACGAGAGTTTGCTTCCTCCTACTTCGAACACTCCACACTTGCCTCCTAATCCTCACCACTTCCCTGCGAAAATCACTCACGTCCACACTCTATTTCTCCTACCGATCCCACCAGCGTCTCCACACAATGGCACACCACACGATCCCAGCTCGCAGGCCGAATAATACTCTCCAACGTCCAAGGGCCGAGTTGCCCGCAGGCCGCGTGAATGCCGTTCCCGCGATGATGGGCAACGGCCTGGTTCCCATGTGCGACTTTATGCCCCGCGGTCCTATTTCACGCTTGACTTCACGCCGCCGCCACTGCCACACCTGTACAATCTTTATTTATGACCACGTCAACTCCGCCGTCCGAAATCTTCATCCGCGCACCGCCGAAGGCATCCTCCCGCTGAAGACACTCTTCCGCACCTTTGCTTATCCATAACAGTCACCCCCGACGCTCATAACTCATAGATCCCTACTTCGTTTGAAAAGTTCTTGAGCTTGTTGGAACGAGCGTGTTGAGCTCTTTTCAACGAGCCCCTAACTAAGTCAAACCGTTAAGAATTGAAAAAGTTATGACGGTTTTACTCTTCCGCCGAAGACGTTTGCCTATGCATAGGCTTCCTACACGCAACCCGCCTATGCGCAGGCCGCCTACACGCAACTCCTTGTGCCGAAGGCCCCTCTATATGTTAACGCCGAAGGCCTTTCGCCTAACCATGACAGCCGCTTTCGACGCTCATAACTCAGTGATGACTGATCCGTTTCAAAAGTTCTTGGTCTTGTTGGAACGAACGTGGCGAGCTCTTTCCAACAAGACCCTAATTGAGTCAAGGCGTCACACAGTGAAAACGTTATGAGAGTTTCATTGCTTCGCCGAAGGCCTTTCCCCGAAGGGACTTCACCGAAGACCTCTTTCCGCACCTTTTGCCCCCTAACCATCTCACTAACTCCTAATCTTGCAGAAACTTTCAAAAAACCCCAAGCATAATTTTGAAAGAGCTTAAATCCAAACTTTTAGTTTGGATTTAAGCTCTTTCAATCCAAACTTTTAACTCTCATAAGGGTAAAAAGACATGTGAGCACAGTTTTGTGCTCACAACATGATCGAAGGAACTGAACTTCACCAATTTTCTATAATTTAAGGGTGGAAAGTGGTGAAAATATGATGAGAATTACTCATGTGATGTGATATACAGATATACTCTATAAGCGTTGTGGGAGGAATGCTCTGATCTTTAATGATATTGATTTTAGTGTATATATATCCAACATACACCCATTCCGTGGTATTTCTTGGGCGTATAGCGTGGTATTTTTTTGTTGTATATCATTAATACCACGGAATGGGTGTGTTGGATGTATATACACTAAAATCACTACACTCATATTTTAATGCTTCCTCATCATGCGTGTAACTATGTAGATTAGGTTAATGCCAAGTTATTATCTCGGCTTGGAAGTGAACAAATTGCTAGCACCTGCAAATAGTGTGTAATTTTCCCATGTTAATTTGGATGTTAATTATGTGGCTGTATTCGGCTTAGTCCAGAATGGGACTAACGATGCAAGAAAGATCTTTCACGTTTCACCACATGCCGAGACAAATTCAACCAGGACAACATTCAGCTTGGTGAAGAACGCGTATGTGAAGTGTACACACAAGTTTCATTGAAACTCAATTTTGATTCAGCTTATTTCCAACGTGCAGTTCTTGTTACAACATGGTTGCTGAGATTTCTAAACATGATTTTATTCATTACAAGTCTACTGATCTGTCAGATTTTTAAATATATGTATTTGTTAGAATAACAGAACAAACCTCACGTGAAAAAAGGATCTCATTCAGAGAGGTCGAGAAATCAGCGTGATGCAAATTTATATCTATTCTTTACCAATTTCCATGTCTCTGGTTATCCAGTAAGCTACGAGCTAGCTGTATACCGCTACAAAACCTCCCCTGCAGGTCAGAGTACAATCTGGAGATGGTATATGATCCACTGACAGATTTGCTGTCAGTTCTGAACGACCATAAATGCTTTACCATGATGATGGTAGGAATTACACGTATATATTTCAACATAGTATAATTAAGGCTTCAAGGAAACCAAGGCACGAGACCAAAGTACAAAACTCTTCTGCAATACTAATAATTCTGAGCTAAATACAGTTTTCGATTACGAAGAGTCCTGTCAATTCGAGTATATACGCTCTCTCAGCTTTACATATGTGCTCAACATCCTCTGACTAATAAACAAAAGTACCACCTATATAGTACAATGGCGGGAACCAGCTCAAGTATGATGCACTGCATGTACGACGTACATGGAGTGTAATGTACTCGACGAATTCAGGATACAGATAAAAAGCCCGAACTCTGCAAGCCTATCCCCTAGAACTAACCTATGTCTCTCTCAACTTCTACAATGGGAAAACACGCAATCTGGGCACAAATTAATCGCTGTACTGTACACTCTATCAGCTATGGATCTACGGTGTACCGTATCTTCCCGTTTACAATCCTCAGCATGCTTGTGATGCAAATTAAGAGATGAAAGATTTGGCAAACGTAGTTCAAAGACTGATGCACCCATCAAAGAATTGAAATAAAAAGCCTATTCCTCGTGAGCATTCTGTGGGCCATTCGCAGGCACGGATTTTTTTCCCATAAACGAGGCAATGAATTTGAAAAGGCTCTTGGATCTGTCTTCCAGAAGCTCGATTTCATGAAGCTTGGCCTCCAAAGGCGAGGGCCCCAACCGTATTGCGTTGACGTAGTTGTTCATGATGTGTGCAGCGATACCGGGCGAGATCAGACCCAGTAGTCTCACTCCTGTAGACGCGTAATTTTCTCGGAAATCCGCACCGTAGATCCACCCCGAAAATAGAGATACGAACAGTTCGTACAGGGCCACCAAACGCTGCATCACTACGGTCTTGAAACTGAGGGTGAAGTAATTGGCATTAGGAGCTTCCGCCAGAGTCTGAGAAGCCGGGAAGCAACAATGCATACTTGTCAGTACAGAAATTCGGCTGTTCGGATTATGTACTACCGTTAGAGCTATTTGGATTGCTTCCCTCGAGCTCGTCATAAAGAATGGCAACACACTTAGTATATCACATTTGTCCACTCTATATCGTATTGTCAAGTTCTTTCTATCTATGAAGACATTATCCATCCACACATCCTACAAAATATGTGTATAATCTTCTTTCATCGTCTAACTCGTTGATCTCATCATGAAGAAACAAATCATTCGTCACTCTACTTTCACTGGAAGCAAGGGCCATCAGATTCAGATAATAAAATCAAGATCCGCATTCAGAATAGAGAGAAGCTCAGCTCAGTCGAGGAAGGAGATGCTCACCATTTCCACATAGCGTTCATTGTAATAGTAGCAATAGCCGCAGTGCTTGAAGAGGAAGATTTTGTTGTCGAACGGAACACGAGGAACAAGGTCGTTGCCATACACGATCCTCCAGTACTTGGATTCGTGAATTTTACTGATCATGAATTTGCAATACTCATCACCTCCCACTCGCGGTTGTCCGAACGTGTACAGCGCTCCCAGTCTGCTCGTCACCATGTCCTCATTGTTGAAGAACAACAGAGTACAGTACAGACTTCCCAGCGCACCACCAAGACTGTGCCCTGTTACAAACAGCTTCGCCTCCGGATTCTCGTCCATCAGCTTCTTCACCCTCTTTGTTATGTCGTCGTAAGCCAGAATCTTCGTTGGCTCCGCCACCACGTCAGCAGGTAGTCCAGACATGGCACTCCCGGCTTGCTCCGATGGCTACAGGAACGCACGCCAAGCCCACGAATTAGCATCCGACGTCAGTATGCCAGCTCACGCTCGTCTGCCGTGTTAGCGTAGCGCAGTACATTCTCAACTTGGATATGGTAACCAGGAAATAAAAACCTGACAACGAAAAACTCTTATCTACCAACCGGCAGCTCGTGTTCGACGGTTTTTTAAGTAGCGATTCATATTTCTCCCAATCGAAACCCAGAGCGAGTCTCTCTATGGATGACGAGATGAGGAAAATTCTCAATTCTTAAGGATCCCAAATATTTCAGATCCACTGAAGTATGCTTAAATTGCAACCGTCAACGGCGTAAACGACAATTCACAAATTGTCTGTCAGGGGCATCAGCTTCTAACGACATAGAAAGATGTTGCATGGCCCACCTGGGAGTGCATGTTGTCATTCATGATCGCAAAGGTTTCCATTCTTTTCCGATCTCCAAGACCCAGTGCTTCCAGGAAACCGACGTGGACCTTCCCCAATCCCTTAACCTCAAACCAGGAGAAATCCATGTCTGTGCTCCAATCTATGGCATTAAAAACCTCCGTCCCTCTGAAGGCGACGACGATTGCTCTGGCGTCTTTCGGCTGATCCGTGAAAATAAAAACCTGCGTGTCTCTCTCTTGATGAAATTCTGCATCATGATGAGAAGACCGATTGTTACTCACAATTGCGATGCCTCGAATCATAGTTCAAAAAATTTCAAGTTTAATATTGTGTACAAAGAATTTGTAGCATAGTTATATCATCTATTTGTTCAAGGACCAATATCAACATTATCCAGAATCCAGAATCTTATCTATTTCAAGTGGACAGACGATTGAGCCCCAATCGGCACAGCTGTCATTACGGACGTAATGATCGATTCTACTGCTGAATTTTGAAATAATTATGTGCGCAGTTACGCTCAGATTGAACAGCTTACCATTCCAGCAATCGTAGAACTCGACGAAGTGCATCTGCAATCAGATGTTGCAACCAGTTAAGGATTCCATTCTCGTTCAAAGCAGAGAAAAAAAGTATATTCAGCCAAGTACGATCGTTGACGTAAGTAGAAAAAAAAATCTATGCTTAAGTTCTTTGTCGTCTGGACTCCATTTCTCACAATACAGTGTGAAAGCTGATGATTACTCGGACGGAATTTACCTTCCAGCTTTGAGTGACCACTTTTTTGACGCATGCAGCATTCTCGTACGCCAACTTGGAAGCCATTACCAGGACGTCCGCAGTCGCTCTGGATCCATAATCGGTTCCAGGGAAAATGAGTGCGTTAGCATCATCACTATGTGCTACTCCGAAACTAGATTTGTCCAGATACAAAGCAAATCGTGGATCCATTGCCCCCATGATGGAAAGAAAATCTTCACTCCCTCTTTGTCGAATGATGAGCTCACCTACAATTTCAAGAAAAAGACGGATTGATTGATCAGTATCTTCAACCGAAAAGTATATCCACAAGTATCATGTCTCCACGTTATACGCATCGTATTCGTCTGTGACACAGAGACTGTAACACTCTAACAACTAACAAGTTGCCTGATCAATGCGAATTTACATTTATTTGTCCTTCTTATGAATATGCCTGTGTGAAACAGAATTTATACATGAATGCTCAGAATCATTTACAAAGTTCTATCATACACGTGGATCTACCGTTCTTAAAATTTTTAAATGCTGATGTCCAGATTATTTGTACATAGGAATAAGAATTCACAACAAGCATATGACTCACATTCAAAATTGAGATCCACTTCGGTCGAGGAATATCTTGTCTAAGTAAATGCGGCATAAGAGGGACCGTCTGGGATGATGGCGGAAATGCTGATACTCACTTTTCTTGAACAGGACGCGGTACAAGGTCTTGAAGAATCCATCGTTGGAAATGAAAACATTGAACATGTATTCCATCCATTGTCCGGAAGACTTCAGAGGTCCACTCACGTACCACAGAACTTTGAGGATGAACAACGACAATCTTGCCTGCCAAGTCTCGTTATTCTGAACTTCTTCCTTCATGGGATCTGAAATTTGACAACTATCCTTCCACCGGTTTTTATCACGAATCAAATCCCACAAGTAATGCATAGGACCAGAATGCCCTGCACCTGTCTTTGGATCCGCAACGACGTATTTCTCCGACTGCTTTGGTTCCATCTCCGCTTCATTCTTGTCACTTGAAAACCATCCGAAGAGAAAATTCCTCTCAGTATTGCCAGACCCGGAGCCAGGCGACGCAGCAGAGGACCGACTGCCTTCATCTCCCCTGGCATCCAAATCCACTTCAGAGTCCCTCTGTACGGTAGCCATTGTATCTGAGCCCTGTGGATTGAGCGAGAAGTCAATTTCACATACTATTCAACAGGGACCGACGGATAGTGCAGTCCCTTCTTCGATCCTTGTAAATGCGCAATCCCAAGAAGCGAACGGACGAGACGAAGCTCACAAGCTAAGCACACCGTCCCGTCCTTGCCTTGTTCCTGTGCTACACCTCCCCTCCCTCAGTTAAATGAAATCCCAAGAAGTAGCGACTAAAGACCTCATTTTTCGCAGCTGTCCGCAGTTGACCGAGCCAGATTCAGTTTAAAAGAATCAGGACTCTAGAATGCCACGGCGAATCTGCACATAGTAGCACCACACTGCGGATCGATGCGCCGTTGGGGCCCTTTCAAGCTACCCAAGAAGTCGCAAGCACCAGAAAATGTACCTCTGAAGTTGGTACGGTTATCTCGGATCGACCTCCAGATGTCAGAAAAGGAGCAGAGTTTAGAGAAGTCTCCCTGCTGCCATCACCGGATATTCAGATTTCGAGGACCAAGTTGAGCTGGAATTTGACTTCCTGACACCATTGGAGATTCAGTCCAAACACCATCCCGCCTAAATTTCGAGCATGTGCTCAGAGGTTCTCCAAGGCCCTTAATAACTGGCCCACCCGATTAATTACAGTAGCCACAAAGGCATAGAAGCTTATAATTTCGATGAATTGGATCAAGCGTCGTACTTTTCGAAGACGACAAAGTCTCAGACTCAACTTGTCAAATGTGGGTAAGATGCCGAAGCTGAAGTAGTCCGAGGACCCCACAGAAAGAATGCGGCCGTCTCCGCTAGCACGCTCTTCCAACCGTGTTGAGCAAACGCTGCAACACGTTACTCGACTCTTGCTTCCAGTTGACATATGGACGGAGAAGAAGAGATGAGACTCTGGAGTCTACTGACTTGCAATTCTACTTCTACGCTGTACAAAGGAGATTCTCCACCCGTCATAGGGTGAGACCACGAACACTTCACAACTCAAACGCCAACCGCAGTCAGCATTCACGCCGTCCACGTGAGGCGTGCACGACCAGCAGCCGGAGCGTCACGCAGCTGCTGCACCTCGTAGCGGTTGAGAGGCCCACGCCTTCCAGCCGAGGTATACATTTCGGCTCTACAATCTCCTCGTAGACACCTCTAGGCTCGGATCGAGCAACTTCTCAGCAACAACGTCCGAGCTGTAATCGAAGGACACGGGGTATTCTTATCAGTCTCCGCTATGATAGCTCCACTCTGTCGGAGCCTACAGTCCCCGAGAGTCCCCAACTGGGTCATGCGCCAACCGTGATGATACAGCTGATGTAATCCGGTGCTAGGTGTTGTTGCAACCCGAATATTGCGGCATAGTACGAACGGTGTTTTCGGCAACCGGATGGGACGACGCGTGCATTTTCAACGAAATTCGCGGGTTGCGGAAGACACGTCAAACGTGAATGTAGTAGGGCCAGGAGAGTGGGCCCCACCGTTCACTTCACGCTGCAGCAACTCGTTGCCGCTTTGTCGATCAGGAATGTGTGGTTCGTACTTGTGATGTTGTTCTAGAAACTACAGTAGAATGATTTACCCGGACGAGGTGAACTGCGCAGTTTGGGGGTGCGACTGCCACAAATGCATGAAGTCCCTCGGAGGCAATGAGGACTACTAAGACAACAGTTGCTCGGTTTATATTCAATGGGTTCCCGTTTAAGCAATGGAAACCTGATAATATAGCAAAAAGGATGGGAAGACCCATCAAGGGCAGAATGAAATGCCGTGGATCATAACTGAGGAACGGGCGAGTCTCTTTAGTGTCAGTTGACGGGTGTCCCTTAACAAAGCACCTCTTTCGAATCTTACTCTTTCGTGAGAGACAAGCACAGATAGTGATGCCGTGAAGCTCCATCGGCATTAACTTGCCTCTTTTCTTATCCTTAACTCTGCCGAAATGACTTTAAAGCTAGTGTTTATCATAAGTCTAACAAATAGGTATTTATCCCTACGCTAATTTTTAACATCGTAAGATGTTTTCATTCAATGTGCTATTTTTTCAGGATTTTTTTATTCAACTCATGTCGTTGTACTGAAGTTTTTTTAAACTAGGGTAGGAGGTATGTTCGAAGACTTCGCTATTTACAACCTTTTGTTGGATGCTTCGAATGTTACACTCATGACTCATAGCTAGCCGCTTTGGCTCTGAAACCCTTTACAGTCATCAGTGGTTTCATTTGACCTTATTGTTTATTTGACGTAAAATGATCTGCCCAGAATTTTAAGCTATATGGGTCTTGTTGTAACAATATCCTGTTAATAAGCTCATAATATTCATTTTGAATGTGATGATATCCAAGATTTATTCAAAATTAATACGATTAGAATGCATACCTAATTTCTATCTCTAGAGTTACTGCTTGCATTGATAACTTGAGTTATTCTTAAGAAATATTAATTGATCAAATTTATTTAAGTACTTCATTACTTCAATTTTGATATCAAATCAAAGACTTTACATTAAAAAATGATAATTCTGATTTAATTAAAAAATTATCTATTTTTCATGGAAATTAATTTATTTACTGATTTTATATTAAATTTATGTTTTAGATATTTTAAATAAATTTAAAATTTTCTGAAATATCCTTTCAATGGAATTAAGCATTTGATTATACCTCATTTGTAAATCATTCCACTTCTCATTTTACAGTAAAACGAATTTTTTTTTCATATCTTTATCATGTTCTATCAAAAAACTTTACTGTCATACTATAAAACCTTTGGTTTTTTTTTTTGAATTTTCCAAAGTTTTGAAAAAATAAAAAAATATTCTGAAAAAATAGAATATATAGGTTACATTACTGTATATAATAAAAGACATTGATTTACTTGTTAATTTCATTTGTGAAATTTCATCTCATGTGAAAATGTTTTTGGAAATCTGCTTTTGAGTTTTTGTATTATGATCAAATTTTTAAAAATAAAGTTTGTAAATTTTAAGAATAAAAGATACACTAGAAATTAGTATTGAGTTATTTAGAAATATTCTGAAACTGTAAAAATTGAATACTCTTCTCTAGAAGTGACACATTAGCTTTTGACAACAAATAACAAATATCTTGAGTATATAGGCATCAAAAAAATAATTTCATAATTTAGATAGAAATTTAGGTATGACCTTCTGCAAGTAATTTTATTAAAACGCATCGGAATTTTATGACGAACACGAGCAAGATAGACCAGACTTGAGTCAAACATGTCGTCACGATCTTGAACAGATGTCCAGTGAATGACTGTGAGGATAGTGACCACCTGCGATAATCCGCAGTGTTGACCACCTGAAACATTGTTGCATTTGCATGCGTCTCTCACATGGGGTCTTGGTCTTCACTCTGGTCCCGCTGACACCGAGAGTCTTTGACTCCAACTAAAACGAGGCAGAATTCATGTCACACTCTGCACTCGATACCCACGGTTACCGCCTACTGCGTTGAAGTCCGCCGACGTTGGAAAGAAAGTTCCTTACCTGGACGGCAGAGTGACGTGCATTCCCCTTCCCGTCCGACTCAGTAAGACCTGATGCGCTTCTCTTTCCAATTGGTAGCGTTATTCGCGGGACTAGACACCTTCCGGTCAGCACTTGAGACCCGCTGCCTTCCTCCATGCCTGGACTCAGTTGGAAAGAACTCTTGACTCTTGAAATTTTCCTCTTACTCTGATCTGTACAACAGCATTCAGAATTTCTATTTAATGACACCTTGAACATTGTCTCCAGAGGTAGTAACTCAAGGTAATATTGCATTGAGTTTCAATCTGTCTTAAAATTTGTAAGATTGATCTCAACACTGCGTATAAGTGATCTAGAAAGAGACTTCTGTCAAATATTAACCGCGATTTTGTGAATTACAGTGCAAGTCGTCATATACTCATCTTTTACTTCGATTTTCAGACGTAGGATGGCAAAGTTCTAAGTTCTTCTACTGTGGGTATATAGATTGAGAGATACAACACTGGAGCTATTCAGTTTACTCAACCTGAGATTGATAGGTGCATTTGATAGGCTAATTCAATCAATCCCGCAAGACAATTTTTCTTGGTGACTGGTCTATGGTCAAAAGCTTCTGGAGATGCATTTTCCGGCTCAGAATACCAGCAGTGGGAAATACAACACCAATTTGCAAGAATTACAGTACTTTTTATCGATCGATGTATACAGGTGGGCTGATACACTACTGCATGAGTTGCGTGGTAGCTTGGCCTTCGATTGCAGTAGCTGAAAGTATACTCACACAGAGACTACTCACAATTGGATTGCACACTCTGCTAACTCGAACTTCCTCTATATATCAATAAACCAAACCTTAGTCCATGGCCACCTTTGAAATCGAACTCGAATCTTGCTCTAAGACTTGCACTGTTTCGGGTCTAACGGGCTTTGTGTCGAATGGAATTGAACCGAATCTACAGAATCAGGGCATATGACCTGGCCGTACGTGAAAGAGTTTGACAGCAATAACTGTCAAAGATGCATCGAAGGTTCCTTGCTACAGCAGTATCCACGCGCGGTTCATTTCTGTGCTTTGCGATGTATGATCTGTATTTGATCTAATGCTTGGTGTTCTGTAGGCGAAGAAGTTGCCTAGAAAGAGTCTACTTGCTTGCTTTACCGATTTTCTAGGTTCAAAGCCCGATCCACATGCTGCTTAAAACATGCGTCAAGTATGAAGGGGGTAATGTCAAAGAACAACATAATATCTAAACAACATATCACGAACAATGTACAGTGATAAAAGTAGTGAAGGAGAAGAAATTCCGCCCAGGTATCAGCAACTTCGCTGAGAACATGACTTGTGTAAATTGACTGGATCTTCTGTCTTGAGAATGTGATAACAACCTTCGAGGATATCACTAATGAGAGGTCATAGAAAATTTGCTCTAAAAAAGAAGCACAGTAACACGATTTGTGCCTATTTCTACTATAAACTTATGCTGAAGTGCAGCTTGCATGATAAAACACGGAGTACCAAGTGAAGTAACCAAAATGATGAGAGTTATAGGTGTGCTAAATTCGTCTGCTCCCTAATTCCATAGCAAGAGCAAGGTGAAAAAGGAATAAAGACCCTAGACCCGCAGCCACTACACTTAAGGAGGATGCTTGAATCACAGTGGGATCTTGCCTTCGTAGAGAGCTGCGCAAGTCGATGAGTACCTTCTTTTGGTCAACTTTATGAGATAGGCTACCAATTTTGTTTTTTAGGGCTTAAGTCTCTGTGAGTATTCCTCCGTGGTTGTGGAAAGGACGGAGTCTGACGGAGGGACTCACTTTGAATAATAGTGACGAGGGCATGATACTCGAGAGAATATGTATACAATATAAAACCCATACTCAATGCGATCGTAACGCTATCCCGCCGAGCCTCATGTTCTTCCGAGTTAGGCATATGAAGTATACTTTTCTCGGCCTTTTGGCTAAGATCAAGTGTAGTATCTGTTCTTATCAGTTTAATATCTGATATGAGGGTCATCGACCCTCACGATATTAATCTAATTTCTTTCGCGGGTGTGGGTCCAAAAGGATAGCTTGCTGTCTCGGATCCGCCAGTGTCGCCTAGGTATTGCACTACTTCCAAGGCCGGCGCAGCCCATCCTCCCACACGGGAGACCAATGAAGCCAAAACAGGATATGAAGAGAACTGTTGAAGGATGATGGAATTGCATCCTTCAGTTACAATCCAACTTATAACGTACCCACAATGAATGAATCTACAAACCTGGAGAATTCATAGCTTTTGCGACTAGGTAAGTGGAAGGAAAGTTGCGACTTACATCATCTTCCGATTCGTATGGACGTAAGCTCGATGACCACAGAGTATGCCCAACAGCCCAGGGTCTGTCCGACCTTGGACACAGTAGCTTTCTTGGGCAAGCTAAAATTGTAGACTCAGAAAGAGTCGATTCGGAAACCACACGGTCCTGGACATATTATAGATAGAAGCCAATACAATCAGAAAATAAAAATCGTAGACAGAGCAGAGCCAAGAGCTTATGATAACCAAACGCGACTTAGAGTAAGTTGATCCTGGGGAAACATACATCTCTCACGGCCTATGAACCTGTGAACTTACCCTGAGAAGTGTGGCATTGCTAGATACAAGAGCAATTCTGGATCCGGGAGAGTGACGGAATCCTCTAGTCCCTAGCATACATAGAACTGTGGCTAATAGAAATACGATATGAATCCACAATACTTGAGTATATGCTCCATCATGCAAATGTGCTAGAGACTAAAGTTCCGTCACTCTCCCGGACCCAGAATTGCTCTGGTATGAAAACACAATCGCTGAATGAAGAGCGGAAATCGAGGGTGTGGAAAATGGCAAAGAACTGATAGAATCAATAATATGAGATCAGATGATCAATCTCATACTTATACGCACCGAAAGTGAGGAAGAAAAGAAGGTGGAAGAAACCACCGCAGACAAGACGAGGACGATCGTTGTGAACGTTCATGTCTCATCCTCAGCAGGCCGAAATTCGTTTCACTAAATCTTTCCAACGTCATTGGTTCCTGTTCTTAAGTTTAAGCTATCTGCATGAACGTCTGGCTCTAGACATGTTCAAGCCGCGCATTCCGGAATCGGCTAGCTAAACGGGAAGAATATGATTCAAGGTGTTCATGAACGATTATCAGCGTTCAGAAAGGTGTTCTGAGTTCTCATCCTCGACGAGATATGAAGCGTGCCGTTTTTCATTTTGAATATGACGTCAAGGAGTTCAGATTCACGGCACAGAGTTTTGGTGAATATATATTTCCCTACCTCTTAGAAAATGTATAGAACTGACTTTACCGTGCTGAGTCGGAGGCACGGTGACACATTTGGCCATTTCCATTGATTTGGAAAGACGGTTTTATTGATCGAACGAGGTGGAATTGTAACTTGTAGTTCCTAAAGTGAAATTACTGGATCCCATGTTGGAACAGAACAGTAAGTACACATATCCTTATTCTAGTCAAACTAAGAATGAAATATGATAAATAAAGTACACTTTCTCTACAGTATTCAACCAGAAGTGAACATTTTTTGAACATATGATGGATTTTCAGTTTTAAAAGAACATAAAATTTATTTCTATTTAGTTATGGTTCAAGTCTAAAGGATAATTTCGCCAGAATTTTATTCTATACATGTATATGAATAATTACAAATATAAGCATACATACACTTTTACCATATAATCATAAATTATTCACTGATCCTTATTTATGATGTTCTCTTATATTGAATCAAGTCAGATGAAAATGCATAATATTCAAATATAATTGAAATCAAATTTTCAAAATATGGAATAGTCTCTTTATCATTTTGGAAATTTTTTTATGTGAAAGGATATTGTTATATTGATAGTAAAATATTTTTATTATAAAAGTATCACAAATGACATAATAAAAGTAAATATTTTGCAAGATTTATCCATCCTCATATTTATAAATATCAGAAATTAAAGTGGATCTATATCATTCAAATGGATTATTATAAGATAAATTTTTTGAAAAGATTTTGAAGTTCAAAGATATTAATAAAGATTTTTTTCATTTCTTAATTTATGTTCCAAAATTGATACTTTAAATCTTACAATTACTGCAATAATATTTTTGTACATACAGTACTTGAGTGAGATTTTTGCTTGAGGATTGCATGACACTAATTCAATGTCACTGATATAAAGATCCAGAAAATTGAATCATTATAAATTTTGTTGAAAATCTGATGTTTTTTTTATCATTCTTAATAAAAATTTGTCTTTTGTGATGTTTTTTAATTTGAAAAAAAAGTGTATTTGACATTTTGAATATAGATTTACGAGAAAATTAAATGAACTTATCTTATATCGTTATATTACAACTGTATTACATCATTGAGATCCAAATATTTTTTTTTAAGAAATTTTTAAATTCATCTCTTGAGTTCTTCATGTTGTGAAATTGTTCAAATTCTGATAATCGTAGCAAAGGTATAAGTAATCAAATGTATGAATTAGTTGGAAGCACATTACATATACTCTAATTGTTGCAAAGGAAAGCAACACTTCAAAGCTTTATAATGGTAGCTTTTGTTGATCTGGCCCATGAGGAAATTATATAGGTCCTTTGTCGTGCTGTGAGCACAAAAATGCGCTCACATGTCTTTGTAACCTTATGAGAGTTAAAATTTTGGATTTAAGCTCTTGCAAAATTATGCTTGGGGTTTTCTGAAAGTTTTGGCAAGATTAGGAGTTGATGTAATGGCTAGTAGGCAAAGGTGCGGAAGAGTGTTTTCGGCGGGGGCACCGCCTTCGGCAGTGCGCGGAAAAAGATTTTGGACGGCGGATGTTGGCGTGGTCATGAATGAAGACTGTACAGGTGTGGCAGTGGCGGCAGCGTGAAGTCAAGCGTGGGAAATATGACGGCGGGGCATAAAGTCGCACATGGGAAGCAGACCGTTGCCATCATTGCGGGAACGGCATTCAAGCGGCCTGTGGGCAACTCGGCACTTGGATTTTTGGAGAGGAATTTTCGGCGTAGCGATAGAGATCGTGTGGTGTGCCATTGTGCGGAGACGCTGGTGGGATCAGTAGGAGTAATAGAGTGTGGATGTGAGTGATTTTCGGATGGAAGTAGTGAGAATTAGGAGGGGAGTGTAGAGAATTCGAAGGAGGAGGGAGAGAACTCTCGAGGGTGGAGAGTCGACACTTTAATGGGAGCTGAAATCAGAGTGGAGGTTCTGAGAGTGGGAGTTGAAATCGAAGTGAAATCTGAGACTGAAATGTGACAGTCGGGATCTGAATTTGAAACTGAAAAGGGAGAGTTAAATCTGAGAGAGAAATCTGGTGGGATCTGAAGGTGGAAACTGAGAAATCAACACTGAAATCTGAGTAGAAATTGGGAGTGGGACTGAAATCGAAGGTGAGAACTGAGGGTGTGAAACTGAAATCTGATACTCAAAATTGTGGGTGGAATCTGATAGGAGGGTGAGATCCCTTAGAGCGAGGGTGTTGAAAGCGTGGAGTTGCTAAGAGTGTAGCCGGAGGGCTGAGCGGAAGAGTATGTGTGAGGGCCAAGAGGATCGCTGTGCTGAGACTGAGTTGATCACTAAGAGGAAGAATCGAGCAAAGGGTTGAGAGTAGAATTGTGTTCCCTGGATGTGAAGGTTGCTGTTAGGAAGGGTGTCACCTTGTGCTGCTCGTTAGTCACCTGACTGTGTCCGAGGCAGTGTGTCTAAGATGTGGCACTCATTCTAGGATAAGCCATAGCGGCTGTAGTATTGAAAAAGTCACTCATAGTTGGGTTAGATCTTTATGTGACGAAGAGCTTGTCTGCTGCTCTTGTGAAAATAGCAGAATAGCAAGTTGTTAGTGTCAGTTTTGGACAATTTGTCTGTGGCAAAGCGAGTATTTATGATCTCATTGTCTGGAATACACTTTGACCACATGGTTTGAGATCAAAGAAGTTGGATTATGGGAGCTCGAACCCCCACCTGGACTACAAACGCTGAAAGGTGGGGAGTTTAGGGTCACATGTGCGACTCGGTGTCGCCATACATCATACATCGCTGACATGATACACTCACAACTCACACATATACAAGGAACGAGAGTGTCCACACACAAAGGTATCACAACTACAGGAAACACTTTGTACGAATCGAACCACGAACAGAAAACCGAGAAAGCACAAACAAAAACCTGTAGACAAAAACAAAATCACGAACAGAAAACCGAGATAAAAACACAAGCAAAAACCTGAACACACTACACTGACTTCTTCCCTGTTCAGGCAGTTCTTCGAGTAAAATCATAATAACCTAATCGTCGAAACACAAATACACAGAGAGTCGAACCAAACTCACTACTCGTAGCTTGACTAATAGTCGAAGCTAAGGGGAAAACCCCGAAGAACTAACAGTTCTTCGAGTTTGCCTCGCATATAACTCAGGGTAGTCTACCCCAACGTGGAGGGCGTCCCAACGTGTATCTCCCCTCGAACTCAAATCTAACGTGTATGTACTCAAATCGACACCAACGTCGATACACATGACATCTTCGCTAGTTTGAAGCTTAATACGATAGATGAAAAAGAATTGAATGTCACATTCAAAATGATCACAACTTTTATGATGAACATAAATTGCCATTTATTCATTGTCATCTTTCTATGATGTAATTCATATTATGTATCATTATTTTCAGTTTCTTCACATGAGATCAGATTACTTTTCTTATTAATAATTTTGGATGCAAGTCTAATTGCTTGAAAACATGGTTCTTTATGCATCCAAGATCTCACCAACAAATGTCAACAAATACATATTGTGAGAGTGCGGCAGAACCGTGTGTAGATCTTGACGGTGCAAGATTTCATACGATTATCAGCGTTCACAAAGTTCTTAGAGGTCTCATCCTCGATGAGATATGAAGCATACCCTTTTCGCTTTCAATGTCACAAGGTCCAGAATGTCATGGAATTCAGATTTTGAAAAATGAATATTTAAGGTAACATATTACTCTTTAAAGCATGTTTTGAATTAATGTAATTGGAAAATTGCGTTTTTTGAGATAAAAGAAAATTAGGTGAAAGAATAAGTATTTTTTATTTAGATTTCAAACTTAGAGAGATTCGCGAATAGAAATGTCCAAGATCCAATTTGCTTGAGATCATTATTATTTATCAGGTATGAGATCCAAAGATTCTTTTATAAAATATAATCTTAAAAAAATAAAAATTTCCTCAGTTTTAAATATGATAAGTTTCAAATTCAACTGGATCAAAAAGAAAATTAATTATTTTAAATATATTAGATAGATGTGTGTATGAAGATTTGATCAATTCAAAAGAGTGTTGAAAAATATTCAACACGATTGAACATGAAATGACATTTTTTTCCTTGTAAATAAAAGATGAAAAACATCATAGTGAACACATATACTTTCCAATCACTATAATCAAAAGTTATGTTTTCGCGAATTTATCGAATGCACGTGTAGGTAGATATTATCCTCAAGCAACACTTAGTGCTTTTGAAGTTTAGGGTATAGGGTAATTTGATTTTAGACACTTTAGTACTTTTGAAGAGAAAAATACTATATGTAACCTCCGCAAAACATTCGCTGATACCAACACGATTCAGTTTACGGTGAACAATTGATGTCTTACAAGAACTGGTATTGTAACATGGGTGACTGGGTGCAGGCCGTCGGAGGGTATCCCATGAGATATAATTAATAGTCTTGGGTCGCAGCAAGTGTTTTGAGATCCTCAAGGTTCCATAAAAAAATACTTGATGGAAATAAATAATCCTTCATATATTCACCCCATCTCAATGCGAATATATTGCAAGCTTTAATCACAATAGAGAAATGTAGACAAGGGACAGTCAGTTACTTCATCTATCTTTTAGTATAAAGGTATCAAACTTTTAAATTTGTATCTATCGGAGTAGTGAAGAAGGTTGAGTCTTTGTTTCTTGGCCGGAGAGATCGAAATATCAATTGTGAATACCAATCATGGCACAGCTGTGACACTCTGTTCGCACCGTTTATTGATGTGCAGGACAGCTTGTTGCTATCTTTAAATGAGACGTGTTACGATCGGCTGCTGATCTCGTCAAGCTTCAACACAATGATAGCTAAGAACCATACATTCACACAGGATGTTCGTCGAACAGATGGCAGGGAGAGAACCTCTGATAATTTGCTTCAAGTATATCTTGAAATCCATAACTGTAACAATAAATTAAGATCATTTCCGCCAATAGCCTTCTACTTCTGCCACAGTAGCAGAACTGAATATCAAGTCTCAGAATTTTGAGGAATTGAGCAATTCTATAAGCTTTTGAATCTCATTGGCCTCACATGAGTCATTTCTCTGTCGAGTCCAGAGGAAAAACCACAGCGACAGCTACATATTGCATCACACAGAAACTTTCCTGTTTGTAATGGGTGCACTTTTTCTTCCAATTGATTCCGTCTGGAATGGAGAACAATACGAACAGTACTTATCTTAATATCGTTACAGTTTGGCATTTCGAGATCTACTTGAAGCATATTATCAGCGGTTCTCTCCCTGCCATCTGTTCGACTAACATCGTGTGTGAATCTGAATGTATGGTCCTTAGGTATCATTGTTTCGAAGCTTGATATGCTCAGCAGCGGACCATAACACGTCTTATGCAATGATACACAAAGCTGTCCTGCACATGAATAAACAACGCGAACACAGCTTCACAGCTCTGCCACTATCGGTGTACACTATCGAAATTTCGAGCTCTCCGGCCAAGAAACAGAGACTCACCCTTGTTTACTTTTCCAACCAATAATTTTTTAGAATGTTTTTAGATTTCTACTTAAAGATAGATGAATTAACTGACTGTCCAATCCCTCCTCTACAATATTTTTGTCAAGTGTGAACAAAACTTGCAATTATATTCGCAGTCAGATAGAAATTTTTGACACTCAAAAGTAATTAAGTGTCTGAAATCAAATTACAGCAGCACTAAATGTTCCCTGGTGACAGTTTCTACCTATGCGTTCATTTGATAAGTTTGTGAAAACATATGCTTTTCACTATGATGGATCTTTGTCATGTTTTTTATGAAGAAAAATCTTTTACAAATTGCTTACGAAGTCTTGAACCAAATCATTTTCAGTTTCTTTCTTCATCATTATTTGAATAGATCAAGTTTTCCTACACAGCTCTACCTGATATGTTTAAAACTACTGTTAAAATACATGTATTGATCATGCTCTGTTTTATCTTACGATTTAAAAACTAATGCATTTAATTCATTATATATTAACCATCTTATAAAAAATATTTTGATCTCGTTTGTAATAGATAATAATTCATACTAAATACATACTAATGATTTCATCATTTTGTTGGTATCTTGGTTATTTTTATTCGCGAATTGTAAAAAAAAGAATCATAATATTGAAATGTTAATTTTGAAAATTGGTAATTTTCACCTGTAAATGTGTATTTCAATATACCCAACTCTTCAATTAGATAATTTCGTGAACAGAAAAAATGGTAAAAAGAAATTATCTAAAGAATGTAATATGTTTTTGATATTTGAAATTCATATCTTGGAATGAATAGTATAGTAGAACTTCTGTTACCAAATACTCCAGTAGCGAATAACCTCCAGTACCGAATGAAAATCTTTAGGTCCCGACCTCGAGTATATACAGCTAAGGGTACGTGTATGTGCTTAAAACATTATCTCTCCTAGCTAATAATCTCTGATACTGAATACAATACCTGCTGTGCGATCCCAAGAGTATTGGCTATTGGAGGTTCTACTATATAGTTACAAAAGAGTTCACACATTAAATATACATTATGTTCATGAATGGATGGACTACTTTCTTTTGGAAGTTTTTTTTTTAACAAAAAAACAGGTTTTAAGATCAAAATACCTTTCCTGATGACCTGCCATGATCTAAGATCGTGAAAAGTTTTATAATAGCGTAGAAAAAATTTATTCTCTTGCTAACTGCCAAGATCCATACAGCAAGAGTTTGAGACGAAAATTGTCGCTACATCACCCGAGCATCAGAGAGTTTCCTACTTTCCTGGTAGTAATTTGGTCCCGGAGCAAGAGTTTGAGACGAAGATTGTCGCCTACATCACCCGAGCATAAGAGAGTTTCCTACTTTCCTGGTAGTAATTTGGTCCCGGAGCAGCTAGTGATGGACCACTTTCTTAAATAGCCAAAACTAACTAAAACTAAAATTCCGAAAAGGTTCTGGCAGAAATAATCCTACAACCTGAGAAACCAAAAAGAATTTCCGAAATTGTGGGAACTCCTCGACCTCAAGCAAAGTATAATCAAGATGAAAACCCCCGCCAGGTGCTGATCGAAGGTGGAATCTTTCACGACGACTTGGCCTTCAGTGTCATGTGGATATGACTCATTTATACCCTCAGTGTCGTAGTTCGACTCCTCTCCGTTTGTATACGATTCTGTAGGGTCTTGGAGAAAATGTTCAGCTTGAGCACCGCCAGATCCAGCTGCAGCAGGGCTGTATGAGTCTGTTCCTCCTGACCTCCATGTCGGATCAGCATAGCCAGAGCTCCCATAAACGTCTCCATAGCTCCCAACGTAGCCCCCACTGCCGGTTCCTCCACCACCTGAATTTCCATACCCGGTAGGGCTGCTACCATACCCGCTTCCTCGCCCTCCATCACCCGTGGAATTGGATCCATATCCGCTCTCACTTCTGCCATAACCATCACCCGTGTTCCCGTTGCTAGGCCAGCTCCGCCTCCTCCAGATCCCCACGCCCCAGAACCCCCATACCCACTCACACTATCCCCCGCAGTGCCTCCGTAACCAGGCGAGCTGCCCCCGCTGCCATATGCTGCTCCTCCACTGCCCCATGCACTTCTACAACCAACAGGCGCATCCCCGTAACCACCCGTTCCCGCACCTCCACTCGCATATCCACCAGCACCACCATAGCCAGCACCGCTAGGGGCAGCTCCAGATCCGATCCCTCCCATGTTTAAATCGGAGGGATCTGAAGAAATTGTGGAAGAGATGTCTCTCACTTCACTCAACTTTGACATTCCTAGCCATTCTATTTCATTGAGTGGCCATTTTGTTTCATTGAATGAGGCAAAATCTTGAGGAAGTCTCTGAAATATTACCTCCCAGCTTGAATACAGAGGGTGTACCTGCACATGGATAAAAATACAGAGATGAGTTTCTTCATCTCCGTTATAAAACTTGTCATCATCATACAGCAGGTCATATGGTGGTTTTTCACAGTTTACTCAGTCAAGGTCTATCTCAAGTTCATCACTCATAGCCTCAATAACTATAAACTGAAAAACTTTCTTCAGACGATGGTTGACGAAGCGTATTACAAGGTCACTTTCGATGTTCAAATGATAAAAAAAAATGGATCCATTTAAAATAAGAGAGGAGATTTCTTTAAATATACCATCGAATATGCCATGGAATTCCAATTTGCTGCAAGATCACGAATAAAACTCTCTGCGAAATTCATAATTCTCACAGAGAGCATATCTTCGGGACATCCCGCCTGATTCAGAGAAAACACAACATTGATTTACACTTATAAGTTCCTTCTACGGCAACGAAAGAACACAAAAATTAAAAAAATCATCTCGGAGTACTTGCAAGACTCCCTGGTAGCAAGTCAAAACCTCCCTAAGACTCAAAGGCGTCAAAATCAGCGAAACCAATCCAACTTGTAACGTGCCCACAATGAATGAAACAACGAAACTGGAGAACTCCTAGCTTTTGCGACTTTCAGGTAAATGGCAGTGGAGTTGCGACTTACATCATCTTCCGATTCGTCTGGACGTAAGCTTGATGCCCACAGAGTATGCCCAACGGCCCAGGGTCTGTCCGACCTTGGACACAGTAGCTTTCTTGGACAAGATAAAATTGTAGACTCAGAAAGAGTCGATTCGGAAACCACACGGTCCTGCACATATTGTAGAGTGAAATCAGAGAAATCAGAGAAGAAAAATTGTAGACAGAGCAGAGCCAAGAGCTTATGATACCAAACTCCACGCAGAGTAAGTTGATGCTGGGAACATTCATCTCTCACGTCCTATGAACCTATAAACTTACCCTGAGAACTGTGTCATTGCCTGATACAAGAGCAATTCTGGGTCCGGGAGAGTGACGTAGTACTCTAGTCCCTAGCACACATAGAACTGTGGCTATTAACGCAGAATACTTCAACATTTGTTTGTGCTTGTTCTCCATCGTGGGATCGAAGATGCAGAAAACAGTAAAGAGTCTGATAGATTCAATAATCTGAGATCAAGATGATCAATCCTTGTACTTATACTCATCGAACGTGAGGAAGAAGAAGGAAGAAGAAACCACTGCAGACAAGACGAGGACGATCGCTGTGAACGTTCATGTATCATCAACAGCAGGCCGAAATTCGTTTCACTAAATCGGTACAACATCATTGGTTCCTGTTCGTAAATTTAAGCTATCTGCATGAACGGCTGGCTCTAGACGTGTCCAAGCCGCGCATTTCGGAATCGGAAAACTAAACGGGAAGAATATGATTCAAACTGTTCATGAACGATTATAAGCGTTCAGAAAGGTCTTCGAGTTCTCATCCTCGATGAGATATGAAACGTGCCGTTTATCACTTTCAATATCACGAGGTACGGAATGTCAAGGAGTTCAGATTCACGGCACAGAGGTTTGGGTGAATTTAGTTCCCCTACCTCTTAGAGAATGTATCGAACTAGCTTTCCCGTAGTCTAGTCGGAGTCTCGGTGACAGATTTGGCCATGTTGATTTGAACAGACGATTTAATTGATCGAACGAGCTGAAATTGTAACTTGTAGTTCATTAAGTGAAATTTCTCGATCCCTGGTTGGAACAGTAAGTACACGTACCCATATATACTCAAAATTCTTTTGATTCTGGTCAAACTAAGAATGAGATATCAAAATAAAGCACAGTTTTTACACCATTTTCAGGAGCATATTTATGAAACGATATGTTATATTTATTATTTAGAAAAAAATAAAAAAAATAAAATTTTGTTCCAGTTTTAAATCATAAAATATGGTTTTATCTGAATTTTAATTTATAAAAATATATGAATAATAATAATTATACATAAACATGCATTCATATACTTTAATCTTTCAAGTATAAATTATACATATAATAGAATCTTTTTTTACGATGTTCTCTTATATTGAATCAAGTCAGATAAACATATAAGTATCAAATCTTATTGGCATCATATATTGAATATATTTTTTATCATTTTGGGAAGTTTTTGATGCCATTCTGTAAATTGATAATGAGTTTTTAGATTTATCAGAATATCACAAAAGACATAATACAAATAAATATTTTCCAAAATCTATTATGAAATCTTTAAATTCATAATTATTAGAAATTTAAGTGGATCTATACCACTGATTGGTTATCATAAGATTAATGTATTTTAAAGATTTCGAAGATTCAATGAATAATGATTTTTTTATATGATAATTTATATTCCAAAACTGATACTTTTAGTTTTACAATTACTTCGATATTATTCTTGTGAGATTTTACTCGAGAATTGCATGAGACTGACTTCAATCACACTGATACAAAGATCCAGAAATTTGAATGTGTGTAAATTTGTAAAAACAAATTGTTTTTCTATACATCATTACAAAGAAATTTTTGTCTTTTGTAATGTTTTTCGAAGTCAACAAAAGAAATGTATTTGACAATGTGAACATAGATAGATCAGCAAAATAAGTGAATTTGTCTTAAATCTCATTATATTATCATAATATTGTAATCCAAAATTTGTTTTTTTATTTTGTTAATCACTATTTAACAATTCCATGGTTAAATAATGTCCCGAGGTGCTAAATTCATATTGGGAAGTCGTTCAAATTTCGGTTATCGTAAACAAGGGTAAGTGTATGAGTTTATATATTGTAAGTGGATTGTATGTACTATTCAATGAATGGAAAAAAAAACATTACATTTGGAAAATATACATATACTTCTAACTAATGTTATAAAGTTGAAAGCAAATTACATACATTCTAATAGTTACAAAGTCACTCAAAGCTTCCTCTGGCCTATGGTTATAATGGTGGCTTTTGTTCAGCACGGACTATGAGGAGATTGTAAAGGTTCTTCGTTAGTTTGAAGCTAAATGAACAAAACTTTCTAAGTGAAATTTTCTAACTGAAATACAACTGTTCATTCCTGAAGGAGAACTGAATGTCTCACTCTAAATGAACACAAGTTTCGTGATGAGCATCTGTTGTCATTAATTCATTGTTTCTGTCTATCATGTAATTCATCTTCTGAATCGATATTTTCAGTTTCTTCACATGAAATCAAGTTACTTTTCTTATTAATAATATTGGATACAGCTTTAAATCCTTGACACGTGACACTTTATGCATCCAAGATCTCACCAAAAATGTCTACAAATACGTTTTTCGTGAGCGAAGTTTACATCAAAACCGTGTGTAGATCTTGCCGGTGCAGAATTTCATACAGATCAAGGTTTAATTTGGTTTACTACTGTGAAGATGTACTCCAAATGCGGGATCCGGCAGTAATAATGGCAAAGAACGATCAAGGACCGTCGCACCGTGTCTCACTTGAGCTCTATTTGCTGCACCACAAGTCGCAAAGGGAGAAACACAACCTCGAGCCTTTAATTGTCTCTCCAATATCATATGTGTTGAAAAACCGTTTCACACATGGCATGCACGCTAACTTTGATCATGACTGCAGGACCATAATACACCGCAAAATTCAAAGCCTTAGACTGAATTTGTCAACTGCTCATGAGCCAGAAATTGTAGCGAGTACTGATAGCATGACACGTGACAACTCTGCTGTCCACAATTCCATCTGCAGGCGGCCCCTTCGGCCAACGGGCTTTTTTGATGGAAGGAATAGACGGAATCAAATGTGCTGGATTGCAGTAGTCACGTTAGCACCGAGTTCGTCTGTTATCAATACTACGGAAGCGAAGTAGCGATACGACAGAAGGCATACTTTTGCTGATGCTTGACTAAGGCAGCATTCACCGGCCACACAGTGAGCGGGATGCTGGTACAGGCTTTATGTGAATATGGTAGCCGTCTACGATGTTATCCGTCCTTTACACTTTCGAAGGCCCAAGGCCACTCGCTATCGATACTGTAGTGGGCCTGTAGTCCCCTCTTGCTGCCACTCGTGTGCCAAGGGGAACAATTATGTCAGATTGAAAGTAAAAGGCCATAAAACTATTGAATATCAGTGAACAGGTACCGATCATAATGACAACTTGATACCTAGATCGGCTGATGCCCACGTGTATAAGGTCTCTGGTCGACCATCGAGGAATAAGAATTTCGGCTCTGAGCTGTCAGACGACAAATTCAAAGTTTTCTGGCACTTCGTCCTTCAGGTCGATGTTCTCGATGCCAGGTCTGGTATAACATGCACTCCACCTTGAGATTGTCACTTTCTATCAGATACAGTAGGTAGCACAGAGGTTGTTCACGGTGAATGAGATCGACAGAAACCAAGTCCAGGTGGGCATCTTCTAAAGCTGACAGTTCACGTGCACAGGTCGGAAACCAGAACCTCGTTCCTAGACACGATGGTTTTTATGCATGGCTTTACATAGAGCCCGCACAGAATCCGGAGCAAGTAACGAGAAGTAATGTGAAAAATAATGACCAACGACGAAGAGGTGATTCCAGGTTCCATCTTACCAGAAGAACTGACAGTTGAAAGCGCAGAGAGAGAGAGAGAGAGCACTCAGAAACGCGAGATATGTTGAGCAAGATCCAACGTCCGACATGGAAAGGTTTACATATGATAGAAAGCTAGAGACCCCTGCTGCTCTCTGGGACACGCGAACAAGCGTTGATCGGCCTGAGCGATAAAGCAGAGATGTACTAATAAGAGTGCGCAAAATTTCGGATCTCTTCACCTTCTAACTCTGAAGCGATCGGGCTGGGTGAGGCAGGCATGCTCGATCTCAGCATGAAGAAAAACTGGAAGAGTATTTGACTTGCGCGATCGATACATTAACAGGAAGATCTAAGTTTCACAACTACACCCTATCCATATCGAGATTCGAAGGGCGAAATCGTCTCTAGCAGCAGCAGCAGGCGGCCTAATCATGTACTATTTCCTCGTATTCGCTCCAATCCTGTGTTCCTCGGAAAGCCAATAACTCTTTCCTGCCCCCTGCCTCAAGGCTCTGCCCTCTACAGCAATTTCGTACCACTCCCTGTTCCAGATCTACGGCCGGCACCCAGACAGTCATCGAGGACTCAAAGGCGGCCGCACCGTGTCCTTCCCAAGTCATGAATTCCATACCTGTAAGGTCGAATCCGGCGTACATTCTCAATCACCCGAAGTTCTCCTGCGCCCGCTGCTTCAGCCTGAAGTTCTCACTGTGTCACCACCGATCGACTCCATCCCGGAGGTGCTCTGCCGTCGCAGACCGCCGCAAGTCATCACTGCCCAGATCGCTGGCCAGAACTGCAGGACGGCGCGACTGACGAATCGCAAGAACAAAATGCCAGGCGCACGATGAAACCAGAAAGCAAAGGCAATGCAGAGCGGAACTCGGAGAGAGGAGGTCCGGGAACAGCAATTATGGCAATTACCGATGAAATAGCAACATCGGCATAGAAATCCTTTTTTTGTACAGAATTTAGGGTGTTGAAAGTCCTTGTACAGGCGAGAACAGATTGGGACTCCAACCAATACAATTAATTAGAGAGCGTTAGATTGAATCGACTGTAAGCAAATGCAGCACAGCACGGCCTCTAGATCTAATTCTTCGACGATCATGACTACGTAATCTAATCCATATCGAAACCCTAGACGGGCCACGGTCGACTCGGCATCGGTGGCCGAGCTCCAGCACTGTCCTAAACAAGGGATCTGCGGCGTCGGCGATGGCGCAAGCGAATAGGCTTGCAGAGAGTTCTAGTCGGGTCGGGTCGGGTCTGAGAGCTAGCGAGTCCGGAGCGGAGAAGGGGCGAGCAGATCGATCCTTCAGACCTCGTGGCTCCGCTTCGTGGACTCCAAATCGTGGTCCGACACCGTCGGCGCCACCTCGTAGTCGCGGCCGAGCGGCGAGTGGCTCTTGTAGACGCCGGCGCCTATGGCGCAGCCGAGCGCGATGGCCAGCCACGAGAGCACGTATACGGGCGGCCGCGCCGTCGCTGTGTAGATGACATTGAGGATGAAGAGGGCGTACTGGCCGATGCAGTTGAGGTGCAGCATGGTGACGATGACGAGAAAGTGAGCCCACTCGTGCGGCTTCTTGGTGGCGTTCTTGCTGTACGCCTCGCGCAGCTTCTGAATGTCCATGGTGCTCCAGCGGTAGAGCATGTGCGCGTGGGCGCATCGCTCCGGGTGCACGTAGAGGCACATCATGGTGAATCCGGCGGTGACGATTTGGTTCAGAACCTCGATCAGAGTTTCCTTGGAGATGATCTCGGTCGGGATGAACGCATCGAGGAACCCGAAGGCGACAACGATGAGAAGCGTCAGCGACACGCCCACCGTCCAGGCCCAGATCTTCTTGCACACGGCCCACAGCGCGTCCAGCTTCACTTCCCCGAACAGAGGCACTTTGATCTTGTTTTCTTCCAGGAGCCGAGCGAAGGGGGCGAGCACTTTGGGGATGCTAGTTTTGGGCGAGGCGACGTTCTGCAGGTTGAAGACTGCGCTCTTGGGGGACCCCATGACCTCGTCGCCATCGCGCAGACTCGAGTGCAGCCCTTTCTTCGCGATGCTCGACAGATCTCCCGAGACGACGGTCGAGGCCATTGCGAAATCCCGATCCTCGGCGCAGCAGCGTGAGAGCGCTCGCACTCGCTTATTGCTCGAGCACTCTCAGCCTGCCCTGCACCCGGTCGCTGCCTCCGCTGCTGCCTCTGCCTCTACCTCTGCCTCCCAGACCCTGGAGTTTCTGCTGCTTACATTCGACTAGTAGAATCTGCAATTCCATAGCCTTGGCCCCTCTCGCTGGGCTCGGACGGGTTTTCACTCTCTGCAAGTGCCGGGGCCTGTCTCCGCTCCATGCCGCATCATTCTTTTCTTCTCTCTCACCGCGCTCCGGGATTCGGCTGTCCGAAGTCCACACCGGAGCTCTCCGACCCTGCGGCAGAATCTGCTTTCTAGCAGCTCGGAAGACCGGAATGCGCACTTCCGACCCAAGATTGCCTCACGAGTCTCCTCCCCTCCACACTCGCATCGACTTTACCTGGCAGGCTCTGCCGCACCAGCCAATGCTTGTCGTTTCGCACACGTTCTCCATCTTCGCCGCGCCGATCCCACAATCCGGCACTACCCATCCGACTGTGCTTTGGACATTCTGGATACGAGAACGACACGACATGTTCGCCGAGCCTAGAAGAATATTCAAAGCTTGTTAAACAATGGACCTCAACATTTAAAGTCATCTCGCCAATAGAGTACGAGTATCGATCTGCCCCGGCGATCCAGAAGCTCGCCACTGTAGAGTTCTTGACTTACATCCACGACCTGCCAGACGCATCGGTCCAAAGTCAACCTTTCGCTTCCGCCTTGACGTGCGGGCCCTCCGTGGCTACGGTCCTGCCTAGTCCCTGGTCAAGCTCCGCTCGGCGATTCGGTGGCATTATCCTGCCAGAGCATCGATTCGTTAGTGAAGGCCAGTGGCAGGCCTGGATGTTTTTCATGACATCATCGCTGGCCGATAGTCTGCCGAAGCCTTGAGAATCAGAACTCGCAGAAATCAGCCTCGTTCCAGACTGACGATGGTACAGTCAGTCGACGAGAAAACCTCGTACGATCTCTTGCGAGGCGTGGAAAGAGTCGTAGCGACCTCTGTTCCACCGAGTCGCAGGATTCTCTGCTCTGCCCAGGCTGAATCTTGCTGACTAATGTAGACGCACTCTCGATGTAGGACATTCCGCATTTAATATGCCATTGGCACATTGCAACGATGCGAAATACCTCAATATCCAGCCATCGAAATCACAATGACGGTCAGACCTAATTCACAGAAAGTTTGAGATCAAAACTCGAGTCGACATTCGTACATTTGTACATTATGCACACACAGAATATTTCAAGAATAAGAACGAATCACTTTAAATAAGTTCCATGTAGTTTACATGTTCAAAGAGGATATCGATTGTAGACTAACGCACTGCACTAGCCTTCCTCATACTCGGTGCCACTTGTTAAAACAAGCTCTCACGGGGACGAATCGTGGGGCTTTCTCTATAACAGAACAGCAAGCGAAGTTCCCACGAGGATAAGTGAGGCTTCGGCTGCAAATTCCCTATTCTAGAATCTAACCTACTATCGGTGCATATTCACATTCCCCTGCACAAGGCATCGGATGCGTCAAAATTCTACGAGAGTCTTGGCAACTTCGGAGCTGCCATGCCTGAGCAGTAGGTGTGAATTAACACCATGAGAAGACCTCAATCTGCCGAGGGCTGCTTTTTGAGAAGAATGACCTTCAAGGCCAGGAGGCAAAAATGTGCCATAACGAGGTGCCGAAATTATACCGAGTCGGGTAATGGTCGGACACAGGCTTTCTCTATAACAGAACACTGCGGGTGGTGAAGGGGCTAAAAGGACAGTCTTCTTCTCAAAGGCTTACAAAAAGATCGTTCCCCGCGGGTATGAACGCGTAAGAAGATCCGAGTGCTTTTACTACGTACGGTATAATAAAGTCGTACCAAACGCATTAACCAGACATCACAAGCTTGAAACTTCAAGGCCTTGGAGTTGATCCCGTCTGGATATTTACATACTTCACGTTGATTTCCATGTTATAGCTTCATGCTACATTTTCATTACTCTCGCTAGGCAGAACATTTAAAGTCCCACAAACATAGCTACTCAATACCACGCAATTCTTCGCGAAAAAAACCAGATTCATGAGAGTCAAATGGCTGCGTCCTCGAGCCCTCGAGCATCCTCGCCGAGAGTCCGATCAAGAAGTCGCTCTTCGTCGTACATTTGCACTAGCTGCTCTCTCGTTAGGACGGGGATTTGATGACGGAATAAGAGAGGGTCGATGGTTCGAAAGACGAAAGGCTCGCCTGCCGGAGGAGGGTCGGCGGTGGCGGTGGTGGAGTTGGTGTTGGCTGCTTCATGATTGCTCCCAGCTTGATCGGCTGGTCCGTATACACATTCAAGGCATACTTTAATGCCGTGCTTCTCATGAGCAAATACATATGTTCTTCGCACGGTCGGAGGTTCTCGGGTAGATGTTTCCTGCCACCAAACATCCTTGTTCGGATAGTCATTCCATTTTTTCTGGTGCTTTGTCACCAGCGTCGGAACAACAGGAACTGGCAACACTATGTGGCACGAGTCCAACTTGGCCTGTTCTGAACAAACCGTCGTCGTCAAAGGAATGGAAAACTTCTCAGAAACAGCTTCTGTGGCAGCGAGAAAGTCCTCTCTTACATGTAATGACGAGGTCATCTCGAGAAATCTTAATTAGCTTCCTCGCTCGAATCTGTCCCGTATCTGGAAGTCAACGATCAGGAAGAAGCGTCGTCCCGCAGAAGGCTGTCTGGAGTTGCTTCTGACTTGCCTCCTCTACTAAACCTCTGTCAAAGAATGAGCTACAGTCTGCCCTATAATCTACTACTTAACAATGCCTAGGTTATGAAACGACGGGCGTGGGTGGTGTGCTCGATGCTCGTTGCTTCGAGATGCCCAAAAGCATGGATTGAGCAAACTATGATCTGGCTGCAGAAGCCCCTGCACACAATTCAACAATTAGCTGGAAGATTGTCTCCCTTCACAGGAATATCGCAAGGGAATCCATGATTTCAAATATTGCAGTGTCTTGTCCTTTCCGAAGACTCGGTAGGCACTAAACGTATCTTGAGTCAACCTAGATACATATTCTATTCTTAAAGAAGCATTTGATGAATTGCTCTGGGTTTTAGGTCAGGCTGATCGGGTGCACTTGAGGCCACAGCTTTGAGAATAGTTCGTGGATGTACAGGTGACGATCGGACTGTTCCGTGAGCGCATCCTGTTAACCTTCGTCAAGCAGAACCTGTGTGTGTGATCATCAACTTGTGTGCCGACAAGTTGATGATCTTCTTCTCTACACGACAGGAATCTCCCGAGGCTGAAAAGGTGACATGTGCAAGAACCGTTCAAGGAAGCAATGAGATCGACGAAAGCATCATTAATGTTACCCGTGGTGTGCATGTGAACAATATTGTATTTGAGAAGGTCGAACGAACATCACAAGAGGAATCTATTGATGTGGCGAACAGTTGAGGAATCCCCATAAATTGGCCCAATGATGACACCCAGCGGATAGAGGACGGGGCATGCTCCAATAGCTATCACAAAGGAATTATCAATGCACCTTGGATGTTTGCGAGAACACAACACGAATCATCACCTGATTTGATGCATTGCAGTAGCAAAAGTTGCCTTCATAAATAACAGATATTTAAAATAAACTCTACGATATTTTGTTTCTTAGTAAGGTAGATTATTGCCTACGAATTCTTGCGAATATCACCGACATGTCGAAGTTGTCGTAGTATTAATGCTATGTAACCAAGTAACATATATCTGCGTATTACCCAACTTGGTGACATTCGTGACTACCAATCAACTCTCCACTTTGTAACAATTTCTCGTTGTATAAGATTTTTCGCACAATATCATCAACAATAACATCGTGCTTCTCAAGAGTATATGTAATTGTGTCCTATATAAAGTCAATCCCAAGATACCTAGTTTTTGTGCATAATCTTTATCACGATGCAATTGTATTCTCAGATCGAGATAGATCCATCCAAACTAAACTAAGTTATAAGATACTCCAATGCTCAGCGTAACTGAGTTTTTCATCTTCACTTAAGTGAGAAAATATCACATAAACATAATAATATCACGAGTACCTATCTGTTTTTTCCCTCCATTAAAAATTGAATGGTATGAAATCTCATCGCAACTAAGGTAATATCTTATTTTTTTTTCACAATCAATAAAGATGCTCAGTGTGCTTTCACGCAACATTTCCAAAAATACATCTTTCAATGAAAAGTATTTGTCAAATTTTTATTATCATTTTTTTAACAATACCACTAGAGTTGAAGTGAGAAATACCCACCACATTTGAACATGTGGTCACTAGGTCTAATTGAAATATGAACAAAACTTTTGACCAGAGTTTCATTTGAATGGGCGGCATTCCTGACATTCGAAAATCTCTTAATAGACTAGATTTTGATATTGAGATCCTAGCTCAGATTCTGATTCACTTAATAGGTCTTACAACATGACATTCTACTATACATCATGTTCTATTTTATATTCTATATTTACTCTCGTCACTTAATTTTTGATCGTTTACTTCGTATAGTATGACGTAAAGTTGATAAAACAAATAAACTCGAGAAAGCTTCTGAGACGAAGTTTAAGTTCATATATATATATACATATATTCAAAAAATTTGCAACACAAGACCATAAATATAAAGAATTTCATACTAGTCACCACAAAAAATTAGAGCAATAGAGGTAAATTCTGATTTACATGAAATGTTTCTTCTTTTTATCTATTTTCAAACATAATTTGAATCTGAACTATGAGGTTATTAATACTTCAAAAAAATGATGTACATTGATATTATTCTATCAATTTACATAAAATAAAAATTGCTAAACTACAACACAAATGGTTGCAAAACTTACGTTTACATACAGTTGCATAAACTATATTGCATGTTACATTGTAGAAAAATGTATTTAACTGTATTTTATGTATTGCTCTCGTTTCATATTATGTGAAAATAACATTTATGTGATTCATAGATACTTTCTGAAATATTAAACTCCACAGAACTCCTTTCTATCTGGATGTTATGTGAAAATACTTAATCGTTTCTCCAATGACCTTGATTCACATTATCTTTAATGTTACCTCATTTCTGAGAAAGAATATATATATATATATATATATATATATGCAATCTTCATATTTCAATATAATCTCATGTGTAGAACTCAAAACTTCAAACAACGTCCAATTTATTAACGCATTTTTGTACTTTGCATTCTAAGTGAATGTATTTATTAAATTCATAAGTAGATATGCTAATGACAAATATCAATAAATTTTTTTACAGCAAGAATAACTCTGAAAAAACCTTGAAGAGTCTCTAGTATTTATGGAGAAAGGTTGTTATTGAGAAACCTCCAAGTCCTTTGACTGAGCACGTTAAGATATATAGATATATATATATATATATATATTTATATAAACAACCACAGGGGAAGATTCACCATGTATAAAATATCCTCCGTTTATGTTTTCTCTTGTATCCTGTTTTCAGAATTGGTGTCTTTTCGTGTCCTCTCACAGCCAATATATGCTACTACATTGCCCTCCAGTGGAGGCAGCGGCATCCCGAGCTCATGGTGCTTCAACGGTCGTCTCGTAAATGGCTTAATTACACGCACGAAGACTTTAAGGAGAGCTCACAATTATGCCAACGGCTGAGAAGAGGTTAAGGTTGGACTCGTGTAATACAGGTGACAGAATTATGATGTTGTCAGCAGGATTGATGCTCTTCAGATAAAATTGATACTTGTCTGCAAACATGTGTATCAAGAAGAGAATTCACGATGGACTAGTTTTGAAATAGTCGATTATAATTCTGTTGCTAAATTGGCTGGTGCTGAACTCTCCAATTTCTTTGTTCTGAATAAGGGGAGAGTTCAGAGCCTGCCGACTTGAGCCTGACTTCTTGAACAAATTGTGTTTACTTTCTTTATCAAAATTGTTTTACTTCTTTACAATCCACGTTGAGACTCGTTTCAGGGTTTCAAAATGGATGTGAATTTTACTTTGATATGTGACTTTTCTGAGATCCTTGTACTATTGACATTTGTATATGTCTTGCATATCATCTATTAATTGATCACAGTCAGGGCATGTTAGAGCCTTCGGCTCTTCTCATTGTTTAATTTGAGGATTTCCTGTCCCAACATGATCACACTGTGAAACGGGTAATCACACTGGATTCGGATGAGGGATGAACATACAAAGCCAGAGATTGTCCATCATGTAACAGTGATTCAGGAAGAATCTTACGTGACTGAACATCAAACAAGTACTATCCCTTGCCAAGGATCCTATCAATGCAAACAAACCAGAGAATTCCTCGTCTAAGGTTTTCAAAGGAGGACGAATGAAGACTGCAGGGTTGTGTTGCCAGACGACGTCCGGGGCCTTTTATTCTTGTTCCAGTGTCACATTCGAGGAACGAGTTTATTGCATCCTGGATCTTCCTGGACGATGAACTCACCACTTCTTGTTCCAAATATGTCATCGAGAGATATGGGACTACTGGTACTACGACCACCGAACATTGGATAACAACTTCAATAGTTCCATTAAGAGAGGTTGCAGAATGGCGTCGTTGAGTGGTAGTCTCCAGAATAGAGTGATGGCCTTGAGCATCGAAGGTGGCATTGGGTTCGAAGTGGACATCGGTCCTGATCTTTGCTTCCAAGCACCTTTTTCTGGGTGATCAAATTTGGTGCTCTTGAAAGCCAGTGGCAAGACATCATTTACTGTCAAAAACTGGCTCTAAATGTGAGGTCCTTTTCTAATTTTCCAGGCTTAGTGCCATTTCCCAAAAGCATAGCTTCGAATGACAGAGTAAAGTGTACGGTAGGATTAGCTTCATGCTTGGTTTCATCAGCAAGTGCTTCAACATAGACCACGTAAAGCTTGCCCAGATGATATCCAGCTTTCTCTACGGGCCTTCCAGTCCTTTTCATGTCTGCAAATATACAAACTTTCGACACCTCCATAATCCGTGCCAATCAGAACTGCCTTGTGCCCTAAATGACTAGTCATTAGTTACTTAGTATTACAAAGATTTCCTATTCAAATTTCCAATTTGTAAAATCTCACAACCTGATATCAAAAGAAAAGGAACCATAGTTGTTCATATGTATGGAAGATTGAGCAGGATGAGGTACACCATATTTGTCCAACCAGCCTGACCCATGTAAGGCAACTCAAACTATATGCAGGCAAGTGGAACCCTTGAAATGTGAGAAAAAGCACGGCCCTGAAGATCATATCCTAGAAACACTTACCGTTCAAGGTGAACGCTGAACGGCAGCTGTTACTTGGGGGTTCTAAACCTGTTGTTTCAGGAGGACTAGTACTGGGGACAAGACAGGTCTCGGTGTTCCTGGCACAAAAATTTGAATAAGATTTTCACCATGAAGTATTGTAAAGTCTTTTTCTTCAAAATCCACTTCGACAAGACTGCTCCAACAGCACCATCACGCCTATGTGCCTCCGGCTCCTTGCTCGAGAGTATGATTCGTGAGGACGGTCATTGTACTATCGTGCAGTATCATGCAGTTCTGGATCATCGGGACCTCCAACCATTGTTAAATACTTTTAATCAGTGCAAAAGCGATGATGATATTTGTAAAAGAACTATCTAACAGAAGAATGGTGCAGTGGTTGGTGGAGTTGAACTTGCACAAATAACAAATGCTTGCAACTCCACCAAGGACTGCACCATTCTACTCTTAGATAGAAGCAACAAGTTCACCTTCTATCCGTATTTCGGCAAACACCGTATTCCGGGCGATCGAACTTCTTGAACCTGAAAGACATGGGGGAACACATTTGTTGTGATGGTAAAAATTGGCTCTGAATCTGAGCTCCTGTTCCACCTATTCCAGAGAAATCACCATCTCTCAAGCATAGCTCTGAATTGGAAACTAAAGAGCACTGTAAGGTTAGCTCCCTCTGGTGTCATAGCAAATCCTTCAACGTATTTCACACATAGCTTTCCGCCGTTCAGCCCAGCCTTCTCTACGAAATTCTCCGTCCACTTCTTGTCTCCCACATATACTCGGCTGTGACCTCCATCGTCTATGCCGATCACAACTATCTTGTTTCCTGCATTATCAATCATTTGCTAGTTTAGCTACCAGTCAAATACGAATAGAGTTACTACAAAATATAAATAGTGGAAAGCATGTCATTCAAATTCTCGGAAAGCATGTCAGTGGATTGGCAATTTGGACGAATGAATCAACTTATAGCAGAGTCCGAGTGTGGGGCACGACATTCTCCCAACCATCTTGGCCTATGTAGCACAAGTCGTAGGTAGTTCTGGTCAGTGGACCAGTAACAACATGAGTACAAGCGCGGCCGTCAGTACCATCTTCCTCATCATTCATGAACATCATTCATTCGTTGTGGGCGTTGTAGAAGGTGAAACTAGGTAGGTGCTAGCTGTTAACTGCAGAGCCTGCTGAACTGGAGATTGGATCAAGATAGACCTCGGCGGCTCTGTCCCATGCAAACCCTTGCTGAATGAGGTTTTTACCGTACTCGAAGTCCTTCCTCCGGATGATCCAGTTCGTTGCCACCATAGCGCCTGATTGCTCCATTTTGTGCACCGTACTCGTTGTTCATGAGGACTGTCATCGTACCATTCAGGTTATCGTACACTCATAGACCATCACGTTTTCCGACCATGGTGTAGTTGTTGGCTGCAGAGTTCCGAAACGAGGTAATTGTTTTGGTGAATATTCCACAACCACCGGCGTATGTGACGAAGTAGAATTTTTGCGTACTGCTTGGTTTTCGCTCTGTTCCACCTCCATCAATTACAACGGTTTTATCAACATATTTGCTCCAATCAAAGAGCATTTGGAATTTATTTGAGGTCCACCAGGAAATAAGCTGCTTTGTAAACTTTAGACTGTGAGTTTCTGGGTTCTATGCTACGTTGCGTCTACTAAGTCATTTGAGTTTGGAAATTAAGATATGTTCAACAAACTGTAAGTTGTTCCAGTGAAAATGGCGTTAAGAATTTCCTATGTCAAATTATTTGGATATAACCAATGCAAATATTCGAAATTCAAACATGTAGATGGATATATCGATAAGACCTTTTTTGAGAAAGATAAACCAAAACACAAATTTCCAATTCAGTTGAACCATAAATTTTCTATCAAACATGACTGAATCCAGAATTTTGCGAGGTCTGCTTATAAGAATTATTAATGATATCAATATGAGAAAAATCCAAATCAATTGCAAGTTTTTTCAAAGATTATAAGCATATCCCACAACATGAAGTCCTTTTAGCAAAAGTGATTAAATTCCGAAAACCTTTGAACCTTTTCTTCCATCTCAGTCGTGAAGAATCAATCAAAATGAAAAAAATTCTTTAATATGAACCTTAATCAGAAACCCAAGCTGATTCCAATGAGATAAATCAAAAATATAATTCTAACAATTCTCTAAATTATTTCCAGTTTATAAGTTTTTTATTTTAAATCTAAGGGAAGTAGAACTTAGGAAAATAGATTATAATTTTAAAGTGAAAATATTTAGGTTCATATATTTGAGAAAAAATATAAACCAGAATTTTGAAAAGAGTTTTAATAATAAGCAAGAAGTATATATTCTTTTTCACATCTAAAAGAACTTCGTTCTTGTGTATAGTGTACATATGCCCGTCATTTTTGTGCATTTGGTTTGTAATAAAACATGAAAAAGTTGGATTGAAAATTAATATTTGTATCTAAATTGATTTGAATTCAACACATTTCCTAATTATTTTAAATATAATTTCCAAAAAGTTGAATACCCAAGTGATGTGAATTGGATTTAAAGTCCAGAGATTTTGCCATAAAGTAGTGTATTATCTCCAGACTATTTCCACTGAAAAAAATTGGACCATATTATCTTACGAGATACATTAATATGATTCAATGCTGATTTGAATCTATAATACTGAGATATCTCACGTAATAATGAAATCAATATCTCAATTTTTGCACCGTAACCAAGCGTTCTCATTTTTATGCAATACCTTGGTATGAATGAATGAGAACCAACAAATTTAACATTTTGCAGAAGACTTTACAAGCGTACTAATAGTGTACTATTAATGTCATTGTTCCTTCTGTCACTGTGGAGCTTAAATTAAATCAACTCTGAACTTAAGGACCTAGGCAAGTATTAGAAGATCTGTTGAGCGCTAGCGATCGAATCAAGGAGTCATATACACTTCACAAATCCAAGAATCGGAGCAAGTTAAAAGATTTGGCTTCAAAGCCTAGAAGGTAGTTGTTAATGTGTATCATATTATTGCATGGGACAAAATCGTACATTATTAACGCAGTATACTTCATTTAAGTATGTTCCATTAATATAACGCACTGAACGGATATCTCGATAGACGCCATCACAGATCGAGCGTGGACAAGATAAAGAACATTATAAGCCTGAGGTACATAGTATTCAATGGCATCAACATTATGAATTTTCCTCGTTTTAGCATTTCCTGCACAGATCTGTAGTACAAGCGGTGATAAATATATTATAGTATCTTCTATTCAGAACTTACAATGTTCGACAGCATCTTTCATGAATATATTTAAACAAAACAAATGGATGTCCTTTTATGTTTCTCGCGAGTTTGAAGAAACAAATTAAGGATTGGAGAACGAGAAATTTTATTTTGAATGATTTATACTGCGGCCTCTCCTAGATTGATCTACGGTTACGATACCCTACAGATTGTTTCTCATATGGTATTAACTTCAGTCTGGAACGTCTAACGCCCAAATACTTGTACTTTGCAAGAAATGTCGGCCCAATGTCATTATCTGAGAGTAAAGCAAAATTTATTAGCTTTTATTTGCTCCGTTGATATGCTACCGACAAAAGTGGAGTTAACTCTTTTCTTTGAGATCAGATTCCAGAAAAAGGTTAGGAAAGTTGTCTATTTCAGTTTCTACCAAACTGGAGTATGTTACTTAGTGAGGTTGAAATTCTTATATCAGATAATGTCATCTCTGATGTGAGATGGCCACTCTTGTTCGACTATATGAATTTCTTTTAGTCAGCATCATTGACAATGACTCCTTGTAAAGGCAATCGGAGCTTCGATTCCCTTGCGGGTCGGAGAAGTCAAGCTGATATAGAAGACATTTATACACTCACTATGTGTAGTCTGTGAAGGGCTCTAATAGCACAAAGGCTGTATTTCTTGGTCCGAAACGTGTATTGACAATCCTGTCGTTCCAGCTTGAAGGAGAAGAAAAAGTTTGTCGTTGCAGAATGTTTCAAGCACTATAATTTAATTCACGACGATTCGCTGGTCTTCTAGATGCGGTAATGGAAATAAATAGCGCCAGTGCACGGTAAAGCTCGCGGGGACCTTTCAGATTTGATACTATAGAGGCTCCGTTGCATCCACCCGTAGAGCAACACACGGGGATGATCTGAACGCTCGAACAGTATTGTCACAAATCTCTAGGTCGAAAATATGACTCAACCGGAAGAGATCAAGGAAGGGAGACCAAGTCTTCTTCACTGTTCTTCATGTAAAGAATTGGGATACGTCGGAGCCGTCATTGCTTGTGTTACGTAAATCAGGATTTAATTGCTTCAGATTTGATTGACTAGTCTGAAGTAATATTAATATTCCAGAACAGATCAACGATGATGATCAACGATCGTCACTGAACTTCAACCAAGATCCAAATCGTGAGACGCAGATTCTCACGACTTAGAAGTTGTCAAATCGTTTGCTGGACTATCGAAGCGCTGGTTTCAAGTAACCTGCCAAACTTTAGTGATAAGACAAGCTGCAATTGCCATTCCTTCATATATCAAATGTTGATTGAATACAATATATAGAATGATATTTACCGCGAATGCTCTCATTCAATTCGACATAGTCACCATCATGAGATTGGTACTTTCAGTGGTTTCTCTCCCGACTGCTTTTAAATCATCACGTTTATCCTCAAGCTTTACGACTTTTGATCTCCTTTCTGATGGACATTTCATCTGAGTTTGATTCTTTTTCTGTCTCAGGTGCTCATATCTGACAAATGCAGAGAAGTAATATTGCGCGCTCAATTAACTGAGAACCAAATGATTCAAATCCGCGAAATACACCTCAAGTATTTGATGAGAAGATTGAGCGACGTGATCTCATTCCATAGGCCTCATTCGAAACCAGACTGATTCCAGAGGAGTACCAGGAAGAATGAAACATATTTCAGAATGAACCCGACTTGTGAATCCATACCAATCTATCTCCGTGCCCTAGACATGTTTCTGCACAGCGTCATGAAGTATGTTGACAATCGAATGTCTTCGTGGCTGAAAGTTGCGACACTACTGTCAGTAACCTAGATAAGTTACGAGCGACAGTCTCCTGAGCACAAGATTCTCCGTATCTTGAAGATTTAATATAGTAAAAGATTTCAACGAGCGATACTCGGAAGGTACTCTGTCACGGCGTCACTAAGCTACGCTTACTATAGGATTTCCATGCTTGTAAGAAGCAGCTCCCAAATCCAGTCACACACCAATGTTTGCACATCCTAGCAGACGCGTAGACTGGCTACTGCAAATCAATGTGCAACCAAGGGAGGTACAATCGTTCCGATTAACTAACCATTAATTTAGTCTTTAAGCGCGGGATCGTCCTCTCACACATGAGAAACACTTTCGTCCAGCATGGAACACGACAACACATATTCGTAGTATATTTGAACAACCTCACACAGCGGCTTTGAACGCGTTTAGTCATATTTATGCAGGCAGGTTGATCTTTCAGTGGATGTGACCATTGAAGCCAGATACCATTGTCAAGAGTCTCCATGATCATTCAAAAGGAAAATCGTGACAATTGAATATGCTATGGACTCCTCATCGGGGTTTTTTTAATTAATGTACAGAGAGTCAAAGAGAAAAAATAGAGTACAAAACCCAAGGAATCATGAGATCTGAGTACATGCAAGCAAGCACCTGTACCTAAGCAGATCTATATAGTGAAGGGTCGCACAACTCTGACAGCTATTGAGCAACATGTACACGGGCGGCCAGTTGGCACAATCAAGCGACGGCAAAACGGGCCGTCACTCGACCGAAGACGTCGTCCTTTGGAGAGATGGTGGGGGTGTAGATCATCTCATCGCAGCCCGGGGTGCGGGCTCTGTCCAAGTTCACCATAGTGGACCACAGAGCTGTGAAGAGAGTGAGGTTGTTCAGAGCGTATCGTTGGCCCACGCACTGATGAGGTCCAGCTCCGAACAACAGCCAGTTGCGCTTGTACACCACGTCCTCCTGCCTTGCCGGAGAGAATCTGTCGGGGTCGAATTTGTAAGGGTCGACGAAGCCTTGAAACGAGGATTCCAGCAGGGATGGGAAGACGAGTGCACCCTTGGGGATCTTGTATGTGTCGGTGAGCATGAAGTCGTCCGTCAAGGCCAGGTGTGGTACGAGCGTGGCGGGTGGGCGGAATCTGAGCACTTCCTTGACATACATGGTCGTGTACTCCATGCGCAGCAGCTGCTCCGGCGTGATGGGAGCAAGAAGATCAGGCCTCACCCGCTGCTGCTCCTCTCGCACCTTGGCAAGAATCTCAGGGTGAGCATCCAGAAACACGATGGACCAGGCCAGAGATGAGGTGGAGGCGTCCTGTGCTGCGAACAAGAAATCAAACACCTGGGCCCCGATGTCATCGTCGCTGGTGTAAGATGGTGCAGGTTTGCCAGCTGCCTTAGCTTCCTCGATCACTCTCAGAGTCTCAACCAGAATGAAATCGATGACGCATGCTGGTTCTCCTCCCTTGCTCATCCTTGCTCTGCTCAGACCAGCGCATTTTGCCAATGCATCGATCAGGAACGGAGCAGCATTTTTGGCTTTGTAGTAAGTCGTCCCGGGAATGTTGAATGGCAGAGTCATGGTTCCCTTGTTGAAGATTTCGTAGTTCTTGTTGAACTGGATTCTCTCTTCCTCGGTTAAGTAAGTTCCGACGAAACTAGTCTGAGATGTCTCTAGATTCATGTCACGGAGCAAAAACCTCATTCGTAGTGGTTCGTTCCTGGTTTCGAACAGCTTGATCCACTGAGCAATGTGTTTCCGTATCAAGCTCTCTTGAATGGAAATGTAGAGTGCCAGAGCTTTGAAGGTGAAAATGGGACCCAATCGTTTTCTCAGGTCTCGATGTTCCTCCCCGAACATGAAAATGAAATTGTTTTCCGCACCGAAAAGGTCTTTACCGAAGGGATGGATGATCATACGAAACCCATCAGGTGACACGTTCATGAAGATTTTCCTGGACAGCTCTGAGTCCCTCACGAAAACAATGAACTTTCCTAACAAGACATTCCAGGAAACTCCAGTCTTCATGGCTGTTTTCGCCTGATCTTCCCAAAATTTTACAGGGTCTGCCACCATCCCGTATGCATTGCCTAGAAGCGGAACGACAAATCTTGGCCCTGGCAAGTGCTTCGCCTTCCACTTATGGGAAAGCTGCTCATAAGCCATGTACAAGACGAGAGCTGTGCCCAGAATCATCCTCCACTTTTCCACTAATATCTGCTGTACCCAGCTAACCTGCTCAAAGGTTGCCATGTCCATCTCTCTCCTCTATCTCTTCGTTTTTTTCCCGTGTATTTGACACCCAATTTTCGCCTCTGCCCTCACTAGATTGATCTGCCTGCCAGTCAGCAAACAGCGAAACTACAAGGTAGTATATGATATTTTCGAGATCATGTACTCCTAACTCCTATGTCTGGTGGTTCTCCTCAGGGCAGAGCAGTTGGGTACTGCCGGCATGTACCCACAGACAAAGATCTAAGTGAGGGTATGAGCTATTTATGCTGGGCAAAAGTTCCAGTATTGCCCGAATCGAGCGATTACAGCGGAAGACCTCTATTGGAGAAAAAGGTGTTAAATCCGGGGAGACTTCCAATTTGCAACGTTTACAGAGAACAGTATCTCCGCAGAATCTGCAACTGAACTCAGGTGTGATGTGGATGAAGGCATCAAACGAGCTGAATCACAATATGTAAGAGTGATTCCATCAAGAGCAGCTACAAGTCGCCTTGCTTCTCGATTCAATTTGTGCACATTCTACACGTGACGACAGTAGAGATTAGCTCACGAGCTGTCGGCTTACATGTTATGCACAGTGTGTGCTTACTGCATAGCAAAAGTTGGACCCTTCAACACTCACCATTCGTAACGCCTCCGGTGTCAACATCCTCGTGTAGGAATGCATGCTGCGGGGTGAGGTACACCCCCGCAGCATACACATCAAACACAGCATGTGTGGGGACCTCTTTCTTAGAATGAGACAACAAAGAACGTCGCATCTCCAAAGTGAATATTTGTGATTTGTCATAACTCCACTTGCACGAGGATTGGTCTTTGTGAGTCTTTCTCCGGTTTGATAGTCTTTTTTCAAGGAGTACCTTTAGTACTATGGAGCTAGCCCACACAACATCACATTGCACGTCAAACTTACTATCTAGTTCGAATGGTAAAGCATAATATACTCAGGATGTCTAAGATTAATATTGTTAAATGTCCTGATGTATAATATTCTTATATTTTGTATATTCATGTCATATATATTACAATGAGAACATCTTCTAGTTTATACGATAAACTAAACCAAAGAGAAACAAGCTCGTTTTGGTTGAAAATTTGTTTCAGTTTTTTCTAATTTATAGTCAATCTCTCTAAAAATTCATAATTTAGAGATTTCTTTGGATACTAACAATGAAAACACGTTGTATAGATACCTTATACAATAATAAAAAGACAATTGGCTTTTGATATCTAATTTCTCGTATTGTTATCTAATATATAGTTTACATCTCTATGCATTACCTTTGTTTAAAAAGATTGATATATATATATATATATATTTCAAAGTGGTTTTTAGTAAAAAAAAATTGTTCATCACCCATTTAAGGAATGTATTTTTTGTAATTTTCTGTAAAATGTGTAGACTTTCATACAAGAAACTATTACTGCAATTCACTTTAAGACGAGTACAATCTAGTACATATCAACTCTATATTCACAATTTGAAATCTATGACTGGAGTTGCTGGGCAAAAATCTAGTTGCTAATGATATAACAAAACCATCATTAGCAACATGATTATGAAACATTTTTTACATGAACCTCTATCAAAGATAATGGTAAAGCATCTTTCTACACTTTTGGCGATAGGTTTTCAGAATATTACTTCAACACACCAGTGCAGATTTCTTACCATCTTGTGAAGGGGATATTGTGATATCATCATTTCCATACTCTTCTTTTTGGAAGAGACCCTTTTTCAAATCCTGTCGCAACCGGATCGAATGAGAGTTTTTTCTTCCTGTCTTACATGTAACGCACACAAAGCACAACAACTACTGTTGAATAGTTTGGTAGTTTTGGCCCATGTCTTTCTTGACAATCAACTTTAATGCGTATGGCTAAAGTACTGTCGGTCTTCTCTCAAGGTGAACAGTTAGGCGTTTTTAACGTCTTCTCTCTAGTTGAACAGTCAGGCCTCGTTAACGAGGGTGGCCTTTCTTTATGTCAACTTAAACAATAGCTCACGTTTGCATTATTTTATTCGATATAGTTTCTCTATACTCAACCGATCTAGCTAACACTAGCTGGTGCCAATGATAGTAATGGTTGTTTTGTCGTAGACGTTCACTTCATCGGTTGCTTCTCTGACCACATTTCGTTACGCGTTCAGGTCCATCATAAGGTAAGGAGAATTCAACATTCAAAGTTGGCGGCTGTTAAGTAGTTTCCGACGATTTTGTAAAGGAGGACAATTACCTAAATTTGACTTGGTAAATATATTAAAAATAAATATAAAATATATCATTAGAAATATATATTTACCAGCTTTACCAAAAGCCCAATGTGCTTTGAATTCATCTAGTCGTTCTTGGATTTTGGTTTATTTCACAAGCATTTTGAAATTTCACTTCCTTTCGTATTCATTGAAAGAGAAATTCTACATTCTTCACTCCTTTCAACACTCTGAAGAGTGAACTGTACAAATTTTTACAACTGAGAGAATATGATGATCATTGATGATGTCTGAATCGGCCTCTCATTGGTAGTCTGGTGTTATTTTCATGGTTTTTCCCTTTGAATTGGATTACTCATAATTTCATTCATGATGATTGTCATGGCAATGCTCTCATTAAACTCAATATATCATGAAAATTCATGAATTTTATTTTTCTGAAAACGCTTTGTCTGAGAATGTATGCAATTTCAGTTGGATGACATGTCTATTTACGACGTCGGCTTTATGATGCAGTTGAAAGAAAGCACTGCTGAGGTGTCTTTGATTTAAATTTCAAGATCCAGAACACAGTCCTAAGTTACTTCTACGTCCAATCAACTTAATGACATGTTATGGACGTGTGTGTGCAGCTGATAGGTTTCAATAAACACAAAAAATTCCCGCTAAATGCTTTGTTATTGTTGTGAAAGTACTTCAGTTCAAGCAAGCGACAGACTTGCTGATAAAACAGCACACCTCAACTTCTTCCAACTTGAGGTCTGCTGTTTCTCAACATGGTCTTACACTCACGGTCAGTAACTGAATACAAATCAATCTTCAAAGTCAGGAACTGTACATCAATTTTTGCATCAGTTTTTTTTTCTTTGAACTTTCAATTCCAATCTCTGGTGAGAACAAGTTTAGTTTTGAACTTGATGAACAATACAGAGAAATCCCTGCACTACAGAAGAAAAGAAGTCCATGATTTATAATCCACAGCATATTGGATCGTTCATGAGGACTTTCGTGTAGCAGACTGACAAATGGCGAGAAGCTTAAGAAATATGTGAGATAGACTTCATGTTTAATTTCAGATGGTTGCCATAACTAATATGACACCAAATATTTCGCATCATAGAATTGTTCACTGAATCAGCTGATCGACGGGATATAATAGCTATCATATTGGTGCTAAAGCTCCGAGGTGGGATTATGATAGCTGACTTTCCAAGACTACGCATTATTGTATTTTTTGAGCTTTGTCAGGATCAATTTTACACGTCTCTTTGAACAATTAAAACTGAAGTAGACATCGCTGTGTGTTCGTTGTATGGAACTGCAAAAATAATTCGTAGAAGTAGACACTAGGTTTGATTCATCACTCACCTTGCTTTGTGGTCCATGTTACTACTGCACTGAAATTCAGGCATGAGGATGCCGATCGATGCAACACTCGATTTTTATTCGATTGGCACAGAGCAAGAGCGAATGTACAGAACGATGTCGGACAAGGATTTCTTTCTTTGAGTAAAGTTAGAGTATTTGAGTGTATCATGTATCATACACATTGAGCTCCAAGAAATTAGATGCCTTCGTGTACAGCTTACAGGAAAACTACCATGACTGTTACCTAAACAACAAGAACCGATAGAGTAGGTAATCAACTCCGGATATAACAAATGATAGACAAAACTTTACATGGCATCAGGTTTTGAAACTTTGCTTTACAGTACGTAAGTTACTATACAGATGTATACAGGAAGTTTTCTGTACAATTATTCAATTCTGCTCTAGATTCTACATAGTACAAGTCTCTGCTGACACAAGGGAGATTCTTCGTTCGAAAATTTGATGATTTGGTGATTCGATTGCTTGATAATGATTTGGGCCAGCTACTTCTCGAAATTGAAATCGTCGAAACAACCACAATTATTCTCATTCTCATGTGAAGAAAACTAGTTGTAGAGCTGTGCTAATCAATCTTGATCAACTGTGATTCCCATTTGGCGTTCTTGAAAAGGAATTTCAGAAAGGTGGATCTCGTCTACTCTATCGAGATTACAGCGGCAGAGAGGGCAAGTGGTCTTGTTTAACAAAAGCCATTGAGTCAGACAGACTTTATGGAAGAGATGGTTGCATCCGGGGAGCTTGTACACACTTTCATTGTCCATAAATTCTGATAAGCACACAGTGCAGTCATCAGCTTCTTTTCTATTGGATCTTGTGAGTTGGATTTCCTTCAAATAGCCTTTGATCTTCTCTACGAGGAGAGGATTTTCATCCACGTTCGCGTCATCAATCTCGTATTCCGGTGGACCCATGTGTGAACGCGCTGACCAGCAGATCATCAAAAGACATGGCAGAAACTTGGTGGCCTCCTCAAGAACCTCATGCATTCGCCAAAAAACCGAGACAGCTAGCTTGTAGAATTTCATCACGAACTCCTCCATCTTGCTCATTATCAGCTGACACCGAGGCGGTTCTGCCTCATAATCTATTCGTTTCAGTTTTAAGAGGTAATGATGCATTACATGCATATCAAAATGCGTCCTTCAGTTTCAAAAAGTGCCTCTTAAAACCGAGTTGGCTGGTCACCTATCCACTGAGGTTGTCTACGATCCCGATACGCTGTCGATGATCCCTAATTCCAAACTGACCTTGAGACGACAAAAATCTGCCAGTGAAAGCGTCAGGTGCAGTAATCCAGGCAGCAAGCGACACACCATCGACACTCCTGCAGTCTTTCTTTCAAGATGATCGTGTAACCCCTGGAGCCCTGCGTCTTTGCAATGTGAAATTCTCCAGCAAAGCTAGAAAAGCCTGTGTCTACATTCGATCACTGACAGCCAATCACAATTTTTTTGATGCATGAACTGAAACTGGGAGGATCTAAAAATATGAGCTCAGATGTTTACCACAGATGGAAACCCAACTACTCGAATCCGAATCCAAGTGAATCAAATTGATTCATGGATACATTCATGCTACATCACAAGACTTCATCTGTGTTCGGGCTTTGTAACATCATTGAAAGTTGTAAACAACTCTCAGGTCGATCATGCTTCTCTTGGTCAGAGTCGCAAGACAAAGATGTAGAAGGGGCGAAAAGCTATTTAAGCCTCTCTGCAGCTGAGCCTTACTTCTCTGCCCAGACTGTCACCTAGTGCTTTTCACTGTTTAAAACATTTCCCTACTGTAGTTTGATTGGCGAGAAGAAATCATGATCATTTGGAATAATGGAGACGAAATTCCAAGCACAAGGGGCACATGGTCTAGGAGCGATCCGACGCGCAGGAACAGTAGAATAGTGCATTTTTGACACAATCAACGCCAGGAGTGTCTCATATTGCACCTTTGCAATCCTTCTCTTTCTAACAAACCCCCATGCAGTCAACCAGAAATCCTAGCAACTGTTACAGGACTCTGCCTTCCACAAAAAGCCATCCTATGATGCATAGAAGAACATACTTCTAGAGACTACACAGAAGGAATGCTGTCAAACCACTTTCCTTCTTCAGGAAAAGGATAGTACAGCAACAGTCACGTCAAACTCTGCTGTAGGTTGGAGTGGTCTTTTGTCAAGAATTTATCAGGTTGGGTCAAAAGGCGGTTCGTTATTTTGCTTTGTCTTTTTAACTCTTGTTGTGTTCTCCTAGCGAAGTTTACGTGTAAGAAAGTGCACATTGCATGTTTGTATCTTCACCTTTAAGTATATTACCAGGCTTGCGGGAAAGTGGTGGTTGCCGATAGATTTGGTTACAGTTCTATCACTTCGTACCTGAAGGGTGGCCTTTCCCGCTTTCTGTGACTGGGGGAGAATGGTGGCTGCAGGTGGATTTGGTTGCAGTGTAAGCACCTCGTGCCTGAAGGTTGCCCTTTACCCACTTTCTCTGTGTTTACAAAGCATGAACTGTTTGTGATAAATACCTACATGTTACTGTCGGTGATGAAGTCATTAATCAGACAGATCAAGTTCTACAGTCGAGCATTTCTTATACCGGTTTCTATGTTGTCTTGATCCAAAAGAACAAGACAATAGAAATCAAGTAGTATCGGGCAGTCTTGGTTTTTCGTCTATAAAGACCAAAAGAGAAACTGCAATCTCCTCGAGACAATTTTTGGTTACCCATGGCTTTTTTGTAAAAAGGCGCAGTCTTCTGAATTTGCCGGTGATGAAAAAATGTAATTCACAATTAATCATTCATTATATAGAACAGGTGATCTGAGATTTGTTCTTTTCCCCTCCTGAGCTTTTTAACGCACAGTACGTACTGTACATTGAAAGCGCTTTGGTTCCCTTTGTTTCGGGCTGTGTTGAGACATTTGTTCTTTCACTCTTTAGTTTGCTCTTTGGTTCTTAAGCCTAAAAGTGCCCATCTGTCTCGACGAGAACTCCGTCCATTGCATTCTATTAGTATGAATGATAGCCCAGGACATGGACTTCAGATTAAGAATTTCGAACGAAAACTACAACTTTTCTAATAGATGACACAATGACTGCAAGCTATCCCCGTCTTACTTCTGGCTTGAAGAGGAGTCCTCTGAGATGTGGTGAGTCCAAACCCGATTTTGAGCTTGTGCCTTTAGGTTTTATCAAACATGAATGTGTAGTGTGACTACAAGTGTTTGATAATAGGTCTTGTTGAGTCTCATCTTATTCATTTCTAATGACAAATGATGTAGGTTAAGGAACGTCCGGTTATAGTATCAGCTGTTTTATTCGTCACAACAAAACATGGTTATGCTTTCTACCTCATTCTGCTGGATGATGTCACCGGGTGAAGCCAGTTGTTGGCTCTTAGCTTCGAACATGGAAAAAACCTTAACTTTGGATAACAAAAGTGTCAAACTGAAAAAAAAACCCTTCTAAATATAGAGTCACATACAAGGGCATCTACAGCTGTTAGTTTCTTAAATGGTCTAAGTTATTATATGATTATCTCTGACTATGGAAAGCCCCTGTGAGCAAGTCGCAAAGTATTTGTCTACGTCGCAAGCGCATCTTCCTATAATAAGATAATGAACAGTGATCCAAAATCTGATTTCTAATGTAGATTATTGTGTCTCATCTCTATCAGCACAACTATTTTGCTGCTTTGACCTGTAGACTGCATGGAGCAACGTCAGTTTCCTGTCATATGATTGATGCTATGATAGGTACCTGACAGACACCACCACACAGAATATGAGTTCAAATTTCCATTTGATATTATCGCAATTTCACGTGTCTTTCATTTCTTCTTAACGTATATCCGGGCTATTTTGTAAAATTGTTTTAGAACTATAAAATATAAAGCCTATATGTAATTGTCCAAATTTGCGTGGCGGTTCATGTGCTCAATCACTTTAGAATCTTCCATGACATGGAAAGAGATAGAGTGTGAAACGCACAATCATTCATCTGCAACACGTAGAACACACCAATTGAAGATCTTCATGAGAGCTTCATGAAGCTCTCACATTTAAAGTAAGTATATATATATATATATATATATTCATTCCATTGGAATCCAAATGTCAAATTTGATACATTTTTAAATAATTCATCTATTAAATGTTTTGTATTTAAAAAAAAATTAAGATTCAATATTTTTCTGACTTTGTTATGGAGGAGATTCAAATATATCATTAATACCATGACTTGTAGCTTAGACTGAGAAGCTCTGATATTGATGTTGCAATATAAGCAACATGATTTCAGAAATTTTTCAACAGATATAAAATGTCCAATGAATTTATCAATTTCAAATGTGACAAATATTTTTTCCCACCTCTTGCAAGTTTCAATATATCATGGACGCTTAAGTCATAATAAAGTATGAAGAAGGTAAATATGCAATTCCATCCTATATAATAAAGGTAACATGCTTCAATTTGAGTTCAGCTTGATCCATTATCCATTTGTATATCTAATAATATTAACTAAATTTCACTAGCAATAGCAACAACGCACACGAATGTCAAAAGTAAAGTAAATCAAAACTTAATTTTAGTCTTAGAAAGAAAATGCCGTACCAAAAATATATCTTCAATATATCATGTGATATTTTTATTTTTTTTAATTTTTATGTAATATGTAAAAAAATTAAAAAAGATTAATTATGTAGAATTTATTGAAAAAATCATCTATTCTGTCATTTTTTTTTTTAATTGTTGGATCTACCGATTAATTATTTGTATGATTTCAAAACATGTTTTCCATTCACAAAGATTAAATTGAAACTTTTTCTCCCCACTTATTTTGAAAGTTTGATCGTTGTTTTCTAAGATGTGTTTGTTAGCTACAATCTATATCAATGAACCAGCACATATCAACAAAAGCAAGGGGATTAATCGATATCCAAAAAGACTGGAAGCCCCGATCAAGCTATATAAGGATGAAAATTAACGGTAAACCACGCACTAGATCGCAACTATGATTATGTGTTGTTTCGCAGCAGATTATTAAAGGAAAGTGACTGACCAATTTTTGAATAGGTTTGCAATAGTGGAATTCAATATATAATAGTTGAATCTCAGTTATGTACATTCTTTGGGGCTCTATATCTTTCCATTATTGTAATGAATTGACTAATCTTTGTCACAGCGATTTTCAAGAAAAGATTAAACTTGGTTTTGTCTCATAACTTCCAGATAAGACATCTTTGTGTTGAAACTTAGGTTGTTCAGTCCAACTCTACTTGCATATGAAACCGGTTTGCAGGCAATGTAGTTTTCTAAATCTATATGTTTAAATTGATTCCGTCTTCGAGATTTGTATCATGTAAGACTTTTTTCCGCAAGCAAGAAGAAGTTTGTTGAAGTTCAATTAAATCATAGGATCACCGAATTTTTAAACCTTCTAGTGTGCACGAAATAATTTCTAATTGATATATTTTCCAATAAAAATTTCCGTTGTCACAAAAGCTAGAAAGATCATTTGTTCCAGTGATTTTCGCAACTTAACTTGCATTTAGTTTGCCCTTTCTTAAGACCTGCTTGGAATCAGTCTCTCAGCTTTGAATTCAAATCGAAAGTCAAAATATTGCAAGTAAATATATTTTCCAAGCTTTTGTGTGAGATTAAGTTCTACCCGGTTTTGGTTCTCACACGGTTTTACTAGCACTCGACGTCCTAGCTCAGAACTTTGGTGTTCAAAGCTTGTGTTTTTCAACCGTCGATTTAAAGCTTGTAAATCTGAATATTTCTTGCTTCTGTGAGACATTTAGAGTTTGAAGTTTGTAACTTGCATTTTGAGAATTAGAATGCGGTCTTATAATAAGCTTAATTCTAAGTAATTACGGCCACACTTAAAGTTAACAAACATTTCCAGCCTAATGTCAACTAAACAATTAGAGTAGACCTACATGTTAATTAACTGTTTCAAATATGTAGATAGGAAAGTTGTATAACTTCACCGGAACATGGCCACTAACAAAAACAAAGTTCGCGATTTCTTTTTCCAAAATGTTGAATATTCAGTTAGAAAAGTAATTGTTCATGAAGCTTTGTGCTAGAGGCTATGATTTGGCCGAGGCAAAATTTTAATTGTCACTGAAGTAAAGTCTATGTAAAGAAAATTACAAAGTAAATAACAAAAAGTGTGGTATATTGAGTATCACTCCATGTGCTGTGTTTAGTGTTAGACCCTAAAACCCTAAACTGTTCCATGACATTTGACAACTTCGGTCTCACATCCTTGCACCAAACATGAAACCGTACAAGATTTGAATATGGAACTCAATACTTGAACAAGTTTATTGGACTCCGCTGTATATTGCGATGAGTATCTGGAAAGTTATGTAATCATACTACTTCCGTGTCCACTCATGAAATCGATTGTATTGTTATAAAAACCCTTTGGGCATTTTCTAATATATAATACCTTAAGAAAGTTTCTAACGTACAATTTCATCCCACATAAGTATATACGTACATCCAATGACATCAACTGCTTTTGTACATTCTTCACATATCTGCCGAGAAGTTGAGCAGCCGGAGATGTTATGGATTCTAGATCAATAGAGATTTTAGGGACTCTAAAATATAAAGGAATCATACTTTCTGATCACAGCAGTTACCATGCTGCTAATCTCCTTGTTAAGTGCACATCCATACTACAAGCAGGTATTCATTGTGCTCAATGGTTACTCTTTAAACTTCAATCTTCTGCTTTGAAGTAATACATCTTGACTTTCTTCAAGCCGGAAATATTGCTCTTGACACACGATCTCTCAGCCTCGAAATATCCCTGATTCTTCGGGTAAAATATACATATCATACTTAAGCGAACAATATATTGTGTATATACAGCCATGAATGAAAGTCTTCGTCTGCTCACTGATCAACCTATAACCTTCTTCATAAAGGTATCGATAGTCTGGTCGATAAGCACAGAAGCTCACATCTTGGAACAAAAACGCCCCCTTCATGTCTTCTGTTTTACTCCTTCCATACTAACTTCCTAGGAAAATGATACGAAGTTCGAAAATGAGGAGTCACTTCTCTCCTAACCTACGCTAGCTTTTCTTCGTGAAAAATTACACTACACAAAACACCATATAAACCCTTCTTCGAGTCAGCAAAACACCTTCAAAAACTCAGATGTGGCTTCCATGTACATCAAAAACTCAGATGTAACAAAGAGGATCGTGCTTCCACAGAATGCAAAAACTCCTGTGTAAGTAGAAAACGATTTGGCTAGAGTGCCGTACACAATGATCTACGAAATCATTCTGTTTGAATCAAGATGGTGGAGAATGTGCCTTCAGGAACCCGAGGTTCCGGATTTGTTCCGATAGAATATTGCCACTAACACTTGACAGCAATGATCTAGCCCTTGTTGGTCTCTGCAAAAGAATATGAATTTTAGGAACACTTAAAATCTCGGCCAAAATGCTCTCGATATACAAATCAAACTCCATAACTAGGATCGAAGGTAGTAAAAAGTTGAGGACAAGCACCTGCATGAAGATGACAAGCGTGTTCCTGCATCGTAGCCGAGTTGTCACCTGCTGGTTGACCAAAGAGTTTTTGATACACTCCCCGAGGCATGTCAGGTGATCGTAATATACCTTTCTTGTTCGCAACTACCTTTGCATAAAGAGCTATGATAGGGCAGTTTCCAAATCCTTCCCATAAGAACTGTCACCTGGTTGACCAACTACCCCTCCTAGTCTTACTAGTTAGAGCATTGAGTCGACACTGGATCAGTGAGCAAAAAGAATGGGTTGAATCTGGCCTAAAACTACATGAATCAAACTCTTAACCACCAATGTGAATCATTGGTCGATTTTGTGTTTTCGCCAGATCAAACATGCCAGCATGCGCAGCTTTCTTTCTCTTCACCTAATCAAAGCAAGCACAACACGCAAAGGTCAACAATTTATTCTTCTTTAGTACGAAATAAAGCGACAATTCTTTTCAAAAATTCCTAGCTCAAATGTTAAAATACTTCATGACAGTACATTATAGTTCCACATTGTATTGTCTCACTTTGCTACGAAAGCCACGTACCGCATCACCAATTATCTCCTTCAAACCTTCATCATCAACGCCCGATCTAATAGCATCTCGTAAGCTAACCTGCGAAGACAAAATGATATCTCAATAAGCAACTTTGCAGGTTGACTGTCAGGTGTTCATAAATACTCAGTATAAAAGCATTTGAAACTGTATCCCCTTTTCCTTCGAAAGTATTACCAGAAGAATGACTTTACGCTCCTCTGTCGAAGGCTGTATATTCACTTCCCAATTTGTCTAAGCTCTGATAGGTTTATCATCAGAATAAATGTACATGAGATAATTCTAGTGCTCTCACCTCGGCAGGTCCAAAAAGGCAGACTTTGAAGTTCCCATCGGCCATTAGTCGTAGTCTGTTACAACCGCCGCAAAATGAGTTTGTCATGGAAGTAATGAAGGACACAGTTCCTTCAAAGCCATCAACACGGAAGTTTTTTGCTGTATCTGATGGATGATCTCGCAGACGTGACAAACTTGGATACTTTTCTCTCTGAACAACAAAACCAAGCAGCAATTTAGTATCAGAGCTCACTGCTCAAAAATTTCATTTCGTCCGACATTTTCATGAAACAGACAAAACAGAACCGAGGTATAGGAGCTTCGCAAACGACAGAAATGAGGGGAGGAAGATATAGGTTACCAAAGTTGAGAGCATCTCAATGTACGACACAAGCTTTTTGGAACTCCATACATTGCCATCGAAAGGCATGAACTCAATGAACCGCACGTTTATTGGCTTGAATCTGGTCATCTCTACAAAGTCTATGAGCTCGTCATCATTGAAATTGCGCATTACAACAACATTTACCTGCAAACAAACCATCCTTAGTTACTTTATAACACCAATTCTGAAGTCCTACAGCATAGGTGTCGGATACAAGAACACCCTAAATTCTTGACTCAACGTTAAAGGACACGACAAATGCCTCCCTTTGTAAATTTGTTTAACTTCCCTTAGAAGTGAGACACCTTGAATTGTGTGTGGGAGTCGAATCAAAGGCTTTAACACTGATAAATACATAGCCTCAATACATTAATTTGCGGCCGAGTCCAAAATTATACTTCAAAGGGAAAAGATCAAAAGCAATGTACCTTCACTGGATTGTAACCCAGTTCCAAAGCTGTTTCGATGGCTTGCAAAACTTTTCCGTGACCCTTCCGTCTAGTGAGCAATTCGAATTTGGCCGGGACGAGAGTGTCTAAACTAATGTTCAGCTGGTTCACTCCAGCTGCCTGAAGTCTTGGTAGCTTTCGAGCTAATACCAAGCCATTTGTAGTTATTGCCAAGTGTTTAAGTCCAGGGAGGCAGCTCAGCTGAGCGCAGATGTCTTCTATGTTCGACCTAACAGTCGGCTCACCACCAGTAAGTCGAATTTTATTGACACCCTCTGCAACGAACAGTCGAGCAATTCGCATAATTTCATTCTCAGCCAACAACTTCGGTGCCGCGGTCAGCTCAACACCTTCGGCAGGCATACAATATTTACACCGGAGATTGCAGCGTTCTGTCAAAGAGATCCGGAGATAGTTGTGCCGCCTTCCATGAGTATCCACCAACATATCAGACACCATGGGCTCCTCTGGCAGATGTTGACGGGTGGCTAGCTGACTGATGAGGGTTTTCGATGTAGTGGCAAAACTGTGACTGGAATTTCTATCCTCTGTCGTGGGCGAAGCAACCACGGCAGCTTCAGTACTCGCCCACGACTCTTCATGGGTTTGTACAGCTGGCTCTTCAACTACCAAGGCGGAAAATTCGCGCTCCCCGCGAATTGCACGTTGTGAACTGCAACTCCTTGCTGTCTGCAGCTTTGAAATATGGTCCACTTCTACAGAGGTTGACAAATTTCGCTCGGTCACTGGTCCTCCTCTTTCGTTCAAAAGCGTGCAGGCTCCCTGCAAGTGCCAGTGAACATACTGTCATCAGTCTCGAATAAAGCCTGCTGCGCGAACATCTAAACAACCTTCTGCCTCCAAGTATTGTTCCTTCATATTTTGCTTTGCAGAACATTTACCGGTCAGCTAATCCTTTGGCAGAGCATGAAAATTTGATGATTGGACATTCATCATAGAGCCTGACTGACGAACGCGCAACAGCACTGACAAGAAACACAAATCATGTAAACAAGGCATCTATCAAGAGTAAAGGACAGAGAGGTGCAAATCTTACAGAGGCTGAAGAACAGAGAGCTGGCAAAACCGAAGATGGCAACGCCGAAAGTAAGAGAGACACCCTCCTGCCTAGACCTCGTGGGTGCCGAACGAAACTCATCTCAGACCGACAGATACGATCAGCCCCCGAGAACCAAAGCCTGAGAAGCCCGAGACAGATATTGTTGATTCGGCTCAGGCAGTGACAGCTCAGTGCGTCGAATTGTGCAAACCTCCTGAAATCCGTCCCGCTCGGAAGAGATCAACTCCTCCTGACTACCAGACGAGTGAGTTCTTCGGATGAGGACCCGCACAATTCAGGCCTCAATTATACCGAAACGAACTGGTCCCAATCAGCTTGAGAGGACGGTACATTCGTGAGGCCGATTCGTGCGTACAGCGGAAGAGCAAGGCGAACACTGGACGCGGAAATCCAGCAGTAAACACCGGGAAGAGGAAAGGGAGGAGGATCTTATGAGATCGTAGAATTGATTTCGGTGCCTCTCATTAGCCCCTCCATCCCTTCCCTGTGTCAATCAGACTATCGGACAATCTCTCGAATCGTGACTCGTTCAGCTCCTATGTCCGCAACGATCATGTTGTGTCCCGATTATAAAGGTTCGCTTTCGTAAGCCCAACGTATCCTCGGCCCTCCCTCGGCCCCCGTTCACAGCTGGGACATCCCAGGGGAAGGAAAGCGCAGACGCGGAGCCTGTTCCCGGTGCTCGGGAAACTCTGGTCTCCGAGTCCATGCCGCAGTGTCCGGTCAGTAGTACGGTCCACGGGATATCATGCAGCTGGAGGTGTGGCGACGAGAGAACTGTGGTGAGAGCCTGACGTGGTTAACGGTTTCATGGTGAAGAGTGGACAGGAGCGGGTCCCGAACCAGGTCTCTCGCTGACGTCGGCTGAACAGGTGAGATGCGGCGCGCCACAGTCGAGGCTGCCCACGGCATGGATGTCGGCAGTTTGGCCTTTGGCCTTTCGGATCCGGCTAAATGTACCCAGTCTCCAAGTCAGAGAAAATGCGGTAGCACGAGAGACGTCGGCAATCCGCCAATTCGTGGCTCCTTGCCTTTCCAAAACGAGCAGTGACCAATCGCCACGTTCCGTCTTTTGGTTGCAGGCTTCCACGTTTGTTCGATCCCGATCCTTTGCAATAGTTTTGTCAGAGTTTGCTTGGATCACGGTAGTGTCGAGACTTGGGACTTGAGTGCTTGGGTTTTCAGTGAAATCCCAAGTGATTCTGTTCTGTTCAATTTGTGCTTCCACTATGTGCAAGTAGAGAAACCTCACCCCGAGCAGACATTTCGCTATAGAGTTCTGCACGAGACATGAATGTCCTTGTTGTTTCAATAGAAAAGATAGGAGTCACAGTCTGGCCATGGCAAGACTCCCCCAGGTGCACTTGAGGTGAGAAAGTATCTGTAGCGGGCCCCTGAGATCTGAGCTTCCTTGCCTGCAGTCACCGACAACCCAGTAAGCGTACCGGATTGGAGCATGATTGAAAGCTATCACTATTGTCATTATCGTATAGGCGCCTTCTTTCCTTGGGCCTTACTTCATACATGTATCGCAGAGCTCGATCTGACACCCACAGAAATTGTTGCACTCATGTACGTTCTCCATAAAAGCTTGTACTGAACAACCTCATCTGTTGTGACGAATGCGAACCATCAACGTAATCTGTTGTGACGAATAGTTCGAGGTGAGGAAATATTCTGTCTACGTGCAGGATTCTATACACTCATCTGGGTTCAGCCTGTTCAGTGTCAAAGTGGAACTTTGTATGTGTTCCGAACAATGTAGGAGATCGATAGTTTTGTTTATGAACTCTCCATGTTCTGTGATCTTTATCCTCACACCTAAGTTGAATAATATGAGCACTTGATAGATTCTTCATTTTTTATGCACGTGTATATTGGCCTTTTTGAGTTCAGCTAATTACAACAATCATGCACAGTTATTTTCCGAATGTCATACATGTTATACAATAAAGTCCTAACGAATTTGTTGACTCCAAGAAAGATATTCATATTTATATAAATGTAAAATTTCAATTTCGACATCAAATTTTGCACAAAGTCAAATAGGTGTATAGAACTCTTCGGCCTTGTCCAAACATTTCCATATTCACACTTGACTTTATTAATTATAAGTATGAAGTGGATATAATATGTTTCATTGTTCATTCTAAGTTTAATGATAGTTATTTATGATGGCCTGAGAAATATAAGATTTCTTATAGCTTTCAAAAAATCTTTATGATGAAATGCAAACATGCGATCCTTTGCATATAATGATTATTTTATCTTTGTTCATAAGAAAAAAAATTTTCCTAAAATTATTTAATTGATAACAGATTATTTTCAACTACTCTTTGATATAATAATACAGATCAATTAGTTTTACTGACTGTAATTAGACTAACTAAAATTATCTAAAAAGTGGATCAATCCTCTCAGTTTTTCACTTGATTTATGTGATAGTGGTATTCGCGATTACAATTACATATTAAAATTTTATTTTTTTTTGCTCTTTAGTCTTTACTAATCGTTTTTATAATCCAAAAATATAATAATATATTTCATTTTTTCGTCTATAATGATCAATCTTTCTATAAATAAAGTAAAGGAAATAATATTTATCCTTGACAGTATCTAGATGGTTAGATACTTTTTCATATTTAACAAATTTTATCCATATAAATATTTTAAATTGATATTCATCTTGCAAACCATAAAATATTATCTCAACAGTGTTAATATACTAATCGAAAGATCTTCAACATCTGTACAACTGCAGACTATAAACAATGACTAGCTTGTCAAACATGCAATCGGTCACAAAGCATCTCAAAATTCACACCAAAATGTGCAGTTTCAAAACATGGTGATATATGAATTTCATGGTGATCTATTTTTCTCCAAATTTTGCAAGAAATAAAATTATTATTTTTTGTGTAAAAAATAGCTTTACAAAAATATTGATTAATCATCATTAAACAATATATATATTACCAAAATTTAGAAACTGAGTATTCATGAAAATATCTCCACATGTCACTAAGATGAAATACAAGATAAAAACTCATAAAATATATAACTGATGGGAGTCCATAAGTTTAATGAGTGATCCATTAATTTATAACTTTACCTAAGTACTCGTACCAGTCTTGGTAGTATGAAAAAAGTAAGGAGCTGATGTAAGTGAATGTAAAAGATAGATTGAAATATCTCAAGAGAATAATTTGGAAATTATCTCGTGGTCACATCTCCCCAATACGCATTAAATTCTATACATTATCACAAATCCAACAAAAATTACATAATTATCATATTGCATAACCATCCAGAAATTAATGCATTACAAGATTGAAATTCCTCATAACTATCAAAACAAAAACCTGTCACCATATTCTGCAAGCAGTAGCTCATGCTAAGCCTTACACTTCAAGGCTATAGTATAAAGCTCTTTAATTGAAACGTAAGGCAAATTTAGGAAATTGAAAAGGGTAACCTTAAATAAATTGATCCATATTGCCAATTCAAGATGGGAAACATTTTTCCTCGTTTTTTTGGACTACAAAAAATGTTATATATATCTGGATTTATCTATTTCTATGTAAAAGTAGTTGTGAAGAACTTGTGAGAAGTGGAACTCATTTGATTCGAAATTTGTCCATAGCCCTCAGGGTATGAATATAATGGGTCTAATTTGAAATCACTTATTGTGTACTAGTGAAGAAAGATGCGAGGACTTACGAATGATGCGTGCTATTGTATACTATGGAACTATGAAATTATATTTCTGAAGGTTTTTAACCTCCTCCAGTTGACCCCATGGTATCTCTCATGTCTTCTTGATTGAGATTCAGAATCGAGTGTGCCATTCCTCTCACTTTGTCCCAAGAGTTCCATTTCCGAGATCCAAACTTCTTCTCTTTAACATGTGTAAATATCACTATACTATCCTTTTGAGGCATATTACCGGCCTCTGACAGTGGGGTATTTCACCAGACTGGCTATTGCGTACAGATGTGACTGATGACTTTGAACAGTTTTCTTCTGTACTGATGGAGTGTTCGTTTGAAGATATGTCCTTCAACACCCCACAGGCGCAATAAGCCTTCCCAGTTATTGGGAAGGCAACCGTGTTCTGTTTGGACGTGGCTGCAATCTGCTTGCTATATGTTTGCTGGCTACTGCACATCCGAAGAATGGTGGTCGAAGCGTAAGCAAACTTTATTCCATCTTTGCACATGTTTTTCAATGACATGGACTTCAGACAAGATACCTCAGAGACATGATACCTCGATTCACGAAAATTCCGGTAAATCACCTTCATTCTAGCTTGGCTTTACACTCAGGTTCCGAGGATTTATGACCATATAGAAGGACGTTTAGAGCAGGTACACGACCTTAGAATATTGTATCGGGCTTTATACGAACTGAACAATATCAAAGCGAGCAAGCCAGGACAATGAAAATGTCCCATAAGATGACCACAGGGAACACCATTGAGTACATTTACAGCTGAATACTTATCTGTAAATATCCCTGCACGTGTAGTAACTTGACGTCACGGTAAGTTGATGAATACTGAAATACCAACAAGTAAGCGTGATGAAGCGTCCACAGTTACGATATGACGGCTATCTGCCCCAGCTAAGCCTTTGAACCACAAAACCCCTGCATCCTCGATCACATTCAGTGAGATAAACCTTCAAATGTACGTCAAAGTCGAAACTTTCAATATCTCCACTCAACCGATCCAACTGGTCTGGCCAGTTAGTAATCTTACAATCACCAAGATCGATTTTGTTGCACATCTCGAAATTTCCAGCAGATCCTTAACAAAAACGGGAAGAATTCATGCCAGTCTTTGTGAGGTAAAGCAAATATGGTTCTGATTCTTCCGATAATCCAGAAAATCAGACCGAGGAATAAGCTCAAAAAGTAGTAAAAAAGGCAGGATGTAGTCCATGAAGCAAATCCAAGGAAAAATACCAAGTTTACAGGGAGACCATGTATGATTGGATGTTTATTCCAAAGAATCTAGGACAAGCGGTAGAAGGTGACTAAGATGGACTTTTTGAACTGTTGAAGTTGATCCCGAATTTTTAACTACACGTACACAATTTCGTAACTGTGATGAACGACTACAACTGCTCCGTATGGTGGAAGATATCAAAACTTTTACACATTCTAATCATAAGCCGAATTAGCTGCAAATTCTCTAATTTCTTCAACCTTCTTATCATCAAAACCGAGGGCTTCCAAAACTTTTTGCCCGGCAGAGCCCTTTTGAGCCCATATTCCCAGTAACATGCAAGTGGTCGTTACTTCTCCCTTTGCACCTGTGCATCAACGGGTTGTGAAAATCAGAACAATTGCATGACTTGTGTCGGCATAAGGGAGAGCAGATCACCATTAGTTCAAAGAAAATATGAAAAGAAAAGAGATAAGAGAAGATGACTAGAAAGGGTGCGAGACGAGCAAGCGTTGGCTCCTGTAATTGGAACACAATTCACTAACTAATTAAAGCTTGAGAAAAATACATAGCTAACTGACGTTTCAAGAGGTTGATTTCTTGCACGAACCTATCCTTTTGCTTTCTTCGATGGCCCAATCAAGCGCCTTTTGTGCCTGATCAGTTAGAGGTGGATGTTCGGGGCTAAAAAAGTACATGTCAGCTTTACCAAGCAACTTCACGACCTCTTCTCGGACACCAAACAGACTAACTCCGGAATTCCTCAAGAATTTTGCAGCCTGGCTTGTACCTGCGCCATAAATCAGTCTTATTAGTTGATAGTGGAGTGTAAGAAGACTTTCACACTTGAGAGACAAGATCGTAGGAATTTATCTATGGTACCGTTCAAGGTGCGAATAGGCTATCGAATGTACGATCTTATTTAAAATATAGATACATCGAAACGAGGATTTCAGCTGAGACCTTCCGTCAGTATTCCCATAAGAAGAGCTTCGGTTCCGGTGTTGGGATACTTCAGTTTGCGTGCTTCTAGCTCAGCCATACTGAAGGACTTGATTGCCCGGGCAGACCATCTGCACATTAGGTGCGATGCGTGGTTTTCACAGATGTACAATGTAGAGTATATTGAAAATGCTCAAAAACAAACTTACACAAAACTAGAATAAAATGTACATACAGTTTACTGAAATTTCCTGTAAAATTTTGAACCATAAACCCTAAGTTCCAGAGAAACCCAATTCAATTAAAATATAGAAAAATCCATGTCTACCTCACGCAAATTGGTACAATTTGCGTAATTCCAGACAACTACAAGCCTTATCAAAGTAGAAAAGTGTTAAATGATTAGCAAGTAAGCTGAATTCAAATTCCAAAGTGACAACGGTGATAGGACACATACGCTGGGTGTCCTTGAGGTCCGGTTCCTTGGCCTTCCTTAATTGGATTGCTAAGAGTCATGAAACAAAGCAAGAAAAAGACATTAAGCTTGAGACTCCACAACTTCGACATGCGCCTTTTGAGTGTCCCTTACAAGCAGACATGAAGATCAACTGACTGATTTCCTAAACAGTGCGTTCTCCGAACTGAAATGAAACTTATTCACCACTCCAGTAGAAGAGCAGGATCCAGTTCTTTCCAATCATGCACACGGAAGCATTGACTCAAAATTAGTAGTTGAATTTTAAAATTCACGACTGTTCGAAAACTTGCTTCTCGCGTCGAATTTAAAGTTCGGCTGCGACATGAATTGAGAGAGAAAAAGAACCATGCAGAACAATAATCCTCGCACGTAGAACATGAGCTCACGATGTAGCATGCACTTTGCAATTGGCGTTCTACTATGGACGATTATAGGTCGCTCTCAAACTTACGCAGTGGGAAGAACCATGCAAATCACAGCATGTTGCCTTGGCTGCCTTCCAGAAACAGGGGCAGCGGCAGAGAACAGCTTGCTCTGAGACAGGCATTGAGCGCTAGACAGACCGCAGTGGGACCGTCGGCATAGCCACGACCCCGACACCGCTCCCGACTGTCGGACCTCCACGGATGAGGAGGACGTAGACACAGACGACGAAACAGAGGTACAGGCGACGCTGGCAGCTCCCAGCGCTACTCTCGGAATCAACATCGTGGCCATAGCTGATTCAAATCCGCAGGACCCGAAAAGATAACGACCAAATCCTAACTACACCAAAAGCACGACGAATTCCTCGGCAAATGCTCCCCACCGAGTTTTTTCCTCGCGTGTCACCCTCTCTCCCTTGCTCCCTCTCCCTCCCTCCTTCCTTCCAGGCAGTAACAGCCCTAAAGTATATCCTTCCGCGCGACCAACATGCACTCTCACGTTCTTCAGGCTGGAAGGGACGCCAACGTAGACCGCTGACTCGCTCGCTGACCCCAAGGCGATAGAAAAAAGCGCACCCGGACGTTGGAACTCCCAGGCCCTCCAACTTTAGCAGCGACCGGGCACGGCTAATTTAGCGGGGAATGCAACCATGAAGATGGGCAAGGCCCGTGCAGGTCCAGGTTTAGACGGGGTCGTGCAGGTGGCGCATCTTTTATGGAGGACAAGCCTGTCCGAGGCGATTCGGCATGCACTGGGACGCAGACAGTGCCTAGCGTAGGGCCGGGAGGAGGGCCAGGAGGAGCCAGTGGAGGGAGGGCGGGGGAAGAAGGGCGAGCAGAGGAGGGTGAAGAAGGGCGGAGAAATGAAGAGAGAAGTCCAGAGGAGAAATCGAGTCCTACAGCGGTGCCGGCCATGGCGTCATGCAGCAGAATTGCACAATGCTGCGTATGCACCTTGTTTCTAGTGGATATTCGCCCGGTGTGTCCTGCAGCAAGAGCAATAGAGGTGCAAGAAGTCAAAGTTCTGTTGGGCTCGGAACTTCGACTGTCCACGACTCGCGCGTATGGATAGGTCGTTGTTCGAGTCGAGGGGGAGGAAGAGGAGGAGGTTCGGTTGGTGTAGTAGGGTGTCAAGCCAGAAGAAGAGGGGACAATTCTTGGCTGCAGCAGCAGCAGAGGAGAGAGGAGCAGCTGCAGGCACGAGCGAGGCAGAGTTTACGATTGAGGCAGTCCAGAGATAGTACAGATCGCTCATGCTTTGTAGGAACGATGTCCAAAATGAATCAGTCTCTGCCGATCAGCATGCCTCCGACTTCTGCTGCTCTCAAAGAAGAGCAGGGTCGAAAGACGCAGCGCATGACCAGGCGAGGTGCTTTGGTAGCTCTTTCGTACATGGGTTGTGCAGGTAGCTGATCTCTTCTCAGGCCTGATTACAGTGTTCTTACCTGAGTTCTCTGATTGCTTCTGATTTGCACGGACTGATCGGCTGAAGTGAGAGCTGTCAAATGTCCAAGACTCAGTCTTCTGCAAATTATATCCGAATTCAGTGTTACCTTGAGGATGACTTTTTTCGAAAGCTGCTGGGAGAATTTAACAAGGTTCATAATTTTGAAAACATGGCAGCTCAGTTACTCCGTTTGACCTGTGCAGTGATGCTTGTGATGTTCAACAAAGCGGCACTGTCAACGTACAGATTTCCATGTGCAAATGTTATCACTGTGCTTCAGGTAAAGGTTCACGCGATCCTGCATCACTGGAGTTGATGGTTATTGTAGAAGGCACATCTATATGTTGTTCTTGATCTTCCATCCTTTTGAAATCATTCAATTATTCATTTCACTGTCGTTGATGAGCAGATGATATGCTCGACAGCACTGCTCTATGTACTGAAATCTTTGGATATCATAAGTTTCGCGGGTGAAGGGAATGGGGCCGTGGAATTAGCTGCCGATGGATTCGTCCCCTTACGAACTCTTAAGCGCACATCACCCCTTTCAATAGCATATTTATTTTACATGGTAAGCGAATGAAATTCAATTTTAAGCGATTAATTATCTTGAAGTTTAGTAAGGCTTCACGACTATTTTATGCATCTTTAGCAGGAGGTATAAGTTGATCAACCAATGTTGGATGTACAGGTTGTTGGCATGGCATCAATCAGGGGTGTGAATGTACCAATGTATACAACCCTTCGAAGAACGACAGTTCTTTTCACTATGGTGATGGAATTTTTCCTTGCAGGCCAAAAGCATTCGTCACCAATTGTATCCAGGTTAGAGAGATGAGGTTGAACGTAGTTTGACTTGAATATCCTATATGATGCACTTTCTTCTTTTATTCTACCGAGAGCACATTGTCGACACCAATTCTGAATCGAATGAGTTGGAGCACCATTTGCTTCTTCATGCGATAACGCCAACTGAAATTTTTATTGCCAACTTTTAATCTTGCAGTGTAGGTTTGATCGTCCTGGGAGCATTCATTGCAGGAGCCAGAGACTTATCTTTCGACACTCAAGGCTACTTGATCGTTCTTTTGTCAAATTTAACCACAGCAATTTATTTGTCTACTATCTCTCGACTAGGTATGTCTCCACTGTCACATATTGTACTTACCGATTAGAAGTTTTCTTCCTCATTCAAAAGTTTATAACCACAAGGAATACATCGACCTGATTATGATCATTCTTGGTGACAGGCAAAACTACTGGACTCAACAGCTTTGGACTTATGTGGTGTAATGGTGAGTTGGAAATTGTTTTCTCATATTGTGTGGACTGTCTAAATAGAAGAAATTTTGTGGCCTTATTTGCTTTGTTTATTGCTTTTTCTTCAAGTGGGAATAATTTTGTTAGTGATAATACATGATGTCCGTCACGTAAATTTGTTAGGTGTTATTTGCGGACCCATTTTATTCCTTTGGATCTTGGTCAGCGGCGAGCTGGGAAGAGCTCTTCAATTTCCAGCTGTTTTTTTCCCAGGATTCCAGGTGAGAAAGTTGTCTTTCTGGTTGAGCCTAGATTGCGAACAATCTTCTTAATTCACGTGATGAATTTATGACCTTTTTTTAACGTTTGGGTACATGCTTCCCTGACAGTTAAATGCTTTTCTGTGTTGTAGCTGGTGATCGTGTTGTCGTGTATGATGGCCTTCTGTTTAAATTATACCATTTTTCTCAACACGTCTCTCAACTCTCCTTTGACACAGACCATGTGTGGTAACCTGAAGGTAAGCAATTGTGACATTAACTTGTTGGATGTTTTAGAAGATTTGACGGAAAAGTCCAATGAATTTCCTTATCATAGCCTCAAAGAGCATGGTTTATCTTTAAGTTTTGAAGTTTCAAATGTGCAACTTGTGCAGGATCTTGGCACTGTTTTAATTGGTTGGTTATGGTTTGGTGGGCTACCTTTTGATTGGGTAAGATTATTTACCATGGCCTTTGACTGTTTATGTGAGGATTCTTTGTCATCAGATCGGAATCCGTTACAAGTATTGCAACGAGTGGATGTTTCAGATCTTTACACTGTAGATGTGGAGGATGTCTTTATCTGTACCTTATCTTATATACTTATTGTGGTCTCTTGTTTTTTCAACTGCAGCTCAATGTCATCGGCCAATTTTTGGGCTTTGTTGGATCAGGCGTGTATGCATATTGTAAACTGAAGGGGAAGTAGTTTGAATAGTTTTTGACGGAAATTTTTTGAGGTTACACGAACAGTCGAGGCAAAACACCCTCGGCAGATCAAAATTGTAAAATTACACACAGCATCCCTTTTGAGGCCCATGTACTTCCACCACATTTGATGTCTTAGCATTATGAATTTTGCGGTGGAAACGTTGGAGCCCAGCAGCACATCGTGGGAACGGGTAGAGAAGTAGAGGTTCTTAGGCACAAAGGACCAAGAGTTTCAGAGTATGAACCGCATCTGAGTTCAATCCAGTACAAGATCTCTTGGTCACAAATACATTCTTCCCTACCCGCCGGCATAGTGGCGAGTGCGCAATCCACTTTTATTACCATCTGACGAGACCGCCATCATTCACATTACAAGAAGGATCATTGACAGGATGAGTATACCAGAAGATCTCGGACTATGAGCAGCCATAGCGAACCCACATTATTGGAAACGGAAGAGAAAAATTGTCTGGTGTAACCTCCCAGCTCTTTCTGTAGCAGAATTCCCGGATTAGTTTCGAAAATAAATCTTGTTAGTGAAAGGCGTCGTGAGCTTCCCAATTGTAACGTTTTTTTCGTCACTTGTCCATCCTTTGCGCTTTTCAGGATTTCATCGTGAAATGTGTTCCGTACTTATGGGCGAAGTCGTAACTTGGAATGGCCGAAAATGACCATCTTCCAAGTTACACCAGAATTTTGTTAGTAATTTGTGCCATGTTTGGAATCTGTAACATCCTCAGTCCCTTGAGTGCAATGATATCAGTAACCGTGCGTGTGGCGATGGAGAAAGCTGTACATTGGAGAGTCATGCTGTGCTGTGTGTATATTCCCTAGTCCCGGTGACGAGGCCCGGAGACGGCTTAACGTCACTGCATGATCTATGACACGTCCACAATAAAGCTCTCAAAAAGGTCATGAAACAATCTGACCAGGCTCACTAGCAGAGGGAACGACCTCCCAACAGGAACAGGGAACCTGAGCATTATGTTGTGACGTACATCCTCAACAACGCCGAACCTAAATTGAAGGCCGCTACCACCACAAACGATAGGCATATAGACGGGTGAATATGTTCACTTCGTGTACTTATCCTGAGTTCCAGTTTCTTCCTGCCGTACCAGGAGGCTGGTGGCCAACATACTCAATTTGTCCGGTGATCTGTTGTCAATTAGTGGGTATATAAGATGACTCATATAAAGAAATTTATTGGAATGGCCTATGTCGATCTAAAGCGATAGTATACCAGTCAACACATCCGATATCATTTCTACTCTTTTTCCAGAAGAGTAAATTTTTTTCGCGGTATTATATATATTTTATTTTAAAAACAATCTTGATAGTTACCAATACATTCAATATTTGCATTTGTTGGACGTGAGGAATCAATTGGTATCTTCTTATACTTGAAAACGGTCTTGAAGATTGCCAAACAAAAATGTTGAGGTGACTTATGAGCATTTTTATGTAACTTGATTAAATTTATTTATTTTAGGTAGATGTAGAATATTATCCCTTATTCTCGTGAGAGAGATCAACCAAATTTAATCATGTCAAGAGCCTTAATTCAAACGCAAGTATGTTACTACTCTTTTGTAGAAGTATATCATTCATGTCTTTGACAACTGATATGTGTGACATTGTTTTATTTCGTTAGATTTTTCATTTGCAAGGGGTGAGAAATTATCGCAGGTATGATAATAATATTTGAAATGTTCCTTTGTCTCTGTTTGTTACAAATTTAGTCTATTGTATTTTCATTCTTCACACAAGATATTGTATAATTAATCTATATGTAATATTAACATGAATATGTACAAATGAAAAATTGATATTTCACAATGTCATTCTTGTTATAACATTCTTGGAAAAAAAAGTGAAATGTAGATTTATCGTATGGAAAAAAATTTGATTTGGACTATTATAAATTTATTTATTTTAACAACACCAATTTATTATTATATGGGTAATGATGATCAATTTTATATATCAGATGAATATTCTCAGACGATTGATGCAATCAAATTGTTGATTTATGAATTTGTAAACATCAATTTATATTCTTTGTATAAAGTGAAAAATATGTAAATTTATGCATGCAAACATTAACATGTGTGCGAGAAATATACAACTGAAAAATATATTTCACAATTTATCATTTTTTGGTTGATTTTGTTGTGTGTGTTTCTATTACATATGTAAAATATTGCTCAGTGGCGTTGCCTATAAGAAGACAGTCAAATCATATTCATTTTACTATGTGATTCTACGCAACTGGTTAGTTGAAATTGATTATAAGTTATATAACGTGTTTTAATGTTTAACATTATTGAGACTTTTTTTCGTCTTCATTAGATTTTTTATGGGTTCTTTACATACTTTTATATTTGTTTCATTGTCTTCACTTTCAAATCTTAAACGCGATGTGATCATGTAAGCTATTTTTTTTTAGGATTTTTTAGTCTCAATATCTTTCCTTCTCGCTTCCATACGCTTTTACTACATATCTCGTCCCACAAAGTAGTTCAATCTTTCCAAAAACATTCCAATTTCTACACATATGAAGTAGACTGTATGCTCCTGCATGGCACTGTCCATTCTAATTTATTCCAGATGTCTGTGCCATTGCAAATAAATTTGCAAAGAATGACTTACCCTTTGAAGGTCAGATGCCGCTAATCAGGGGATTCTTTGTTAACAACATAGAGTGAAAAATCAGCTCTGGGAAATAATGAAGTATATATGAGAGTGATCATATATTCAAAGCCATTTATCTGCTGATAGGACCTGTCCCCGTCAGCGGGTGATCTCGTGGATTCGGTTAACTCTGAAATTTCACTGGATATATGATTCATGTATACGAGTCGTTTGTATGGTTGGAAATGAAGTATTATTGATACATCATTTCCAATATAAGTCACCAAGATATATAATTCATTAAATCGGTTGAAAATGATGTAACATTCATACATGGCTATCTTCAGTAAACTTGTGTTATTTATGTTACGTACATTAGCGTATTAATTTTTATTTTCCTATTAAAATTAGAAAATGTGAACACAGTTTCGAAATTTTTTTAACCTTTTTGTAGTGGACATCTTCAACTAATTCAGATATAGTTACGCCACGATTTTTTTTTCATTAACTTTTACAAGCAATCAGAACAATTTTCCAGTAAAGTGAAATAGTTGTAGAAGCGGGCAGAGGAATCTAGAAGGCGTATAGTCTAAGAAAATGCCCGGACCTAGTTCCACCCGAGCCTGTTTTGTCCTGAAATACCAATCCGAACCGGACGGGCGGGTGAACCTTCTAGTAGTAGCCCTGCTTACCTCGTAGCCCAGACCAAGGGCTGAATGCAACCAGAGGTAGCCCGGCGACCTCCACCATACCAACGCGGCAGGTCCGGTGAACTTTCTCGTAGCTTCAATGCGCATGGAGAGCTTGCGGAATCTCCGGGCCCAGTGACTTCCGACAGGGCCTAGAACATGCTGGCAGCGCCTAATGGTGCGATCGAGCGACGAATTTAACCTCTGCGAGTGACGACCCTCGGCAGTAGAACGAATTCGGATCCAGCTCTGTTTGATCGCTCTGTGCTCGATAATACATCGTGAGTCATCGGTGAAGTCATTCAGCTAGAACTGTCTATCGTACTCAGTTGATCACCCAGTGTTGTCCACTTGTCTCAACTGTACTGGTAAGCAGCTCTTTCTGCTCTCATTCCTCGCTCGAATTTTGACACCTTCGTGTTCTGCAAGCGTTGAATTCCAGGTCTCGTAGACCTTGCGTTCCGTGCATTCTGTGTCCGACTGGATGATGGTGTGCGTCTTTCATTCCTGATTTGTACTCTTAATTGGCCAAAGGGCGATGTTTCATCTTCGAACCTGTCTTCATTGAAGCCACTTGAGTTGTTTCTGGTGCTTGAGGTCGTGCGGCTGCTTACTTCTGCTGAAGCATGTGTAGGAGTCGAAGTGAAGTGACCCGTAATTACAAACATCAGTCTTGTGATTCCTGTCTCACACTCTTTGAAATGTACAATCTTGCAGGTGTCGAAACAATGGCGTCCAGCAATTTCGCTCGGAAGCTGGTTTCTGCTGCCTCATGTCTGCCTATTAGGAGGTCACAGCTCCTTGGATCAAACACTGCTAATGGCATGACGGTAGCTCGTAACCAGCCGAAGGCGCGGTATGCGAGTTCTGCCGCACAACGATACATTCCAGAGGAGAAAGGGGCTCAGCTTGAGAGCCGGGATGACGGAGCAATTTCTCGGGACAAGGTTCATCCGCTTCGAGTATTTGGTGAGCTACTCTGTTCTTGTAACTATTTCGTCACGTGAGAACCAGAGATTTATGCCACAATAGTTTTACAGAGGGGACAAAGAATCTTGTACTCCTTCGAATGCAATGTGGCAAGTCTGTTGGATTCAGTGCGCGAGGTTTTCTTAGCTTTGAATTTTTCTGGTAAGATGATCGCGCTCTTACCATTTGCAATTGTATTATGCGACAGATTTGATGGACTCCTTCTTCCCGACAAGAAATTTGCGTTCGATGATCGAGACTATGGATCGCGTATTCGATGATCCATTCTTTGCTCCTTCCGCTTTTCGAGAATCTCCAGTCCGCCGCTCGCTACGGACCCCGTGGGATTTCAAGGAGACTGAAGATTCGTTTCAGCTGAGAATGGACATGCCGGGACTCGACAAGCAGGAGGTGAAAGTATACATCGAGGACGATTGTCTAATCATTAAAGGAGAACACAACGTGGAGAAGTCAGAAGAAGGGCAATGGTCGTCCCGAAGCCATGGAAGTTATTCATCGCGTATCGTGCTGCCTGACAACGCCAATCCGGAGAAAATCAAAGCGGAGATGAAGAACGGAGTCCTGAACGTGACAGTACCGAAAGTGAGGGAAGAGGAGCGCAAGAAGAACGTCATCGACGTTGCTATCGAGTAGGGTTCAGGTTCAAAAGCCGAATATGATTTGATAGTGTACGGTATTTAGCGATACTAGTTGACAGACGGTACAGCATTAAAGTTTACAACGTGACAGAGATTCGGATTATGGCGAGAAGCATTTAACGATGCTGCGTTTCGCTACTTATGTAAATTTGAAAACACAGCCAACACAATAATACAGTTTTGACTTCAGTATTTGCGTAATTCGATGACTACCACATTGACAACCGCTTCTTTCACGCTTGCACGGCCCGTGAGTCCTGCTATCTGCTGGGAGTAGAACATTCAATCAGGAGAAATATAGTCTTTAAAGATGAAACGACAGCAAGAAAAGAAGATCCACTGCACAGCCATTCAGTGAAGAGATAGATGACTAATCTTGAGGAATGATGAATCCGAGAATTGGTTGTGTTTCGAACTTATATTCGAAACATAATCAAAATTAAAATCAACATTAGAACATCCCAAATCAATTATGGAGGACGAATGCGAAACCTGTAAGCAAAATTCGCATTCGGGCGAGGTTCAAATTATCTAACATTTAATTCGATGTTGTCGAGCAGAATAATCCGACTACACATTCAGTTGCACGTGCTGCTAGTCGATGCATCTGATTTTAAATTCAGACGAATTATGTACACTGAAATCAGTTATGTGTTGTACAGATCGAGAATATTAAGCCTCACCCAAGAGGCGACGAAGCACATCTCTGGCCTTCGAAGTCTCTGTGGCCACATCATCATTGAAAATGTACCGACTAAATTCGCTGGTGTTGTCTGCTCGAGCTGAGAAGTTAGCAACTCCGTTACAGAGATAGTTGAAAGTGGCCAGGGCTCCGTGATAGTGGTGTAACCTGGCAAGAGTTCCGTTCAAATCGACTCCTCCGGAACCGCTATCTTTCGTAACGTAATGAATACCTGCAGCGAAAACCTTCCTCGGATTCACGACATACTTCCTTCTTCCCAGCGGCCCCGTGCAAAGCCAGGGATCCGGTTTTTCCTGCTTGTATCTGCACTCGGGCTGCTCCTCAACACAAACCATCCTCTCCACGGGCCATCGAGTCTCTACCGTTCTAGACAGCTCTGTGCAAAACTTCCATGAAGCAGGCAAGCTTGCGAAAGTCAACCAAGCCTTATCTTCGTGCTGCTTCAGCAGCGATTGCAGAGAATTGGGTTGAGGAACATAAATAAACTCGTCGAAGTCATGGAAGAGAGTCCACTGCGCAATGAACCGGGTCCTGTGAAGACAATCGTTGACGAAGAGCACCTGACCTCGATAATGTGCCGTGTAATCCTTTATCTCGAGGACGTTCACGATCTCGACCACTCCTGCCTTGATGAATGGCTCCAGCACCGTCAGAGTGCCCTCGTCCGCTAGAGCGCCGACGTTGTAGAAGAAAAAGCGGACCTTGCCTTCCATACCTTCGTACAATCGGTAGTGGTATGTCAACCAGCCGAGGATCCAATCGGGTCTTATTCTTCCAAACATCGGGGGCCCACAATATGCGTACTTGTAAGGCAGAGCAGCCGCACCACCTTGCTCCAACTTGCGCACCATTCTGTTGAAAACCTCTACCTCTCCCTTCCTTTCCTCGTACACATTAGCCGCCACCGTGCCGGTGAGAGAGAGCCGATTGGGCTTGGCCGAAATCGACAGCTGCAGAGTTCCACCGCTCGCATCGGCTCCAACTGCTGTGGGGAAGGTGCAATTGACGATGGCAGGGACGTAAGGCATGCGTCCTTCGTCCCACTTGACGTAGATCATCTTCGCGTCGGTCGTGACGAGATCCTTGCCTTCCTGATGCCATGTGCAATCGTGCACGGGCTTGTCGAAAGCCCTGTACACGGCCGAGCTGAGTCCGACCACGAGGATCGTGTTCATCGACAGTCTGTACGTGCTGAATTTGACGAAAGGATGAAGGGCGATGCTGAGGGGCTGTAGACTGTGTTCGCCGAGAGCAGACGTGCTTTTGTCATCGGGCTGGCTGAGCTCTCGAGTCACCTCCTCGTCTGCACACGTCCAATATGGGGAAGAATCTCGCGAGAAATTCGTGTCCAAGTGTGAACATGCCTTGCTGTAAGTCGGTGGCTGCTGGTGAAGAGAGCTCGAAGGTGGAAAGAGTGAACCCTGGTCTCGTGTGCTGGGCTCGAAGGTTCCCTCTATTTGGTATCTGATTTCCGCGACTGGCGAGTTCAAGGGATCGTTACATAGCGAAAAGTCTGTAAACCGGACTACAGACAGAAGAACGAGGATCTGTACGATGAAAGAAGCAGAAAAAATGACAAAAACGAGACGCCAGAACTCCCATTGATGAGCACTCGGCATTGACATTCTGCCATTTCTGCCCATCTCGATAATCGACTAGCCTCGATTCCGAACGCTGGAAGCTAGGCCTCTGATCTAGACTAGCATACATCAAGGCTTCAAGCTACTTTGAGCGAGAAATCACTGGTCGGTGTTCTTGTACTCTGGGACTGATCCCTTGTACATTTTTCAAATCCATTTGACCCAGTACTTCATTCGTGCTCAGAATGCGGGTTTGCGAGAAGAAAATTCCCGAACGAGATGATACAATGAACATCATCCGATTGAGGCTGAACTCAATCTCCAAACGCAAATCTTTGTCTTCCAACCCCTTGGCTGAGAACTCACTAAACGAGGACGTGTTAGATATCTGACTTCAGTAGCTGTGAGTATGAAATTCAATTTCTAACGACCTGAGCTTCTAAATCGCAGGATGTCAAATAATGAATCCACCACATCACGTTTAACTCATGTCACAAATTGACATCACATGGCGGAGGCCACGATCAATCACATGACGAAGCCTATTAGACCCTTCCCCTGAGCCGTACAGCTTCTTCCCCTCCCACGACTCTTAGGATGTTCAGTATTCTATCTGAAGGGATTCTTAGTTCGATGCACCGAACTGATAAGCTGTTACTGTGGCTTGATTCGTTACGGCCTCCCTGCTTGAAAATATCCAAAATGAGTGTAACATCTGGTGATTTCCACTCTTACTGCTCCGTGTGAAGCCAGAAATGTTTTTTGCTGACATACCATGAGCACGCGGCGTACTTGCTAACGTGAGGCACAATTGCCTCAGGAGTTCTTCCGTTTTTCACGTGAGATCTTTGACTTTGTGTACGTCACATGTTTTAATTTGGCTACAGAGGGACTCAGGTTGCTGTTCAATCCCCAAGTTCCGAGCACACGTTTGTGAGCTGCATGGATGACGCTACAGACTGAGCAAGCGAGTCCTTGCTAGATTTGAAGTCGGAAATACTCAAGGCGGGTATGTCATAGCCAGAAGACTATCTCCCCGGACAAATTAAGGTCCTGTTGGGAACAGCTAATCTGTCAACTGTGGACAATTTGGAGAACAAAACCAGCTCCTCCTTTCTTGCATCAAGTTCATGATGTCAAACAGAACAACACCCGAGCATACACTTGTTCTTTGTCTGCATTTAGCCCCGACCGAGAAACGAGTCAACTCTGGTTGGTGATTACTGTATTGAGCAACACCACCCTCCGTTGGTTCGATTTGTGCTTTTCATTGCGCTCATGAGTCACTCCATCGTTAGCCAACTATGCATCCTACCATGTTGCCACCATCTCGAATCTCTAACCTTGAAACTGGTATGCACAGGCAAAGTCTAGTCGTTGTCTTCCCAATTCCTATTACCTGAGACCGAACAACAAACCTTGGGATCTGAACCGTCGTAGGAACATATTCGATGCAATTGGCAAAAATTTCCTGGGAATATCTAATTTTTGGAGTGAGGGTAATAGATCTGGTGAAGGCAGCACCTTGCATTTTGTTGCACTGTCTTCAATCATACGTTGGAGGCTGTTTTGATGTTTGATCGTGCGAGTGACGTAGAATTTGGACTTGCACTACTGAATGTATCTCGTAATGTGCGCTGTCCAGAGAATCATCCAGTCAGCAGGTAATTGCCCTTTGAGGTTTCAAGTCACTACTCCTCTACCCAATTGACCATATCGCTTGAAGTGAAGAATCATCTGTAAGCTATTCTTTTCTATATAGGCAAATGTTTCCGATGACTCGGAAAGAAAAATTCGCTACTACTTGGAGCGAATACTTCTCTACTTGGTACTTCCATTAAACTTAAAATAAATTATTCCGTAGTCGTAGAGAAGAGATCAGAATGATAGACGTCTGGTCACGTGTACAGGATAGCTGAGACTACAAATTCCTCCACATACATGTGTCTTCGATTATCTCAACGCAAACTATTTTTCACCCCGGGTAGATTTAATTTTGTTGAAGCTGACTTGTCAGTCTTCTATAAGAATTCAATGAAACTTGCAGTTCAAAGTCTCGCTATAGTGATCCAACGCTAGCACGGATTTGATATCCTTTGATGATAAGAAAAAAATTGGACTGTCTGATAACACGTAGAACGATTCAAATATGTGCTAAGTTCAGTGACAAAAGTTAAACATGTCCATTCAAAGCTGTCATTAAAACTGGAGTGAATTAAGTCTGTTTGCATAATTTCTGCACGTTTGTCATTGAACGGGACAAGCTGGAACGTAAACGGAATTCTGACTACCATTAGCAGCAAAATTACATGTGGATGATGTGTCAGGTCAAGCACCCTCCACAAAGCTAGCCTAGCCAGTTGCTGCCGCCAAGTCTGAACAATCGCATGTCTGACGACTTGCTACAGGATGGTTCGGGTCTGACCCGACTAGAGTGGTTCCAGTGATTTGCCACTTGCTGCAGATCTCTGGACTGCTCCTGGAGCTTGTAATTTCATGCGGTCATTGAATGTCCTTGAGCCGGGAAACACAAAACTGAATGGCGGCAAATGGGGAGGATGCTAAATTTTTTACCCATGCAAACAGGCTGCAATTGAGTTGTTTCGCTTTCTTCGGGTAGGTATTTAGCAACAGCCTCAGATAAATCAACTGTGTCATCTAGAATATACGCCAGCCAATATGATTTGCAAAGTCTGCTGGTTTCGTTCTATATATGGATCTGGAAAGGCCGGGAAAATAAAACTTCATTCTTATAAATCGGCGGCAAGGGCTGCGCTTGATCCCTATTCGCCCATTTTAATTCACTGCTTCATGGAGACGCTGGTTACAGGGGATACCACCTTGGCAAACCATTGTACAAGGCTGGCGTATATTCTAGATGACTGCAGTTCTTTGAGCAGGTTTATAGCGCTGAGTGACGCCGCCCTTGCATATCATTAAGCTCAGATTCCATCGTATGCACTATGGCTAATAACAATATGATTTACCCCATGGCTTAGACAACAGATGAGAATCTTAGACAACAGATGAGAATCTGTTTCGTATGTTGTTTGCAAACACAACGATACGTTGAAAGTTTCAACAGTTATTTATCATTTGACCTCCGCCTGCATATGCAGCGTACTTCATTGGTGTCTTGTAGGTGCTTCTCTACTAGCAAACATCTTCTGATAATGCAATGCGAAATGCGAAACGACAATTGTCTTCAATTTGTTTGGGCTAGACTTCAGCACGCTTGTGTCTCCACTATCTAGTGAAGAAAGTGGCAGAGACTCCCCGCCTGGTGAGGAAGTGATGGCGTCTACTGCACGAGAAAAACAATGGGTTCAGCCAATTTACTCTCCCCCACATTCACGTGAACGCTTCATGAAGATTTTCTTCACGATCAAGTCCAACAACTGCCGAAACTGATGTGTGCTGACAGCTGACAACTTTATAAAAATTGGAGATGGGTTGAGAAAACTCCGGGGAGCTTTGTCAACTCGCAAGGGTGGAATGTACTCATATGAAAAGAGCTAAGTTCTTGCATATGGGATCATGATTTGACCGTATTGCCAACTCAGGTCCAAGGAAGTCATTATCTAAAATTTTCATGATACACTAGTCACTATCTGAAAATATATCGATCATTTTCATGATACACTAAGCTTATAGTTGGAGTCTAGAAAACGCTTACCTAAACGCAGCCGTTTGAAAAAAAGTCAAAAGGTATAATCTGGATGCAACGATGTTACGGACAGTCCAAGATATTATGTCTTTTTTATCGATCTCTTGAAGGCCACAAACAATGTAATGATGACGAGGTCTAATACTCTTATCAGGACGTGCACTTACGTGATGCAAGATTGAAGGTGTGAGAAACAGGCCTCCAATCAACAACTTTCTGGATTGGCTCACGTTGGCAGACATCTCGTCATGAATTGGTAACCTGGTCTGATAAGCTCCCTGCATGTTCTGCTTCTCTCCGGCATAATCACCACTCTGAGCAGCTTCATCCCATGAAGTTGAGCTACAACCCACATATCTCTATCATATCCCGTTTCTTTAGAATATACAGATTCTCCCGTGTCTGGAGGTAAATGCTTACTATCAGAGTTATGTCACGGTGCTATGGTTTCAAACCTCCACAGTGACTAGTTTTCTTGCGACTTGGAGGTCAGATTAGTTGAATATTGCCAAGGATGGAGGATGTGAGTCCTACCCAGACAAACGCGCCTAGAGTACCCGAGGAATCGGCCGACGAAGAAGACCCATGAAAATGCAGTCACAGAGTTGTAGGAAGGGTGGTTGAAAGTGCACTCAAGTCATGAGTCACTCATCCATCCTCCTCCTTATGACGGTCATCCGTTTTGTTGGTGAATCCGTGCCGTGAGAGCTGAATTCTTGTGTCATAGAGAGCTTAAGTGGTAGAGAGTAGAGCAGAGCAGCGCAGATCGAGGAAGATTGCCAACCTCATTACCAACCTCATCGCGCAACTTCCGATAGCTTCCATAGAATTCGGCGATCAAATATTCACGCGTGATAATGATAACGTATATAGAGGGTTCATATGATGGATCTCAAGCAGTTCTGAGGATCGATGAGGATGCAGGAACTTCTGACCGAGGGGATTACGAGACTGTGACCGTATGAGGAAACCCATCTAACATTCTGTTGGATGTTGCTGTTTATACCTACAGTGAGCAGATTTGGGTATGTCGAAGATACGAAGCGTACCCACTAAGAAGTAGAGTCTATAGACTAGACGAGTGTTTCCGCAAATTTTACTAGTATCTGTGTTCTCATTCAAGGTTCCTAAATGACACAGTGGGGAATATTCGAGATTCTGACCGCGAACGCCGAGCCGGGCTGCGTATACAGAAGAGAGCAAGTTGGATTTGGAACGAAGAAAGCACAACTCATAACCAGATCCAAATCTGCCATTAGAAAGATTGACGTATATGTGGCTTATAAAACAGATTTGCATGCAATGAATGCCATTCCTCTGTGTATATATTAGATGAAAAAATGCATGAAACAAGCGTGTGTATACTTTAAGGGTATATGTCTTTCGGCAGAAAGTCTAGACAAAGTGGAGCATCTATTCACGTAGTCGCTCTCGTGGTCTTGCAATCGTCATCCACTTTGATTTGTCCACCCTGCTGGTGGTGGGGATCCGGCTGAAAAACAACCACAGGATGACCGCATTTGAGAGCACTCCCAAATTGATCAAAGCTACGAGAATTTACCGGGTTTAGCACGACACGAACATTCGCTCTTTCTCAGGGAACACAACAATGAAGACGGATAATAACTTCCATGATATAGAAAGGCGTCGGGTCCTCTACAGAAGGAAGTGTAGACTGGATATCGGTATAATTAGTGGTGCGTCAAGTCAAAGTGAAAAATGGGAGGGAGGTTTCAATCCAGGTCTTGAAGTCTTGATTGCAATCTTTTTTTCGTTTCCAATTGCGTCTTTTATACGCGAATGAGACGGTACGGAGTGGTGTCATGTCTATGTGTAGCACGCTGTCTGGCTCGTTAAGCATTTATCTTTTAATTAATGTGAACCACTGTTTCTCATGTTCCAAGCCTGGGATTTTATTTCATGCACTTGCAATGTGACTTGTACTTGTAAAGCTCTACCTTTATACTTTCAAGTCACATCGGAGGTGGGGACTGAACCGTAGAATGAGTTTGACGTTCAACGAGACTGACGGATCATGCACTTGCAATGTGACTTGTACTTGTAAAGCTCTATCTTGATAGTTTCAAGTCGCATCGGAGGTGGGGGCTGAACCGTAGAATGAGTTTGACCTTCAACGAGAATGACAGATCAGTCCGCACGGTCAAACATGAAGAAACATCAAGAGTCACATCAGCTGAAAATGGGATTCTCGTCTTGTTCTGGTATATTCCTGCAACAAATGCCAACCACTTCATTCCTTCAGAATCAGCTGGACCTCACGTTTCTCTATAGCCAATTGATATAAATTTTGCTCGTAGAACGTTAACATTGGGCAGCGAAAGCCTTCAGCTTTGACAGTTGATGAGATTTCCTGCTTTCAGTCATTCAATCTCTACATAGTAGCTTCGCGAAGGTACACGCATTCACCTTCTTCGATGGGCATCGACTGGATCCCGATTATCAATGCAGCGATTGTGGTGAGTCTACTCAGTCTGAGTTATACGAGTGGAGTGCAAGTGTTCGCTTCGGATGTTTCCTTCGGAATTACCAACAACATCTCAGTTCCAAGCACCGCAAACCACGGCCATGATGAACTGAAAATAATTTGTGCTGTTGGTACCAGAAACAACATGTCTTCCGTGCCACTTCAAGTCATCAAACCAGGACAGTCACATGTCTGGAAAAATGAAGAACTCGGTGCTGATCACGACGGGAATGTCTTCCTTTCGTGCTCGTGGATGCCCAGCTTTATAATCCGGAGGTCGTTGCGAGAAACACAAGACTGGATCGTGACCGAAGACGGACTACGAAGAGTTGGCACAACTGAACTTTCAGCAAGATGGCAAGAACGTTCTACTGAACTGAAGAGGATCTCGGGTGATGGACGTGATCGTGTAGCAGCTGTTACGTCGATCATAGATGTGAACGTAACTAACATCATGAACGGGGCGAATCCATCATTCACCCTGGTAGAGATTCACTGCACCGCTAAGACCGGGGACAGGGCGAAGTATCTGGGAAGAATCCAGATATCGGCGTGGGAATCTCACGAATGGAAGTTAACGCAGATTGACAACTCCCCGGACACCGTTTTCTGTTCTTTCAGTTGGACTGACGACTTCCGGCAAGAGTACACTATGAGTTCGGCTATATTCGATTCCAAGTCTAGAAACTACGCTGTTGATTTTCAAAGGGAATACTTTGTCACCAAGTCTGGACTTGCTTTCGGTGGTCAGGAAGTCTACGTTGCTGTGTGGGCCAAATCGCTCACCATGAACTCCCCTTAGTGAGCAGTTGTAGTAAGTTGACAGCCGGGCCCTAGAACAAGAACTTAGCTTTGTGAATTAGACCATGTGTCCGGTAACTCCACAATGAGATGCGTCTTATTGTTCTAAAATTCCATAATGTCTTATTTATATCATTTTGTGGAGTTTTAATGTTTTTCAATTTGGGATCAGAATTCTGAGTGTTTTATCTTGATCGTTTACTTAGTTATTGTTTGACATATATTATATCCTCACAAAATCATCCAGACCTAGCACTTTGTTTACTCTTGCTCTTGCTCCTTGTAAACAATGCTTTCTCTTTTGTTTGCCGTGATCCGGAACCCCTTCCTAACCGTAGTTACTCAGTCTCTCACAGGAGGGAGCTACAGAACATGCGCATTTCAGTCAAAGCATGATCAATGGAGACTTTCACCATTTGGGATTCTTGGTCCCGACGACTATCGATAAACATGCGAGCGAATCGGAATCCTGCGGTAGAGTTGTCCCTGTCAGTCGTCATGCAAAGGCGATCAAGGCAATGAATGAGTCTCAATACCAAAATTCAATAATTAGCGATTTTCTAAGCTGTAATTCTCCACCTTTGCGCTCCCCTCTGCGCCGGTTGTGATTTATCAGAACCTATGTATTCTCTAGTGCAGCATGACTTTGAAGATTCCAAAAGAAACTTTGTCATCATTGTTGTTTCAGTCATCACCTCAATCTCATTGGCACTACCGAAAGCCATATTTGATCAATTGATGGATTGATGTCATAACCTAAAATGAAAGACTTTCGTTTTAGCTTTTATTGACGAATATTGCAGTTTGAATAAGTAAGATTCGTTTCCGTTTATGAAAGTCTTATTCATGAATTGAAGTCAAAACCTAAGATGAAAGACTTTCGTGTTAGATGACTGGGACTGTAGATTGAATAAGTAAACCTCTATCCGTGAAAGTTCTTACACGTTTTGATAACTAAAACAATTAAGCATGTATGTTATTCACCTCATTCCTTGTTTAGATATGCATGTGACTCCATACTAGATGGTACTTGTAGCTGTCATGCATCTTGAAAAATAAAATAGGCGTGACATCAACTTTGATGAAACTTGCTAGCTTACTCTAATGCAAAGCCTTGGAAAAGACGTTACAGTGGAATTAGGCAAACCGTACGTTACGTCAAACACAATCATGACAGTAATTTGATTTAAAAATTTGGATGGAGTAAGGAGACAATAAATGCATATGACTTCAACAAAATGCTCATTTATACATAGATATGGAAGCATCACGAGAACCTGTGTAATTGAGATCCATTAATGAATTTGTTTAAGAATCCTGTGATATTGTTAGGGCTACTAACTCCTCAACTTCATTGTACAAAGAGGATGGAATGCATCATGCAAATGATGATAAAGTATATCAAGAATGTTAATATTAAACACATTGCTCCAAATATTTTTCAACACAAGAGTTGTTGGACTCTCATATGGATTACAAATCAATACGATAACAAAAAATTAAAATTTTTAGACAAATATACAAAGTCTCTACTTATGGAGACTCGGTACAGACAGGAAATTTTTACATTGTTTGGAGGTGATAAGATTATCACCTCCAAATAATTTACATAATCATTTTATTAACGATCCTATCTGGATTGCTTTACTTATATTCAAAGAATGCCATAATGTGCGAACCAACATCCATAATACAAATATTCTATATGTAATATATATGCTTAGGTTAACATATCTAGAAGCGATATGTGATATTAATTCTGTCTGAATATTTTCACTCGTTGATTAATTGTGTGAGTTTAAGAGTAGCATTTAGAGGAGCTTTGATACATAAGCTTCTTAATGAGTTAAGTTACATATTGCATTCTCATTGATGAAAATATTATTTGCGAATAACAGAAACAAATGCCTAGTTGGCTGACTTGTTGAGGAGGAGTTGTGGGACCTGACGCACAGCGGTATGACAAAAAAAGTGACAGTGAAGGGAGGATTTCTGGAAGCGAAAACCCCATCAATTTTCATCCCGTACGCGATTCAAAAAATACGTTTGATGGAGAACGTGTGAATGCGTTACGTAGACTACCGCTTCTTCCCATTCGGGCCATCAGAGCTGCCTTTTTCCCAAATTATATATTCCCTTTGGCCAAGATCTCCAGGCATCGTGTAAAAATATATATGAGAGAGCCAGCTCATTAAGGAGTGCAAATGTTCCTCCGATACTAACGCCTTTGATGATCCAATGAGTCGGAGCAATGTTGAAAATACTCACTATAATTGATGTTCTCAAAAACAGTGTATGACAGAATTACTTTCGGATACTCTTTCTGAATAGGTTACATCAATTGATGTGAAACTCAATCTTAGGCAATAACCGCATTGATTGACTGAGGATTCAATTCAAAGACCTACATTCAATAATGTAGGCTCAGCTAGCTTACCTTTTATCCCTCCTGTCATGATATTATTAACTACCAATAACTGGTTTGTACTTAAAAACAGGGTTGGAGATTTCATAATTATTTTAAATCATTGTGGAAAAAAATACCTAAAAGGACCTACTTATAATATTGCGATTTGAAGAAGGTTTCACAGAGAGGACTGTAAGTGCATACAAGATTTTTAAAAATTATAAGTGCAGTAGCCAAGCTAAAATTCTAGTACACTAGTTATCAAATGTAAGACTATCAAGTACATCAGGTGTAAGTGATGAAATGATATAACTACTCCATCATTAGCTTATCTACAAGATATCAAATTATGATTACATGTATTATCCTAAGTTCGTATATGTAGAGTTGAGCTATTTCTCATAAGACTGTGAACTTCCCATAACCTTGTAAATGATACTTTTTACTTAAATATGCTCCTAAGATACTGACTTAATTCCTAAACCCCATTCCTAAACACAGCTTTATAAAAGATGATAAATCAATCTCATAATTAACTAAATGATGATGTTTCAAGAAGATTGTAATATTTTACATCCATTGAGGTCTTTATTATACTTGACGTTCATGTCTTGTCCGTTTCAGTTATTTTTCAAACTGTATTTCCTGTGAATTAATTCAAAATCCAAAAGTGTAAATATAGATATTAGTTTTAAATTCATATACTGCAGCATTGTGGTATATAATGCTTGTAAAAAAATTTATTATTTTGCTGTTAGAAGGGAAGAGGTGGTTTTTTTTGCCAAATCAACCACCGTGCCGAATCTTCCTGTGTGTCATCAAGTTTCTTTCAACCGCTATAATTGATGTAGAAGAAATTGGAAAAATCTGGAATTTTTTTTATTTAATTTGCATATGCTTTGTGCTGATTTCTATGTCCATGTTGTTGCCCATAGGGGGCTATTGCTTCCGTTTATCAGTATAACGTAAGAATCTTGATCGCGAAGTTCATATTCTCTTTCTCATGTTGAACATCTGAACAGATTCCTTCGCTCTTTTATTTTCCGTCTTCTTATCATTGGGGTCTTGCAGACAACATAGACGCACACTTAAAGTTATTAGTGCACATCTCAGTTTCTGTGGTTCTTCTATTTTGTGTGTGCATTGTGAGATAAATTGTGGGTTCAAGATTTCATCATGCAGTATGCCATGTCCCTACCTAGCAGAATGTCAAATTACACATAAGTTGAGGATATAGCATCCACTATTATATCAAAATAGGGATATCAAAATCAAACACAAGATGAAATTTTTTTAATAAAATCAAGATGACAAAGATATTCAAACTACATAAAATCATGAAGTTGTCAATTACTTACAAAAAATTATTGAATAAAAAACATGCAAAATGATTGGTATTTCATCATAACATTCTACAACAAAAGACACATGTTATTGTGTAGTTCAAAATAATAACATGATCGTTAAATTGAATCTTTAGACATTTTAAATTTAATGAAGAAAAAAATCAGAACTCCTTTTGTTGTTTATATGAAATTTTGGTATCAATCAATGAGCTTTGAGCACTTGATAAAACTTTAAATTTTTTATCCATATTGCATATTTTTGTTTTCAGTCACATAGTTGGTATAAAAAGTATGAATTTTCAATGAGTTTTTGTAAATAATTTATTTTACATCAAATTTGGATATTAAAATATTTTAAAAATTTGGCGTGATGACTTGAATTATATATAACTTGTTGTTAAGTAAGCAATGAAATTTATTTTGTGATTTTTACAATTAAGAAGTGTTTGAAAAATAATATGAAGTTTTTTTAAAGCACAATGTAAAGCTAAATTATTTTTAAAAATTTTTAATTCAAATTTCAAAATTTTGAATTTTTACGATTATTTATGCTAAAATTTTATTGATTGAAAAAAATTTATCTAAATGATTGGAAGAGGAATATTTTTTTTCAATTGATAATTAAGAAATTTTTAAAGAAATCAACGTCCAAACAAATTTACTTATGATTAGAAAAATGTTTCTCCTCAAAAGTAATGAATACTTGTAACATAGTGGTGATCTCATGAAAATCTTATCAAACATAACAAAATGATCATTTTAAAATCTATATAAGTTCAAGGCTAGCCTAAGAGTAAACTGCATTGTGTAACATCCACAATCCGAAATTATTGAATAGTCATTTTTTACTTATCTCTCCTTCCAAATTATTAATAAATGTTGCTGATAAATGCTGCAACATTTATTGGCACTTATTGAGCAAAGTATAATTTTAACATAAAGATAAAAAAATATCTTATTCATGTGAATTATTCAAAGTCACATACAATATATGATGAGTTTGTCTCATTCTTATTTTATAATGGACCAAATCAAGAGTACTTATCATATGTATAACAGTAACGATGACATACACTTCACATGAATTTGCATATTTGTTCAGTGAAGAGATTAAATAAGCGTGAATGAAATTTAAAACATCAGTTGTAGTATGTCAATATTGTTAATATATCAAAATATATGATATCATTGTCTGTTGATCAATGGCAAAAGAGAATATTCATAGTGAAGAGAATAAATAAGCGTGAATGAAATTTAAAACATCAGTTGTAGTGTGTCAATATTGTTAATATATCAAAATATATGATATCATTGTCTGTCGATGAATGGCAAAAGAGAATATTCATACTAATCATTTGTGTAATTAGGAAGAAGTTGCATCTTAATCCCATTCTATCCTCATTACCTTATTCTACTTTCATCTGGAGTTGCGTATATTCAAATCCTTCCATTTTATGGAAAAAAACGATTAGATATTAGTGCAGTACTTTTTCCAAATGTATCAAAAATCGGCATTGTTCATACCTTGTAAAGTAGAAGCTCAAAAAATTGTAAAGATCTCATACAAGAAAAAACTGTGAAAAAAGTGTGAGCAATCCACAAGGTATCAAGTTTAAAACGCGAATGATAGTTTACTGATTGTAATCCATGATCTCGTTTGCAATATTGAGGTGCTTCCTATGTTGATGATTAGTGTGGATAACAACATTCAAACAACCGTAAAATCAAACCTAGATGGAAATGTCAAGTACATTATAAAACATGGAAAGAACTCACCAACCAACATGCCCTCCAATAAATGGACAATATGTGAAACATGAAACTAAATCTCAATGCAACATGCAAACAATGAAATTATAACAATCTATATACATCATAGCATCCCAAGCGGCATGTATATACTTGATTGGTTACCTATGCCTATCTCAAATACTCAATTTTTACTTTAAAGAGGATATATAGAACATTGGACGTGTACATTATACTTCAAATCCTATTATTTGTTGATATATTGAGCTGTTCTTTCGGCTTCGTTTGACCCTTAGAGTTGAAATTAAGATGTGTGAAACCCCAAGAAAGAAAAATGCGTTTCCCCATCGGAGATTTGTCAAAACTGCACATGATACAATCATAAATCTCATTCCTATGGTCAAAACGAAATCAAATCGCGCGGTTTTTCTCCTTCGCTGGAACAACGTCAGAATTCTCTTTTTCTCGTTCTGCTTCGTTGCGCTACTTCCGTCAACGGAAGAGGGCACGGACGTGAGCAGTGGACGTCAGACGGAGAATCCGGTGCGCAAAGTGCAATGACGACGATCAGCCGGTGGCGCGGTCAAGGTCTTGATAACAAGATGGTCCCGACGAAAGTCAAAGCTCACCAAAGCAATTGGAAATTTAGTTCACCGATTTCGAACGCGAGTGAAGAGAAACGACGACATGACGAACGCAAGACCTGTGGGGCCCTAGATCTCACGCCGAGATTCAGGTGCCACTATGCGATGTACGCCCAATTGATGGATGCGTCATGAGTGAAGGATTCGAGAGTGGGGCTGGACAAACTCGAATTGCCGAGCTCCTGCTTTCCGCTGGTCTGTGCCCGGCTCTTCACGCTAAGATTGGATTCCGCCCCCGGTCGAACCACTTGGAAAGGGCTCCAACCAGCTCCCGAGTACCACAGATGCTGCGAAAGTCTCCCTTGAGTTTTGGGACGCCCAGAGCTGGATCGTATAAGGGCAGGTGAAGCTGCTAATTTCAGAGGCGGTAGACTAGAGCTCCACTCGCGTATATACGGGCATGGGACGATGCTGAAGATAAGCACACACGGATGGATTCGCACAGACAGGCTTGGTTGCCCTCACTGGTTAATCGTAATTACAGGTGACAGGAATCTTGCTTAGATGTGGAGTTTCGTCGCTCTTTCGTGGCAATTCGGCTTCAATGACGCTGGTGAGTTAGACTGTAGAAGGTAGTGACAGAGCAGAGCGGAACGATGCAGGACGGGGTGTTGGTCGAATTCTGAAGCTGTGGACGTTCACAGTTTGGACAGGAGCGAGGGATTGGGCCGATTTAGCGAAGCAGGCTTGGTGGTGCCAGTGGTTTGGATCGTGAGGTGCCACAATGACAGAGAAAATTGTCATTTGCGAGAGGGCGATGTCGAGGAAGCCGAGGCACACATTTTTACTTCTCTGTTGCGGCTCGCTTGTGTGGTACTACTGTGGACCTCAGCAGCGGAACGTCGTTTCTCTCTTCGCCGATATACTTTTCACGCTTGTTTGCGCGCTGGGCCTACTCGGATATATTTGTCGGCAGCTCAATCTCGCGTATGGTCCCTGTCACATCTCCCCTGGTCCTGGTCGCATGCCTGAGGTCTATGACTTGTGGTAGATGCTTCGTAGTCATACCATGCTTGGCACGTTGTTGAGAATAATTCGGGGTGAAGCACTCGACGATTTGAGCAGTCAGAATCTGGAGAGATGAATGAGAGATGTCTCATCTCACATGCTCTTTCCCAGACTGACCATGAGTGTTGACCTGACTCGTCTATATTCCGACTTAATTGGACTAGATTTGGTCTCCTCGGTCAGTGACGTTCACGTTACGAAAGCCGCTACGCCCATGTCTCACTCTGAAATTCGACTGACAAGTACGAGAGTGGGTGAGTTGATCATCAGCAAATTATTGAACTATCCGAATCGAGTCATTTTCAAGGAGTTCTTTGTTTGACGTTGACACGAAAGCCCTCAATATGCAGGTATATGGAAGATAGACATACATCTTAGTCATCCGGATCGATTATCATTCATGCAGTCGGAAATTTTCCCTTTCTCGTTTCCACGGTGACGGAAACAAGCACGAACGTGCCTGTTCTACCTATACCTTCGAAGCCATATATCCAACCCACACATGTATTCCTCTGATGTTGTCAGGACGAGTCAGCTGACGATAAAGCAGTTAGTCATCAGAAGTTGTCTGATCCATGGAGACAAGCATGGCCTTGTTCTAATCCGACTCTTCTCAGCTTCCTTTTCCTGTCTGAAGCGGGTGACATGGTTTAAATGAGCAAGGATTATCTTTTCACCACTGTACTTTCAAGCTCTGACAAAGTAGGTTTCTCAGTCTGACGCTTGTATCCATGATAATGCAACTATTAGTGAAGACGGTTGCCGAAGACCACTGTTTCCAGATGCTTTTGGTAATGTTGAAGATTTTTGATTTTGAAGATGTCGTACAAGATATCATGAGCCACAGTTCAAGTAACCAGCAGATTGATCTTCTGATTTATTCTGGTATATTTTCTGATCAGAGAACTCAAAGAAACTACGGTACCTTGGACAGTTCTGAATCGTGGTCCTATCATTGGCATGCCATGAATCGTAATCATCAGCGTCGTGGTTTAAGTCCTTATGTCCTTAAGTCCATTGAACATGCTGAGTTTCTTCTTGTGGCTTGCAGTATTCCCGTCGATCCGCTGGAATGGCAAGTGACTCCAGAGGTAGCGAATGACGTTGCAGCATGTGTAGCGAACACAGTAGGAGCTGCTGAAGGAGTTCTGAGAGTTGCTGCCAGCGGACGTGACAGTAAATTATTCACCAAGGTAGGTTGAGCCCAGCGTGTATTTTCCGTCATAAGAATCAAGGTCAACATTATTGTACGTGATACAGAGTATCAAATGAGGTATGTGCTTGGCGGAACGTTACCTCTGAGTGGATTTTGTTTTTCCTAGTGAACTTTCGTCTCATGCCTCTTCGCGAACTTCGCCTGGGTATCCTTTGTCTTCATGGCCGGTCTTTGTTGAAAATCTCCTATCATAGAATAGCTGGAAGGTGGAACATCATGAACAAAGAGATTCGATCTACAATCAATCTTTTTGTTTCAGTCCGCTCCTTTTTTCCGTACGATCTTCTCTTTGCAAATTCCCACCGCTGGAATGCACGTGACAGAGCTTAGGCAAGTTTTAGCTCGTTTATACAGCATGGTTCCAAGTGATGAGAAGTTTACGATAAGAAGCAAGAAGGTGCAATTTTAACCTCATGAGTGATGTTGATTTCGAGTGGTTATCCGTTAGGCTAACTTAATCTGCTTTCATAGATGACAGGTGTTGAAGTTTCTCTTTCTGCCCATGTTGAGCTATAATGAGATTTGAATGCTTCTTGTCAGGTGGTGTTGGTTTTGTATCTGATTTCTGCTATTGGAAGATCAGCGTCGGGGGCGACAGTAGCTTATTTCGGTAAGGTACTTATATGCTAAGAACCCCGCCATGAATTGTTGGGTGTTGAGCAGTTATTGCGAACTTCTTTTGTTATTTCTTTCAGATTTTGTTTTTCAAGTACAGTAGAATGTGAAATTTTGTATGTTCATGACACTTATATCGAGAGTGATTCTCCAGTCCTCGGGCTCAAGAAAAACATTTAAACTACGGTACATAACTTTCTCGTGAATTCACAATTGTCTCTGAACGAGCTGTCAACCGAAAGACGTGCATTTAGCCTGTCGTGCTTACAGCGTCTTTCTTTGTTTGCAGCATTGTGCTTTGCCATGATTGTACCATATTGCGTTTCAAAAATAGCCCCTGAGATTACTGCTCATACGCCAACTTTTCTCCAGAAAAGATTCAATAGTCTTACTGGATCTCTCACTCCAGGTAACTCGCCAATGTCAAACTACAATAGTCCTCGACATTTCTGAGAGGCTTTGTTATACTTAGGACCTTTTATTTGAGCTAATTTAAGTCAAATTCATATTTTACATGGAGAGAGATTTTGGTAAGTCGAAAATACCTTCCAACTTAGAGAAGGGTCTTCATATTTGTAGAATGTAGATGTGTAGGACTCAAAATGTACAGTGGAATGCACATTGAGTAGCCCGTTCCCACTGAAGAGATATGCATATGATGCTCTGAAGGTAAACCTTCCCGTTTATGAGTATAGAATCCTCATATGGCGACAGAGAAAGTGTGTTCTCAAGAACAAGAATTCCATTTTGCTGCAACGAGATATTTATACTTTGTTCAGGAATGCCGCATATCACATGTAGGTACTAACAAGAAGCTCTCAGAGTTCCGTCTGTAAGCGTCTTAACAGTACATAAAGTTAAACGTCTGGGTTACCTTGGGGTGACAATCTTATGGCGTCATGGAAGTAAAATCTGTCATTGTTAACCAGGATTTAACGAAGTTACTGTTGTCCTGCCAAGGGTTTATACAAGTTCATTGAATTAGAAAGAGATTTTAGACACAACGGATTTGTCGGGACCGCTAGTATACTCCATGGGATGATCGCCTGCATCCCGTAGAGTATATCAGCTGCTGCTACGCTTTCAAGTCGTTCAAAATTACCAGCATATGTCGCATGTATTTCGGTTCTATTCTGGTGCAATGGTTACGTCTAAGAAATCAGTTGTTGAGCTCAGGCATGCTTTCCAATTCTGGGTAGTTTATGGGAAATTGTGGATGATATTTCAGGTGATTTATTTGTCAGCATATTTCGCTATATTGGAATTGACGATCTCTCGACGCTGGTGATGTATAACATGCACAGATTGGACGGAATAGTAGTATGACGGATATTCAGAAACTGAACATTGGCAGAACCTCTATATTCTGTACGTACGTGCACATGCTGGTAGGCTACAAAGTCGCGCCTGTTACAACAAAGTCGAGACAGTTTATTCCATGAACAGAAAGAGTGCCAAATTTTGTCAAGGAAGTATACGATGGAAAATTAGGATCCATTATGTTATTTTTTCTCCTAATCTTCGAAACCGTCTTACTCGAAGCAGTTCTTCAAGGTTGGTCGTTGTCACTGGACGCGGCTAAAGTTCAACTTCGGAAAAGTGTGGTCATCTTTCTCAGTCACAAGCCGAGCATGATGTTGAGATATCTAGCATCTTCCACGTTGTGTAGCAGTGGGTACTAAAGTGCTGTATAATATGATGATGAAATGCATGTCTAGCATATAAGAATGATTGCCTCGTGTTGAGTCCAATTTCTGTCATGGAAGTTAGAATTTCGATCGATTATCCAAAGCAGCGCACTTTTGAGCCATATTTACCGCAACGTTTACTGTACCGTGTATAGTTTCTTCCAGGGTGTAATATATAAGGATTTCTTGGCTAAACTCCGAAATGTCGAATTGATTTTGTACACGGGTAACTTCTCACTACAAGATATCTCCTCACTCAGTTATAGGTCTTCTTTTTCTTCATAGACCACCCCTCTTCTTCTTCTACTACTCACAACTCATACCGTCTTCCGTACAGTAAAGCACACAGATGTCAATGAGTGCCGTTTCGTCATATCATACTTCTTATCTGGGATATCTTTGCTTTACTGTACAGATACAGCCACTTATTGAATCTAACTAGTAACGTGGCGCGTCACGTAGATTAGAAGAGATGGCAGCCAATGAAGCTCAGCAGTTGTTGGTCGAAGTGAGATTTAGAATCATTAATCATTACTAAAATTTGGTATTGGATCCAAGATAAAAAAGGGAAACGTGGAGGCTCGTCGTAGCTAGTCAAAACGTGGTAGGATTACGCAAGTTCTTCGTCAGTCAGCAGTACAGAGTAGAAGTCTGCCTCTCCCACTCTGCTCAGCCCGCGACCAGAAATACAGTTTACAAGAACGTTAGAAATTTCTGTAGACTGTGCCATTCCAAGTGTGGAATCTTAGCACGCAACGAGTACATGTCCCGTCTCGACTCGAAACATGCGATCCTCTTCTCTTTCTGCTCAAGAACGGCATACGGCCAATTCACAAATCGCATCACGAGTCGGGCAATGCAGAGTCCGCAATGTACCTCAGGAAGAGCACCTACTGCGACTTAACTCTTTGGGCCAAACCTCCAGTTACCACTGAGAGTACTATGATAGTTGTCTGTTGGTAAATTCTGCAGCTCTTCCAGAGTGACGTCTGATGTGGGTTGAGTTGGAGTAATGATCACAAGTCCTCTGTGGACATGTAGAGTTGAGCAGGTATAGTTGTTCCATGAGTGAAGGTGTCCGATCAATCCACTCCCCATGACCGCTCTCGTGAGCAAACCCAACGCAGGCAACATACTGTTTAGCCATCCTTTGCATCCAACCTGACAGGCAGCCAAATAAGTAAACCAGACCCAGACCACAGTCGCATGTGTGAATACTCTAGAGTCAAGATTAAATCTACTTAAGTCACTTCGCTCTAATAACTTTTTGATTTCCATGCACTCAAGGCAATAAACCAACAGATAACAGCATTGTTCGATACTTCCTTCTGTCAAGTCCATGATTAGACATCTCTCTGAATCCACCGCAGTACTGTACTCACGAAACTTTAGGTTCAGAAGGCATAAGGTAAGTTAGTAATGACCTCCATCTGCTCCCAGACAGCTATCTTTAGAAGGGTGACAAAGGTCCGACGGTAAGTTGTTCCTAGCATATGGATAGCTGAAAGCTTCGGCCAAATTACCAAAGTTGACGGACGGTGCCAGTATGCACCAGGACACAACGACTGTAAGCGACACGACCAACATTCAATGCCATCAAGTTCAAGAGCGAGAAACAAAAGCTTAAAGGTAGTATGACATGCATTTGATCTTTCAAACAAGAGAATGATAATCGCTTTTTATTTGATTCAAGAGTTAAGTAAATAAAATTAGAAAAAAGGGGAAAGTTTTAAATGAAATACATTAAAAAAGGAGGAGGCAACTAAGAAAATCAAGCATGTACATATCTGAAATTCAACCTCTAGGAGGCACTAGTTGTCAAACTGTGTCCGGCCATGGCGTTTTTAGTAGCCCGGATGTTGGTCTGGAACTGCCGCAAGACCCCCGGTCACGTGACCGACGTCCATGCGCAGGGACAGAAGACGGAGAAGACCTAATGGACGTTCGTATGACCGTGTCCGTCGCTCCGTCTCCGTCCGACGACGGGTGCGGTGCACCTCGTTGGCGGCTGCAGCAGCTGGTGCTCCTCAAGACCTGGAGAGCGGAAAAATTCCTTCTTTTGCCTCCTCGTGAGGCCCGAACAGCTCTGCTCAAATTTCAGCGGAGTCGTGAGATTTCAATCGATGAGCCTCGTGTTTTCACGAGCCTTGATCGTCGCACTTCTGAAGGAAGTGGTTTAGGAAGTGTACCACATTGCCATTCGCTGGAAATCTCGAATCCTGACAGCGGAGACTGCGGATTCTAGACGCAGTAGGGTTCGTGAATTTTGGGGAATTTTCAAATTATGGGCAGAGAACAGCAATCAGCAGGAAGCATGGAGCTGGAGAAGAAGAAGAAGAGGAAGAAGAAGAGCGTAGAGGATGATGTCGTAGCCGCGGATGTTGAGGAAACTGTAGACGAAGGTAGCAAAAAACAGAAGGTGGATGCTACAAACGGTGCAGGGGAAGCTGCGGTAACTGGAGATAAGAAGAAGAAAAAGAAGAAAGAAAAGAAACAGGGATCCGGCGACGAGAGTGCCGAAGAGGTGACCAAAGATAGTGACAATGGGGCTACGAAGGTTGAGAATGGCGAGGGCAAGAAGAAAAAGTCGAAGAAGGACAAGTCTGGTGGAGATGACGACGCCAATGCGAAATCAAAAAGTTCCCAGGTGGCAGAGAAGGTCGAGTTGTTTGTGGGAGTTTCGGGAGTCGGCAGTGACGATCCCAAATTTAAGCCATTTACCTCCTTTGACATTCCTGGCGTGCCTGAGAATGTCTTAGCTTGCTGCAAAACCTTTCAAAAACCTTCACCTATTCAAGCCAATTCCTGGCCTTTCCTTTTAGCCGGTCGGGACTTAATTGGGATCGCCGCTACTGGTTCTGGTACGTTGCTATTGTGAGAGCTGTCCTCTCTTTGATGGTCTATGTTCAGCTGCTGCGCAGTCTTTGAATCTACGCGGAGAGTGTGAAACTTGGTTGAATTGAATTGAGTGCTTTTTTTTCCCTTACATCTAAGATATGGCGCATCTTAATGTAGCGTTACTTCAATCAAATTTGAGAAAGCTTTTGACGTCTGATCTTACATGTATGCTAATGCGCATTTATCATACAATTTATCATTCACAATACAGTCATTGAATGGAACTCAGATGCAGAGAAGAATATTGTTCTGTGCAGGAAAGACGTTGGCTTTCGGAGTTCCTGGAATGTCGCATGTGTTGAAGAAAAAGGCGAAGTCAAAGTCAACAACACCTTTGGCACTTGTTATGGCTCCCACTCGTGAGCTCACTCAACAGGTGAACTACACCGTGTTTCAGATTGGTCTTGACATTTAATCCTTACGTCCGAAAATATCACCCTCCTCGCAATTGCCTCTATTTGAGAAAAGATGGGTACTAAATAGAAAGAGTTTGCAGATTGCTGAGGTCTTGGAAGAGGCTGGCAGCTCATGTGGGGTGAAGATTGCATGCATCTATGGTGGAACTCCCAAGGGACCTCAAAAAGCTGCTCTTCGAGCCGGTGCGGTGAGTGTCTATTATCTTTTATTTTCAATTTTAGCTCTCTATGCCTTTCCACATTGTCCTTGTTAAATATAAACGATTCTGCGGAGAGGGAACAGGCTACAATCATATTGAGTGTTCGGCCTACTGGTTTTGCCGGCGAGTAAAAGCAAGTAAAGTGATAGCGAACTTACCAGTCGATTGGAATTTGTAGACTGTTATCGTTGCAACCCCGGGACGTCTTCAAGACCTTATGGAAGAAGGTGTTTGCTCTTTGGAACAAGTCTCCTTTGTGGTAATTTCTGAGCTCCAAGTTCTGACCATTTTTGCATTGTAAATTCAATGTGTATTTTGCACTTTTTTCAAAGGAGCGCATGCCCTGAAAGCTAGAAGCACAATTTTATCGACCTCATTTTGCCGCTTAGTTCAGAGATGGTAATGCGACGGACCATTATATGTTCTAGGTTTTGGACGAAGCGGACCGCATGCTTGATCTGGGATTTGAACCTGCTATCCGCGCCATCATCAGCAAAACAAATAAAGGTAAGTTTCTGTATATCGGCTGTTTGTTCCACTTTTTTGTTGTTGCCACTTTGATATCGTATAGTGGCTGCCCAAGTTGCGGTTCAACAATTTGAAATGTTAGTTGCAAGTAGAGAATTGAAAGATATAGTTTGAATACCAGAGGTATGAATAAGAGGTTGAAGTCTATTCTGAAGATTCTTCATTTAAATGTATTCACATCCCCTGTTATTTACGCAGTTCGTCAGACATTGATGTTTAGTGCAACATGGCCGACCTCGGTGGACCAGCTGGCTAAGGAGTTCATGCAAGAGAATCCCATCAAGGTTTGGCTTTCATTAGTAGCTAGTATATAGCCGTCGAAGATCTATCCTCCTGCATACTTCTATGATTCTTGATTTGCGCTGTTGAATTTCATTTACCTGAAAACGACAGAACCTGTTTCCTGAACATATCATCCTTCAAAACTATGGCAGGTAACAGTCGGATCTCAGGATTTGGCAGCAAATCACGATGTGATGCAGATAGTCGAGGTATGTCTTTTCAGTTCTATCAATTCTACAGTACATAAGTATTTATATTACAGCCTCTTGGAGACAATCGAAGTATATCTGTAGGCTTTTTTTTATTTTGCAAAGTGTAGAAGGAAACGACGAGTACATGTACAGAGTTCAAGACAAGGTACCCAACTTGCCTAGAGAACTGATGACTCGATTGCTTTTACAGGTTCTGGAGGACAGAGCAAGATTTCAACGTCTTGATGCTCTCCTAGCAAAGTATCATAAGTCTCGAACGTAAGGACTATCCAACTTATTTTAAGTCTTTGTTTTATTAAGTCTGGCATTATAATGTGAAGTGGTATAAACACATTGAGAAAGCGCTTCTGTAGCTCGCACAACCTTGTTCCAATCAACCTTAAACCGTGCTTTAATTCACCCTTATACCTGTTCGTTGTGATTTCAGAAATCGCGTCATCGTGTTCGTTCTGTACAAGAAGGAAGCTGCCCGGGTTGAGCAGCAGTTGCAATCACGGTAAGAACGCTCGAGAACGCATCCACTGATGAAAGAAATATATATTGGCACTTTGCTCAGTTTTTGTGCAACCTGTGTTTGAAATATGGATCTTCGGCGCTGACTTCTGTTATGATACAATGCTTACCGCAGAGGATGGAAGGTGGCTGCCGTTCATGGAGATAAAGGACAAAATGATCGTACACGTGCTGTGCAATCGTTCCGGGATGGATCTTGTCCTCTTCTTGTACGTAAAATATAGTTCCCCTCCTTCTTTGACCATGTGCAAATAGCTAATCGGCAGCTTTTGTCGCCTGCGGTACTACAAGCAAGGTTTAGACGATTCAAAGAGAAAGTAAATCTGTACAAGAAATCAATCGCTTATGATGGTCGTGACGTGTGTATTTTGGCAGGTAGCGACAGACGTGGCTGCCCGTGGTTTGGATATTCCGGATGTTGAGTTCGTAATCAACTTCAGCTTCCCTTTGACTGTTGAGGATTACGTGCACAGAATCGGACGAACTGGAAGGGCTGGGAAGAAGGGAGTCGCACATACTTTTTTCACTCAAGCTGATAAGGTAAGGTGTACACTGTAACTTTCTATACAAGCTGCTTGCTTGTGCCTGCCTGGATAATGGACTTATGTCATTATACTCTGCGGATTTGTTGGGGGTGCTTTTCTAGTTTGTGATGATCTGCTGACAACGAGGGCACCTTCTTTGTTTCCTACAGCTACGAGCTGGAGAGCTTGTGAATGTACTTAGAGAAGCTGGGCAAATTGTACCCGATGAACTTTTGAAGTTCGGCACCCACGTGAAGAAGAAGGTTCGTATCTCTAAATATATACTATTCTCATCACTTTCTGGGTATGTGATCTGGAGGTTTCGACTGGCTAACCACTATGTCATGTTCAGCGTCCATATGGAGTCAGACATCTGAGCATGGGGAGTGGAAATGTATTCAGATTAATCTAAAACCCAGTTCAGGGTTTCAATTCTGCAAAGATAAATTTGTTAATGTTGATTTCTAGCATTAAATCTCGCTCGTGTATTTGTCCAGGAATCAAAGTTGTATGGAGCCCACTTTAAGGAAATCGACACAAATGCCCCAAAGGCGAAAAAAATTACCTTCGATGACTCAGATGATGAATAGATTAGATGTGCTCTCGAGTCGAGGTTCTCGGTCGCTGTATTTAGTCAGTGCAATTGTTTTTAGCGAGATCTGTTAACCCCTCGCAACAGATCCTAGCTCGACCCAGGGGATCCTTGCCTACGATCTTTTATTCAACTGTAGAGCGAGGGTGAACTTTGGCTGGCTAGACATCATCTGCTTTAGTGCGATCGAGACAGTTGAGGTTGCTGGCAGGTGGAATGGGGATTATTCCAGCATGTCCTCTACCTGACGCACTTCTCAAAATGCCTTCTTTCCAAGTGGGGGAAATCTTTTAGCCTGTCCATTGCTAGCTGAGTTTCATATAAATTAACCCCCGAAGTTTTGCCATTTGCCAGATTCAGCTGCTAGCTGTCATTCATGTCATCCGTGGCTGGTGTTGTAGCTCAATATGACGTAAAATTGTACACTTAACCAAAGATCCTGATCGAGCGAGATCAGGATACTTAATGAGAGAAATATATATGCGAAGATTTGAGGCTTTCCTGCCTATACTTGATCAAGTTATCTCCTATCGTGTGGTTGTTATGTAATATTGTGCTCTTCATTCTCTTACTCATTTCATGCCAGGTAACGTCTGCGACAAGGAGCCTAGTGTGCTCCTGTTGGTCACATGCGGAATTTGTTATTGATCTATTGTTTGGGTATTTTTGACCCCGTGGGTTACAAAGAATCTTGATGTCTATCGTTACATATTATAGGAGGTAACTCTCACCTCGGAACTATTTGGTAGACGATACTTAATGTCCATCTACATTGTCAATGACACGTCATGAACCATGTGATTCACTTACTTATAGAAGCTTCAGTGGGTGCTTTGGTCTCGTTCTGTTTCTCGTAAGCTACGTCGTCGTTCTTCGCCTAAGTATCTATCAAGAGATGACAACCGATTCCGAAGGATTCGCGGCCACATCAAATCCACTCACTGCACATATTCTACGTCACATGTGACTAAGTACCTTCCATGTGCTGCGAAATTGACGCAACAGCTCTCTTTGGCAAAGTGGATTGTTTGCCACAGAAGCCGCTATTACCAAGAAAAACAACTAGATGTAGTGGCCAAAGCCCCGAGTCTGAATTCTGCGTGACCTTTAAAACATCTGTAGTCAAGTGCTCTGCATGAAAACGGAAGTGGAGGGAAAAAAGTCTGCCCAAGTCTGAAGATTACAACGAGAATCGTAAAAGTTTGAGTCTCGGAAGCAAGGACACATTCAATTTCGATTGCGAGCCATTCAAGCAACGAAGAGCTCTTGCTTTCACTTTAGAAGGAAAGAGGCAAGGAAACATATGGTTTGGGATAGTGAAGCCGAGAGAAGGGTCTGACAGTTATGTCTGCAAGATTTATCGGACCTTTCTGGACTGTCTTACATGTGGGGGAACGAGTATGTGACGCTCATTTGGCTTGCTTCTGACATCTCTCGCTCGTGCAGGCATATTTTGCTTACGTGAGGTCTACGAGACCATAACCTTAGCACCTACTCAGACAATCACGTCAGTCACATCTTCAAACCCCAGTTGTGCACTACTCTCCCTGTGCTAGTGTGGAGGTTTTGTGTTTATCTTGAACTTCTATAATTGTTATTGTCTTACTGTTTCACTCATCCATTGTTAACATTTCATGTAAAGTGTCCACATGGATACAAATAATGGGAATACAAGAAGTTTAACAAATGATGAAAAAAGAAGTAGATATAGGGGCTAGATCCTTTATAATCTAGTCATTATATATTTTTCTCGCATCATGATTGAAAAATATGTAAAAGACATAATAAATTATTATGAATAGATCATTAGATAATTTCTCAACTATTTTCTAAGCATAAAGCAAAGAAAACTATCTCATGAATTTAAAATTTTTATAATTGAAATTAAGTATTATGATTGCATTTACAAAGAGCTGGACCACTTTAGCTAGTTATTTCTGGTCTAGTCTAGTATCATTGAGTTGTATACTTATGGGGTTTTCTTGTCTTTTTGCCTATACATGTTTAAACCATGATATATACACAAATTGTCAATTAATTTATAGAACACTTGAGACAATTAGTGCAATTAACGAATTATGTATCGACATTGAGAGGAAATGGTGATTCGCGATATGCATCCAGCCCATTATATTAAGTATGGGAGTGTAACACTTTAACTCTCTCCTATCCCATTCATTTGCTCCCAAATACGTTGAGTTGCAAATATTATTACCTTCTAAGGGTGTAGAAACATATAAGAATAGTAGTTTTCATAAGAACGTGAAGAAGTACAAGAAAGATGTCATGTCCATATGTGTTGTGAATAGTTGATATTGGATTAGGGTTAAATCCAATTGAGTTAACCTTGAGTTAGTGTCCACTTTGGTTAGAAAGTATGGTCGCATGTAGACTCGAGGAACGGTTAGTTCTTCGAGTTGAACTTTTTACGTGGGTAGTAACTTTCAGTATATCAGTTGTGGTGTTTTATTAACTTTGGTTTGAATTCTTCGAGTTGTGGAGTGTACTTAGGTTGACTTTTATGTGAAGTTTCATGTTTTATACTAATGAGGTTGTCACAAAATATTCGCTCGAAAAATTTATGATACGTTTATATATGTGTACGCTCTTGTTCCCTGAATGTGTGTGTGAGTATGGCATGTCGATATATGTTTATAGCAATTTATGTCGTATGACAATAAATACTCGCATGAACTGTGACCGTGGATCTTACTCATTTTCACGGTTGTGTGTTCCAACAATTTGAGTAAGAATGGAAATGGGATGAATGAGGCCTTCCGGTTGGCCAAGGAGTTAGTTAATACCATTGAAGTCGAATTATTGTATCTTCATTTGACATTGTCTAGACTTAAGACATGAGAGAAATTGCTTAAGTGCTTGAAAGTGGAGTTAAATGGATAACAAAAGCTTTGGAAATACACTATGAAGTGAACAATACCAAAGAAATACCAGAGGCTAGGTTTCATTCGTATGTTGATGAGATATATCTCACTATATTGAGTATATCACGCTTATCAAACTCAATATGTATTAAATTAATAGTAGCATAGAAAGTCACATCACATAAAATGATTTTACTGATATGTGAAATTCTGGAAAATACTTTCTTCTAAAGAAATAAAACCGCGTTGTCTAATATAAAAGTAAAGTAAAATTACAATTTTAAATTATTTTTTTGTATTATCAGAATGTCACGAATATTAAATTTTTCTACAATCCCTCAGATCCATTAACATGTATGTAGATGTCACATATACACGTCATGATATTTTTAACCGAGTACGACATCCGACTTGGAAAAACATGACCGAGATCGGCCGAACATATTATTTCCATGCCCCTTGGTATGATTGATTGAATAATTTCAATAAGCAACTCAAAGTTTGAACCAGCAGAAGAAGGAATAAATATATGCTAAGGAGTGTGTCTTGTACTGATCGAGAGGGAATGGCCTATTGCATTCATATAGGTTGGACTCAGAGAGAGTCGACGGTATGTTGATGTGTTTGTCAGCATATGATGAAGGGGAGCCAAGTGTTACAGCAAAAAGGACGGTAAGACCCCGGTCAAGTTGGGGAGAGCCTTCTTGCATGGCATCTTGAACTTACCTTTTGTACTTGTGTAGGTTGCTGTGTCACTGCTCTGCACATCTTTGACCTTTGGGTCCCACCCTGCAACACATGGAGAGAAAACGTTACAGTGAGGCTTGTCCGAGACTCGGTGGAACGGGGCATCAAGGATCTAAGCCCGAAGGCATGGTGTTGGTCGACTAAGGAAAGTGCTTTGGACGTTACACTTGAGCTCCTTAAGAAATGTAGCCAATCCATCTCTCTTCTGCAGCTATCCTATCCATACATAAAGCCTAATGCGTGCAAAGTATCGAGACAATGTTCGTAGTAATGTTGTGAATTACGTTGGGTCCCACAATTTGCAAGGGGAAGCATGTTCCATGCACTGTGTTTGGACGAGCTAAGCTTCTTAGATCCATCTTCCCGAGCGATGATGGCTCGAGCAAGCGCCTTCGAGTGAGGTCATAGTTCGTGATTTTCTTCTCGAGATCTACAAGGTTGGACTTAATGTTATGTCCATTATTACTGCAGCTGCACTGCAACGTAGTACTGCTCGCATGTAATGTCGTATTTTTCTGAATGAACTTTCATAGAATCTAGTCTAGAAAGCTGCTGATCTCAGTTTATGCAGCGAAGGGACCTTGTCACCTACCGTAGCCTGTTCCCTCCTTTCGGCATTTGGTCTTCTTCCTTTGCAGAGAGGTGAAGGAACCCGTGCATGACAGTGACCTGTTACGAGAGTCTATCTCGTGAAGTACGCTTACGCGCTTCCAAAATGATAGGTTCCGAGAGCCACGGCAGAAAATAAAAGTTAAAATCTGAGGACGGTTTCTCTCAAATGATTTGCTCCGCGGGAGAAGTCTTCTCCTCTAAGATTTGCACGAATGTGCTGGAAGTTCACACGTATGAGCTTCCAGATTCAGTAGATCACAATCATGTGAACGACGTAGACTTTGGATCGGAATCATGTTGCACCATGTGGAACGCCGACGATAACATAAAGAAAAGGTTTATTTTGCTCATCTTTTTCCTAAGCCTTGCAGACTGCAGAACTCCCATCCAGGGACAAAAGCATGCAGAGAATGAAAGAGATTTTTGGCCTTAACGACTACAAAAGCTGTAAAGTAAAACCATTTATTGCTCCATTGTCTCAGGGCAAGTATCGCATCAAACTCACAAGAGAATTTACCATAATTCATAGCAAACACTTCTACTGAGTCTACAGTAGTTACTAAGGACTGGTAGAGGCAAATCAGGTTTAATCTACATGCTATCATTCTAAGACCCATTCACTAACTTGGAAGCTAACACAATACTTCAGCTCGAGGGTCTTGGACTTTGAACCAGCTTCAGAAATGGACGCACGGATTCGTACCCGGTGTCCGACACCTCGGAAGACAAGTTGCGTAATGGGAAAAAACGTCTCACTCGGAACTCGAACACGAGGCGGTCTATCAGAAAAACATCTCGAGATATTTATATATATATGTTCACGGGGCTCGAAAGGTTGCAAAAGATGCAGAGCTAAGAGCTAAAATGGCTGATTGGAAATGAAATTGATGTGATGTTACTTTGATTTGTACTCGCGGTTCAAATGTCGGCAGTCGGGTCCCGGTGCATCTTTCTCTATCATTATTGCTTCCACTTGGCTCCCTTTCTCTCCCATTTTTCTCTTTCCGCTTTGGAGTGACTGAGTTTTCGTCATCGATCCCCTACAACTTGAAAGTGCATTTCTGCACCTCTGAAATGTCTTGAATAAACGCAACCAACTAAGGCGTGTCTCATTATCGCTCCCAAGTGGTCCACTTGTCTTCACACTAGGAACGTACTCCTTTAAGCTTGGAATCTCAAGGGGGAGACCAATTCAAGCCTTCATACTTCTTTGAACATTTTGCAGAACTTTGCCGTGTCTCTGATGGCGAATAGAACTGATACATA